AGAGTTCCGTTGTCGCGCTCGACACAAACTCGGTCTGCGGAGGGAGGGTAGCAGGCTGGGGGGGCATGCTTTGGGTGGGCTATTGGGGGTTTCTATTAACGCCTGATCAAAGGGCAAAGCTGACGAGTATGACGGCGAGAGAGCTAGGGAGGGCAGTGGAGGCGGGTCCGATGAACGGATGGAGATGGGATGGGATCAGATCAGATGAGATGAGATAAAAGAGCCTACACAGTAAAGTGAAGGGAGATGTTCGCAATAAAAGCACAAAACTCACCTGAGGTCCTGGCTGAATGCTCATCCGTTCCATGCCCTGCTCCAGCGGCTGCGATGGTCCTCCGCCCTCAAATTTACCCAGCGTAATGCTGCTATTCTTGTACGCAGTTGCCATCTTCTTCCACTCCTCAACCTTAGGCACGCCCGCCTGTCTAATGGCGGCATCAGGGTTCTCAATGGCCTTGCCCGTGCCCATATCACGGAGCTCAATAAAAGACACTGGGATCAAGCCTGGACCGCCCAGCCGACCAATGGGCTTGGCGACAAACCACTCCGGGTTGGACTGTGCGATGACGATGATAGCCTCACCGGCCTTGGCCTCCAGCTCGTCGGACCTTTCGGCGTTGAAGTCGTACATGACGACGCCGTACACCATGGCGCCCTGCTTGACCTTTGACGCGCGCTGGCTGCCCGGCGCTCCAGCCGTGCCGGGAGGGGAATGGACTTCGCCGTAGCCAGAGTCATGGTCAGGGTTCTTGTTTGCGGTTGGCGGGCGGCCTCCGTCCGACTGCTGGCTGTCGCGCTCAGTCTTTCCGAGCGCTTGGAAGAAAGCGACGGGCACGAGACCACGCGCATCGGGCAGCGCAGGGTTGCAGGCTTCGTACCAGTCGGGATCGTCTTCTCGGCCGATGACGTGGAAGAAGTCGCCTTTGGAGAAGCTCAGCTCCTGGGCTGAGCGAGCTTCATAGTCGTAGAGAGCGCGGATGACCTGCGAACAGAGTAAGAGGAGAATTCTCGACAGATGACGCTATAACAAGTAGGAAATACGGAAAAACTATTTTGAAAGACGTAATGAAAAGCCATATTGCAAACGCAGTTCAAGAGCAACAGAGAAAACGAAAAGAAGGGGAATTTGTTTGCGCGCGAAAGTGTCATGCGACCTTGCCGATTCCAACGCAAACAGCGCAAACAGTAGCAAAAAGTTGAAATTGCACATAAGAGCAACAGAAGGATTCAGACGCAGCACACTGGTTTTGACGAACCTTCTTGGGCGGAACGATTGCGACAGCAGCTTTGGGGGTGATGGAGATGCTGTGCTGCTTCTCCTTGTCGCCTTTCATAGACCGACGAAGAGCCTGTACCAAGCCCATGGCTGTTAGTCGCTTTTCTTTTTCTTCTTCTTCTTTTCGATTATGCTTCTTCTTCTTCTGCTTCTGTTTCTATGCGTTCTCTCTCTCTCTTTGTTCGAAGACTTCGTCGCAAGGGAGTTTTGTTTCTGTCTATCTTTTTCTGCGCGTAGCGGCTGTGACTGTAAAGAGACGGTGATCGTGACGGGTGTGAAGAGCAAAGGCAGCTGGGCATGCCCGGCAGCATCGATATACGGGAAGAGGCCATTGACCTGGCTGTGGTGTGTCGCCGGTCCGGCAAGCTTTTGGGGGAGGGGAGCGGTTTGCAGCTGGCAGCGCATGACTTGCGCAGTTGGCAATGACGCACCTTCATCTTTCAGCGTGTGTAACGGGTTCGTCCGGGCGGCGGCGTGGGAGCGTCTCGCAGGGCAGAAAGTAAACAAGAAGCAAGGAAGCGTTGAGCTGTCTTTTCGGCGATGGGATCGAAAGGGCCGCGAGGGGTCGCGCAAAAAAACTAAAGAGCGGCAAGGGAGGGGTCTCGCTGCTGCTTGTCTCGACGGAGAAAAAAAACAAGAGGCTCAGTTCGATTCGATTCGGTTCGTGCGTCGGCAGAAGACAGAAGCCGTAGGGCAGATGCAATCGTGGGACGAGGTGGAAGAGGCGAGGAAGCGCAAAAAGAAGCGTCTCGGCTCGGGCTGATGCACAAGAGCAGCTTCTCCTGTGTTCTGTCGTGCTTCACTATCGGGCGCCACAATCTGCGCGTGCTGTGCTAGCACTTTTTAACTAGCGACCTCAGACTAATGGACTACTAGCCTCTGCAATCTGTCTGTCGGCTGCGCCTCGTGCTTCTAGAAGAGGTCGAGCCTCGTGCGCGCGGCTGCAACGGAGCTCACGGGAATGTTTCTGTGTTTTTAATTTTATTCTTCTCGCGCTTTGCCCTGTGCTGCGACCTCAGATTTCGGCGATGCGGGCGGCCGTGCTGGAAACGTGCAGCTGCGGCGGGTGAGCTCCCGTTGTGCTCGTCGGCCTCGTTTTTGTGGTTGCGCCAATCTAATCCAGACCAATCCGGTGCTGTGCGGCGTAGGCTCACGACAGCGCAATCGCTTCTGCTTTCTCTGAGGATGGTTCTACAGGTGACGCTCGCGCGCGGGTGCAGTGTAAGGATGAAAGAATGAAGTATGAAATATTGAAGCAACAATTATGAGCGACGGCGGCAAAACGACCGGGAGAAGCGGCTGCGGACGCAAAGGATGGATGTAAGAGAGGAAATGCGTGGCAACGTCACGAGTACAAGTACCAGCGCCGTGCCTACCGCTGCGCGCTCGCTTTCATGAGACAAACAGCATGGGTCCTCCGTCGTATGCTGCCGTCGCTGCGACCACTATCGGATCGTATCAACACCCAGCACTTCTTCTTCGTACGAGTAAGCCCAAGCCGAAGCCCCCGACCCGTCTTGCTGGGCCTTGGGGCCTGCTACAGAGTGTTAGCAGAGCCTACAAGGCCTGGCTGGCGCTTTTCACACGGGCTCCCGGTGGGTTGCAGGTGGGGTCTGCCAGTGCCCAGAGCGCTATCCATAGGCTGGCGGCCCTGTAGAAACAAACAGGCTGCAGACCGAGCAAGGGATAGGCAAGGGTTGCGTGAGAGCCTGCTCGAAAAAGACGTCCATGTATGGCGATTGCAAACCACATCCATGATCAATAACATCAGGCTCTACAGACTGTATGTATCCACTGGAGCCTTACAGTAGGGCCTACTTAATATTATGGGACGAACACCTTAGCACTTGAACGACAAACCCACGGCTTGCTATTCATAGGAACAACAGCGTCTTTAACTAGGACGATCATCAGAAAGATACAATACTGTATACACGTTGCCCTGGATGCTGCTGAGCGCCAGCCTGCGCCGAGGAGGCTGAAACGGGGCATCGCGATACGAACCACACTCCGTCGGGCATCAATCTGTCTCGCAGCAAACTTATTCTACCCTGCTTTAATTCACATGCACCCCAATGAGCGTGCTGCTGATTCCATTTCCGCGCGGTTATTTCCTTGCTGTTTGTTTAAGCATGACTCGACGCCCCATGTTAGTGCATATGCCTAGCACATCCCACTCTGCACTTACATGGCAGCAAACCCCAAAGCCTTCTGGGGGAGGGAGCCCATGTGGTATCAAAATCAAAGCCCAACAGGCATTAGAGTAGCATTGGGGCCTTTCAATAGCAGAAAAAAATCCCAGCCTTTCTACCTGAACACCAGCCTCGTCTACCTGCAATTACTATTTTACTATTTTCAACGACTCCAAAGCCTGCTTCCAACTCCAAAGCCTACTCCAACACGTCGTTAGCAAGCTCCACCAACTCCAACTAGCCCCATCACCAATAGCCGCCACAAACTCCCCCCATCCGCAAATGTCCTCACCTCACCCAAGCCTTGCTGCCAACCTCGACATGGTGAAACAGACACCCATTCAGGCCATTGACAAGGCCAGTTTCACCATCCCCCAAACTGAGCCGGCAACTTATCGATTACGCCAATGCATCTGTTTCGACAATGTCGTCATCTCCTCTTCTTCAGAGTCGCAAAAGATGAAATGAATCATGCCCGTCAAAAGTGAGAGTTGACAGACCCGTCTTAGGGCCACTACAGTGACATGCAGCGCATGCACTCGGGATTTACCAGTTACCCTGTTACCCACTGATCATCCTCTCTTTTAAGCAAAACGGTTCGTTTCATGATGAAAGTCTTCGTCATCAGTGAGCAGGTACACTTTTATATGTATTGGCTAAAAGTGGCATTTTTCAGCAAAGCCATCATATCATTGCCTGTCAGATCATCTAGATCAAGCCGTCGTTGCCCCTTTCTCCTTCTTTGATTCGAAGCTTCTGCCTATCCCATATCAAACACTGTTGAATACTAGATCAAGAAATGCTGGGAATCTAAAATCTAATCAATTGATACTGCTTCGACTATGTCAATATGTACAGGTAAAGTCGAAAAGTGCCTCATGTAAGCTGTCATTACCCAATGTGACAAACTCGGTCCTGGCCATGCAAAAAAATATTACCAACGCCAAAACTCCGACATCCTTCCAAAGCTTCTATACGATCATGACATCGTGAAATCGTTGGAGAGAATGCCGGGATTGCTCTATCAAAAGAGACATTTGGTCCAAAACATCGCCTCGCAAATCGTCCAAATCCACCGCCCATCGCAACATCCAAATTCGCTTTGGAGTTGCTATTATGAATCAAGTGATATCCTGCTTGGCAACACAAGCAGAGATCTGGTGTATCAAGTTAGAGTAGTAAATCGCTCAAGAGAGTACCGTGTCAAGGTGAGTGCCTGAAGTTTGCTTTTCTCTTGAGGTATCAGAGAGTACTAGTAACAATACTATCCAATACTGAATCGTCTGACGGGGGATGACGAAATCACTCGTGATCCGAGAGTGGCTTTTTACAGACGAGATCCAAAAAATGAAGAATAAAAAAAAATGCTTTTAGCCTCGTCGGAGGTCGGCAAAGTACTGTCGTTAGATATCAAGGCAGGCTGGTCCTTTCAATAAAAAAAAATAAAAGTTGGTGGCTTCGAGCCACATGCAAGGTTTGTAGGAGAGAGAAAAGGTACTTGGTGCGACGTGGCAGAGAGCAACATCACCAAGTTAGATCTGGCCTTTAATGTCCACTTTCTGGAAAGCCGAGGCTCTGGAGCTCTCAAAGAGGTTCCCAGCTTTGCCAGTCAGGAACGCAATGTACTCTGTGCGATCTTCAAGAAGGTGTTGCCCCTGGTAATCAATGATGAACTGGGCAGCATCAGCATCAGATTCGAAACCGAGCTCCTCAGTGATGAAGCGCAGCTTGACGTCAGGTTTATATCTGTTGATGTGCGTTAGCATTTAAAATCCGGTCAAAGAAATAAGAGTAAATTCAACGTACCCTCTGCAGATATTGCACAGAGCTGCAAGGCGCTCCCTCGTGACAAACATATCCATGAGATATGCACCCATGTTGGGCGTGTCAAGGTATAGCTGGAAGAACTTGTGATAGTTGCCCAATGCCAGCGTCGACCGTACGTCGAGAGCGTGCTTGATCGGCTTCTCTTCCTTCTCCGCTGCTGTTAGATCTGCCAGGGTGTCGTTCAGGCCGGTTCGGTTGGCAGTGTGAATGAAATAGAGGATACGATACGCCTTAAATTCAATGTGGTTTCCCTTCAGGCCCATTGCATACAATGACCGCAACTGAGTCTGGCACTGATTATACTCACCAATGTCCCCCTTCTCCAAGGCAATCCGGGCGTGGATTTCATAGACGGAAACAGTAAACTCGTTCTTGATGCGCTGAACCGTGAGATCCTGGCGCATCGACTTGAACTGGTCGCAAATGTAGGAATAGTTGCTCTCCTTTCTCCACTTCTTCTTCAGCAAATCCAACGTTTGACGGAGAACTCTCTCAGGCCGCACGTTGGACGCTACAGGGGGGGCAGTGAGGCGGAGATACTTCTTTTCAAGAACTTCGGAGGTGCCGACGATAGGACCAGTCGGTGGAGTTGGGCTGGGCGACGAGATATTGGCCGCCTTGTACTCATTCTCGAAACGGCGTTTGCGCTTGTTGGCTTCTTTTTGGAACTTACTAGACTTGGGGTCATCGAGGGCCACCCGCTTGTCGGGGGAATACGAAATGCGATCCTCGAGGGATCGGCCTGAGTTAGTAGAGTGCCATGGTGGCGTGGACGTATCATTATTTGCAAAGTCATTGGACTTTCGCTTTCTAGGATTGAACTTGTCGTCGGTATATACTGGCGTTGTCAACGACAACGAGGCAGCGTGATGGTGCAACTTTAGCTGTGCCTCACGGTCAGCTCTCACCAAAGCTTGGGGCAAGGGCATGTTGTCCCAATCAATAGTGTAGAGCGAGTTGTTCTCTTTGGCGCTGCCGATGGTATCTTTTAATTTTGCTTCAAGTTCCGCACGGGAGACGGAGGCATCCTCGTTCTCAGGGTGGAAAGACCGCTGGACATATCGACGGACTGATTCCGGCCATTCAGTCTTGCCTCCTTTGGGCTGTTCTACGGGTGCTGGAGGAGACGCATTTGTTGTAGTCCCGGGAGCAGAGGCTTGAGCCTGAGCGGCATTTGACGCGTACATGTTATAAGCTGGTGGTGGTGGCGGAGGAGGAGTGTAATGGCCAAAGCCTTGTCGTACTTGTACTGGAATGAAAGCAGGGTCTATGAGAAAAGTTAGAGATCACAGGTCAAAGCAAGCAAGGGAGATGCGAGACATACTAGGTGGATAGGCATAAGACGCCGGAGGAGGGTGCTGAGGGACGACGCCCGGCGGGTGCTGGGCGCTTGACCAACTTGGCATCATCGTGGCGGCTGGGGAATTGCTGGCTGGAGTTAGTTTTACGAGGTGCGAACGATGAATCAGGTGCAGAGAGAGAGTCTGGCGAGAACTCTGGCAACAGTTTGATGTTTCTTTGTTGCGATGCGTGGGATGAGATCAGGAGGCAACAGGCGAGTTGGGCCGCAGTGGGAAAATGTGCGAGGGAGAAAGCCCCGTGATTTGAAGTCAGCGGCTGAATGCCGGTTATTCTCGCTGGACCCTTCGTGCGCTGGCAGTGGTGAGGCCTGCGCGTTATCCCGGATCTGGCAAGTAGTGGGGACAGACCAGATGTGACCGGCGGTACGTACCTCTGCGCGGGATGCCATGCCTTCCAGGTTGACGAGAAGCTTAAGCTGCGGTGGTGAAACCTTGCTTCTGTCATTATCATCACTTTATCTTCACTGCTGCTTGAAATTCTCGACCTTTACAGTATTCATTACTGCTTTCCCTTACTACACTATCATTATTCAAAATTCCTTCATCGCCAAAAATTAGATTTCCTGCCTCTACTCACCACAGCTCCTTCGGCACGTGCCATTGAGCGCATCATCGATCCCGCAGCGATTCACCCACTCATTCACCAAGAGGCTGGCTCTTTGCCACAGCCGCGGGACGAATGTTCCTGAAGCACCTTGATCTCACTACTGCACTGCGGCCTCTGTATCTTCCGGATGAAGTACTGCTCTTTGTCCAAGACAATGTCGGCTTGTACGAGGGGTAAGTCATATGGCGGGGTTCAAGGTCGATGATCATGAGGATGATGCTGATGAGGCGAGATATAATGTAGGAAGTACAAGCTTCCAAATCAGCAAAATGGCCAGGTGTACCTAACGTCTCATCGCGTATGCTATGTCGATAAAATTGAGCCGAGGAAGTACTCAGCTGCTCTGGACCTCAAGGAGGTGGATCGGTATGAGTTCTATGCCGGCTTCTTCAAGTCCTCGGCCAAGGTCACCATTGTGCCCAAGCCTTTGAGACGATCTGCCCTCCACAACCGCGTCATGTCCGGTACGGGAGTCAACTCACGACACAGCACGCCATCTCCTACATCGTCCAATGACGCCTACGCTCCTCCTACTGGGCCTCCTCCAGCTGCAGCCACCTGGGTCTGCAACATTTGCAGCTTCTCGAATCCTGTCCCTTCCAACTTTGATCCCGCGGCTGCAAATGCCCACACTCCTCTCCCTCCTTGCTTAGCATGCGGCATCAAGCCGGCGCTATCACTGGTGCTCAAGGCGGCTATTAGTAGTGCAAGCCGTCCTTCACCTTCGCCGAATCCCAGCCAACCGGGAAACATCAATAACTATACATTTTCGTCAGCATCAGCAGTGACCTTGGGGCTTGTCGATCCCTTCGCAACGCCTGGCGAACAAAGAAAGTCTGATACTGCAATCGCCTTTCAATGTCCTCGGTGCACGTTCTCCAACCATCCATCACTATTATCCTGCGAGATGTGTGGAGCGCCCTTACTCTCGCAAGATGCACCTCCAACCATATCCACTGCTGAGTACATCAGAATACTATCTCAGTCTCCTGGGCCCATCAAAGATACCAGCCAAGGCGCTGTTGATTTTGCAGAAAGCGTCAAAATATCTTTTCGAGGTGGCGGCGAGAAAATCTTTTACGAGCGCCTGAAGAGCGCCATGACGCAGCGAAAATGGCTGCTTCAAGATGCTCCTCCAGCTCCAAAGAGCAGTCGCATGGCTGACGATAACTCCTCCAGTGGCTCACCAGGCACTCCAACCCAGAGAACGAAAACAGCCGGTATTGCTGGACTGGAGCAGCTAGGCTTAAACATGCGGAAGAATAACGAGATACTAATCGGCAGTGCCTTTGAAGACCTTGAGGCCTTGATGACCTCTGCCAAGGAAGTTGTTGCACTAGCAGAGAGATTCGCACAGCAAGTCAACGGGGCCAGCGCCGACGTCACCTCCAAGGAAAACACAATCTTAGCCGAATCCGCCCACCAGCTCGGTCTCATCACCACCAAAGACATCGTCGGCAGCGGCGGAGGCTCCGACTCCCTCTACTTCTCTGAACTCGCCCGCAACCTGGCAGAGTTCCTCACCGACGACGCAAGAGGCGTGCTCAAGCGCGCCGGCGGCATCCTCACCCTCGTCGACCTCTGGGCCATGTTCAACCGCGCCCGCGGCGGCGTCGAGCTCGTCAGCCCCATGGACTTTGAAAAGGCCGCCCAGATGTGGGAGGCGCTCAAGCTGCCCGTCCGGCTGCGCACGTTCCGCAGCGGCGTCATGGTCGTCCAGGCGCGCGACCGCACCGACGACGCCACCATCAGGTCCATCCTGGCTTGGTTGCAGGACTTGCACGAGTTCCCGCCCGACCGGGAGGTTGCGTGGGATTGGCGCGAGTTTGGGCGCGGTGTCACGGCACAGGATACGGCGGAGCGTTTTTGTTGGAGCTTGGGCGTGGCGGAGGAGGAGCTTTTGATGGCGGAGGAACAGGGAGTTTTGTGTCGCGAGGAAGGGCTTGAGGGGTTAAAGTTTTGGAAGAATTACATTGGCAAGACGGACATTGCGGTGTTGCAGAAACGGGAGGCTCAGGAAGAGGCGGATGCGATTTTGCGGCGTTTGAAGGACACTGGTCTTATATAGGTGCTTGTACTTGCATCTCCTTTAACGTGGCCCATGATTTTGATAGAAGTATGAGGATATGGTTTACATCGGGATTGTCTTGGAGTTTGTACATAGAATTTGCGTTATCAATTTTGATTGATACGATATTATACATGAGCAGCTTAGAGGCTTGATTATTCTTGCTTTTTAGCAACACATTGCTTCACCCGGCTACCGTCTGGATATAATAAAAACGGTTCATAAAGAAAACACCGCAACTCCAACAGTTCCCTCTTGTCTTTTAACAAACTCCATGTTCGCATCAGTGAACGTGACCTGCATTTCCCCCAGCCGTCCAATCTCCGAAATTGTGAGAATAAATAAGAAAAAGTCAAGTCAAAAGCAGATTCGATACCTGGCTGGCTAAAATCACAACGCCATTCAACTTCCAAAGCAGCCCTCAAGTCTTCACACCACAACATGTGTCGACATGTGCTCCACGGCCTCCTTGATCGAACGGAGCATTCTCTGGTTGACACAAAAGGGGCATCGCAGCGGCCTGTCGTGAGTAGCCATGGGCACCTCTGACGAATGAATCGGCGTAAGAGTCAGGTCGTGCGAGATATCGTGGCCAGGCGTAGCATAGCGGGTATCAGAGGGTGCGCGGGCGGCGGGTGGTGCGGCCATCATGACCTGCTGCTGAAGTCCCGCGGCTCGTTCCTGGCGATCTCGCTCTTCGCGCACAGCCGCGGCCTGCTCCTCGGCGGCCTGTTCCTCCTGCTGCAGCTGCCGAAGGGCGTTTTGGAGCACCACCTCGGGGTCGTCGTCTTCGTACATGGGCTGATCGGGCGGGGGCTGGGCGAGCGTGGGCTCAACGGGTGCCAGAGCCGATAGCGGAGCCGCATGGGCATTTGCCAGTCGTCGGATGATTTCGTCTCTGACCAGCGCACAGGTGTTGAGGCTCGATTCGACGCCCACGACGCGCAGCACCTGCTCCCGGATCGCGGCCGGGCTCGTGTCAGACTGGATGGCCATGAAGCGCGGCACGCAGTCGGCAAGGTAGTCGATGTCCTCGGCGGGGTTGATGCCTCCGTCGCCGTGCCGCCGCTGGCGCCTGATCAGCAGGCCGTATCTCTTCTTGAAGCGATGGATCCAGCCCGGCGAAAACTCGGGCGGGCTCTCCTCCTTGTAGCGCGGCAGCTGGCTGAAGATGCTCTTCGCCTTCTCGCCCAGCTCCTCGTTGGTCGGCTGGCGGCCCGCGGCTTGGACCTGCTGGTACCAGAGCAGCACCAGCTTCTCGACGTCGGGCCAGTTGCCAAAGCGCAGCCGCGAGCCCGACAGCTGCGGGTTGTCGCCGTCGAGGCGCGAGTACTTGGGCGACAGCGAGTGCGAGACGGTGGACTGGCTGATCTGCTGGCCGTACTGCGCAAAGAACCACTCGATGCAGGCCTTGTGCGACGGCCGGATCGTCTGGTTATTCGCCCATCGCCGCAGCGCTCGGCGCTGGTCCAGCGTCAGCGAGTGCCGCTCCTTGGGCCCGTCCACGGACGGCGAAAGGTCGCCGCCGTCGGCGCCCACCAGCGAAGGGTCAGTCGCAGCGGCGGCCATCTCGTGGTGGTTTTCCCTTTAGCAGGTTGGCGTCTTCGTGGAATTGCAATCGTTGTATCCGATGGATGCAGGATTTGGTGCTGCTTAAGGAGATGGTGCATGCGCCAAAAAAAAAATCGCGGTGGCGGGGCGCGTTATTCGGCAAGGCCTTTATGGCGCCTCACGTGATTGCATTGCGACCCTTTTTGCGTTTCCAGAGGCGGCAGAGGCTGCATGTTGGCTCCGCGATGTGCTGGATTGCCAGCGGCGGCAGCCCGCTGATAGGCGAGCCTTGTTGGCTGGCCTGCATCTGCTGCTTGCTGCACGGCCATGGAGGACGCTTCGCAGACGACGAGTCTCGCATGCAGCGAGTGGCTCTGTGGTCGTTGGATATGCGGTTCTGCCGGCTAAGCAGCATCTTCGCATTAACGGGGATAGCGAGACAGCTCGTCTTCTGTATATGCTTATATCCCTTAGTCGCCTGCCAATTGAAGCTCAAGTAAAGCCACCAGTCAAAAGCTGCGGGCATCAACACCCTCCCGGGCGCTAGACTAGGACATAAAGCAGTAGATGATTCGGCATGTAATTAAAGCAATGCCAAATCCCTTTATTATGCTATCAAATGCTAGATAAAATGCATTTTAGAACAGTTGCCTCAACCGTCTTGACTCGGTGTATTACATACATACAGCCAATCAACCCGAGGCTTCAATAATTGCCTACCTAGGCAAGTAAACAGTCGGCCAAATTGGCTAGCGGAATCATGGAATATGCGGAGTCGACTATGAAATAAAGCTGTTCTGAGCTGACGGCTTCATGAGCAACTATGCTCTATCCTAATCTCATTGTACTAGTTATGTCAGCTTCTAGAGATGCTCTCAAGTCGGTCTCTTAAGGCTGATATGGTAAGCTGCAATTTCCTTTAAACCGATTTTGTTATACTCCCGGCAGTCCATGCTGCAGTTTGGTTTAGTAAATGTTACAAGAGCATAGCGAATGTATTCCTCAATGAGGTTGCTAGGTAGGATATCACATATTACATCGAGAGACATAATCATCTGCAGTCAGCTATCATGCATGCCAAAAACTCAATATCAATGGACAACAGCAGCTTCGACACGGCATCACTAGGTTATTTGGTCGTTTCCCGTCGCTCTAGAGGCAACGCTGGGAACAAAGAAAGCAGCAATATGTATGCAATTGCGCAAATCAGCTCGTCTTGCTTGGGAGAATAAATTGTATCGCATCTATCTCGAGACATTCGCTCTCCAGGCATCTATTTATGTACAATACACTATACACTGCCATCCCGCAACCCCAATTTTCAAATTTTGCAATTTAGTGCTTCTTGTCCTGCTCCTCAAGGAATTTCCTGTCAAGCCATTAGTCAGGTTCTCGTCCAAGTCGCCCACAGTAGTATATCACGCACTTGATGAAGTCGGCCTCGTCAGAGCTGGAAGCGTTGATCGGGGGAGCAGCGGCGGCAGAAGCGGGCTTCTTGGGGCCAGAAGCAGCGTAGTAGGCACCACCGAAAAGGGTAGCCAACCAGCCCATGGCAAGCTGTGGTTTTTTGACATTATGTTAGACCTTGACATCTCAGAAAGAACTTGGCATGGGACTTCTTTTCTCGGCAGAACATACGTAGTGACCGCCGACTTGTCGGCCAGCAATCGTGTAGGTAGCGAGACCAGCCATTGTAACCTCGGGATATGCGTCAAAAGGGTGGACGGGAGGGAGAGACGGGAATCAATGGATTGCTGTAGAGTTGAGAATCGATGGCGGGCGACAAAAACGGAGACTTGACTTGTGCCTGGAATTGCAGGCCCGGCATCTGGCGGCTATTCCTCGGCGGAGCTTATCGGCGCAGTGGATGCCCGACTCAATTTCGCTGCCGACGTCACTATTGTCTCGGACCCGAACAGCTTTGCGGGAGTTCCTCAGATATAAGCGCGGCCATCCTACTTACTAGCTTCAACGGCGTCGTGATTGTAAACTGTTTGTTTTGCCGTACAGAAAGTCAACTTTTTTTGAGCGGCCAGTTTCTTGTCTTATTTGTATTATATTTCTTTCCTAATCACAGTTTCATCATGGGTTGGTGGGGGAAATCTTCAGAGGCCAAGGCCGAGGACCAGCAGCGCAAAGAGTCGCAGAGCGAAGGCGCTTTCGATCCCACACTCCCCAAGGCTGAGAAGCTGCCCAAGGGCCTGCAGAAGATTGTCGACAAGGCCGATAAGGACGAGAGTTTCTTTGACAGCATCAAAGAGGGAAGGTAATTGCGGGCTGCACCTATTTTGGATCTTACAAGTGAGAGCCTGAGCTAACCGCAATTCAGCGCCCCCGACTCGACGGAGAGCAACTTGCGATATGCCGCGTATGCAACCCGACTTCGAACAATTCTGCTGTCTGCGCATCGATATGTCGCCTACACGTCTGATATTGGCGAATCGTTCCGTCCCGTCGCGCACCCGGGCCTCGTTCGCACGGCCTACGGAATCTCATGGCTCTATATTCTGGGCGACGTATCGTTTGAGGGATACCGCGCGTACTGGCGCAACCAGCGCGTCCTCAACCCGCAACTTCTGCTCAACTCTCATCAGCAGAGATTCTCCGGCCTTCCTGAAAAGGAGACGCAGAGCCTTACACCCGGTGTAGTTCCTCCATTGGAGGATTATCGAACAGTCATGGTGCAGAGAGCCATCTTCCAGAGCGTGGCCAGTATGGGACTGCCCGCCTTTACCATTCACAGCATGGTCAAGTACTCTGGAAAGGCCATGAAGAATGTCAAGAACGTTACTTTGCGAACATGGGGCCCTATTGGCCTTGGCTTGTCCGTCGTTCCATTCTTGCCCAGTCTCTTTGACAAGCCGGTCGAAGATGCCGTCGAGTGGGTGTTCCACAAGGGCTTTTCGCAGTTTGGAGGCCACGAATACGTCGGAGACTCGCCGGCTACTGGGCGGGAAAAGCTGATCAACAAGGATCTCAAAGCCAAGAAGGATTAATGAAGCGTTCTCTACTCTGTATATGGGATAAGGCGTTGGGGCATTACTCTACTCTTGGGGCATGGCATATGGGATAATTTCAAAATACCACAATAAAAAAGAATAACTTTGATATACACACCATTCATAAAATCAGTCTGCTGTTTAGATAGTCTGATTTTAAATGGTAGTGAATGCATGTTGGGCTTCAGTTACCAATTCCAGAGGCATCAAGACTCGTAGCGGGGCCCATGAATAACCCCGCGATGCAGCTGCAGCCTTAATCTCGCCTCGTCTTACTTGCGCTTGTACCCCTTGTGCTTGGCAACACTAACAATCTGCTTCCATTCCCTAATTGCATAAATCGATAGATACTTCAAATGACAAGGCGCGATTATTAGCGGTAGTACAAAGTGCACGTCCTTTCACCGGGCTTCAGCGGACAGACTGCCAAATTCAGCAGACGTATATAGGGGCTTCCAGACGCTTCCTTGCCACGTTTGGTCAGCCGACGGAATCACTCAGCCGCGCCGACAGTTCCAGCGCAGCCTCACTGCTTTCTAAGGCTACGACATTCACCCTGCCTGGCAAAGCACATCATATTAACCAGTTTAGTTAGCGAGATTGCAGCGACTTATTTATCTTCACGGACTCCCCCAAAATGGCGTCAGGTTCAGATTCCGATGCTCCTGAAACGAGCTACATCATGAAGAACAGAGAAGACGCCAGCCTAGTCGGCACCCACTGCCAGTACGAATACTGCAATCAGCTCGACTTCCTCCCCTTTTTTTGCCAGTCATGCACGAAGACGTTTTGCCTGGACCACCGCTCGGAATCTGCGCACAAGTGCTCGAACCCAGGGGCGTGGGCGGAGCGGAAACGACAGGCTCAGCTATCAAAGCCTTCCATAGGCCAGGGGCGGACGCTGCGAGATAAGATCTCGGAGAAGCCATGCGCTGCGGAGTGCGACACGATTGTCGGCACGTCTTTGACGCCAGGCGTGCACTGCGATACCTGTAACCGGGATTACTGCTTAAAACACCGCTTCAAAGATGATCACAACTGCAAGAACTTGACGCCACTTGGGGCACGGCCCATGCAAATTGATGTTGCTCAGAGGACGAAATCTGCTCTGGATCGGCTTCGCGCATGGGGGACGGCCAAGAAGGAGCAGGCTGGCAGGGCGCTGCCCAAACCCAAGCCCAGCTCGGCGGCAGCCCGTCTGGTTGCCGTCAACAGCCTGAAGAAATCCGCAAAGGGCGACGACAAACTGGCACCGGAGAAGCGCGTCTACGTCTATGTGGAGGCTGAAGCCGAGACGGCAAAGGCAAAGTTCCCCAAGGGCGAATTCTTCTATTCCAAAGACTGGGTCATTGGCAGAGTACTAGATGCGGCGGCACGGAGTCTTCAAGTACAGAATATCAACAATCAGAGCTCGGATGAGCGAGACAAGTTACGGATTTTCCATGTCGAGGGCGGCAGGCTTTTGGAGTTTGGCGAGAAGGTTGGGACGGCGTTACAGAGCGGGAATACCTTGGTACTATTGAGGGGCGTTGGCGCACCTCCGGATTTGATTGAGGCGTGAGAAAGCCGGGGGTAGAGAAATCTCAGGATACTGTCTTTTTGTTTCCCTTTTTCTATTCATTTTTGAATCTACAGATGGCGATTCTATGCAATGCGCATAATGAGTCGCGGATAGAGGGTGGATCGTACTATGTACATACTTAGACAGTATTATTATCACGCATTGTAGCGAATACTATAAATCTTAATTATTAGTCAAATCATCTCATGCCGCCACCAATTTTTATAGAAAGCATGAGGTCTTTCATTGAATTAGCCCATTTACGGGGAAATAAAGCTTAGTATTTGCAATTCACTTAGTAAACCGTTTCTTGAATTGCCACCTCATTTGATATGTCATCTTCAGGGTAGTCATATGAAGCTCCCTCGATGCACGTGATCCCGCGTACACTTTCGCGTTAGTGACGACATCGCTGATTCTCATCTCACTCCAATCCGCCCGCCCGTGAATCGCGTGTATCAAGAGATGCCTCCGTATGTGCCTCGCAAAAGGCTAAGAGTGTCCACGCCTGAAAATGCAACCATCGAGGATAAGACGGCCAGCGGAGTGAAATCCAAGGCGAGTAGCAGCCGGAAGAGAACGCTGTACGACGACCTGGACTCGTCACACACACCAAATGGTTCGGACTCACTTCTTCACGGCCTTGGAGGCGACGACAGCGATAGTCCTTTGTCTTCCTTGTCGGAAAGCGACTTCGAAGATGTCTCCATTGCGAAACAGCTGAAGACAAAAGATGCTGGCGATGCTGACGAAGATGATGAGGACGACGACATCGAGTTTGAGGATGTCGAAGCTCCTCAGCAGTCAATGCCGGACGCTCCAGTGCCGTCAGGCGACCTTGAGTTGACTCTGATCCGGGACACTCGAATATCTCTGACGAATCCTTTTGGTAACAAGAAGGGACCTTCGAAGCGAGAGCGAAAAGTTCGGAATGCGACCCATTGCGTCCACGTTCTGTGTCTTTTGTGGCACAATGCGGTTCGAAATTCTTGGATTTGCGATCCTGAAGTGCAAGCGATCATGGTGTCTCATGTCCCGCCCAGGCTCTGGGATGAAGTGGACCGATGGAGACGTAATAGTGGCCTGGAGAAGAGTCGGCCGATACCGAAACCCAAGGCATCGGCGAAAAGGAAGAGAGGCGCGAAGCAAGAGTCTCGAGACTGGGGCGAGGCTGCCCAGCGGCTCGAAGAAGGAGCTGTCGACATGAGCCACGGCGATCCTCTGTTTCGATTTATGAAGTCGCTAGTCGCCTGGTGGAAACAGCGATTTCGAGTCTCGACACCTGGCCTCCGGAAATGGGGCTACATGTCGCTGGAGCGTCTCGATAGACTCACCAAGGCGTATGTAGATCATGAGGACGACTACGAGGAATTTGGAGAGCGATTGAAAGGAATAGATGATTTTCGACAATGCGCTATTAACTGTAAAGGAAGTAGAGACGTTGGAGCTCAATTGTTTACGGCGCTTCTTCGAGGCTTGGGAGTTGATGCTCGTATGATCGCCAGTCTGCAGCCCCTGGGCTTCGGATGGAATAAACTGGAAGACGCAGATGCAGAGGAAGATGAAAAGAAGGAAAACACGCCTGCCAAGTCTGCGAATAAGCAAAAGTCTGAGAAGAAGCCAGCAGCAAAAGCTACAAAAAAGAAAGTGGCGGAGAAGCCAAAAGCCGACAGCACACCATCACGGCCACGCTCAGCTCGTTCATCTACGAGGCTGACTACCCCTCCAACCGAAGAGACCGAAGATGATTTAGAACTGGAGTACAAAGATACAGACGACGAATCTGTGGAGATAGATCTTACTCCAAAACCCAAATCTATATTTACGAAGAAATTCGATAATGACTTGGAATATCCGCATTACTGGATAGAAATCTTATCACCTGTTACAAAGAAATATTTATCAGTCGATCCGATTGTAAAAGGAACCGTCGCAGTAAATAGAGATCTCGTCGAGACATTTGAGCCTCGCGGCGCCAAAGCAGATAGGGCAAGACAAGTCATTTCTTATGTCGTGGGATACTCAGGAGATGGAACCGCAAAAGATGTTACGGTGCGCTATTTGAAACGACAAGTTCTTCCTGGTCGAACCAAAGGTGTCAGGATGCCTTTGGAGAAAATCCCAATTTATGATCGCAATGGAAAAGTAAAAAGATACGAAATGATGGACTGGTTCAAGACGGCCATGTCTGGATACAGGCGAGGAGACAAGAAGAATCCCGTCTCGGAAATCGATCAGCAAGAAGACGCAATAGACCTGAAGCCGGCGAAAGCAGAGAAGAAGGAGGTAAAGGAAGGCGAGGAGACACTGCAATACTATAAACAGTCAAAAGACTTTGCGTTGGAGAGGCACCTCAAACGCGAAGAGGCCCTAAGACGAGGGGCGGAACCAATCAAGATTTTCAAAAATAAAGGAAAGGGCGGCAAAGTCGAGGAAGAGGATGTTTATCTTCGGTCAGATGTTGTTAATGTCAAAAGCGCGGAAACTTGGCATAAACAAGGCCGAGCTCCGCTTGCTGGTGAAGAGCCTCTGAAGAGAGTCCCGTATCGAGCAGCGACATTAAACCGAAAGAGAGAAATATTAGAAGCCGAGGCAATGACTGGCCAAAAGGTCCTGCAGGGGTTATACAGTTTCGACCAGACTGATTGGATCATACCGCCGCCTATCAAGGACGGCGTGATTCCGAAGAACGAATACGGGTATGTGCATCTTGTAATGTAAACTTACTCACGCACTAATGTTGGTGTAGGAACATTGATCTGTTTGCTGAGCACATGTGTCCCGAGGGAGCTGTGCATGTGCCATTCAGGGGTGTAGGCAAAGTTTGTAAGAGGCTTGGAATTGATTACGCAGAGGCCGTAGTGGACTTTGAATTTGGCCACAGAATGGCTGTCCCCGTGATCCAGGGAGTCGTTATTGCGCAAGAACATCACGACAAGGTCATGGTCGAGCTAGAGAAAGACGAGGCTGAACGAGTGCGAAAGGAGGATGAGAAAAGACGCAAAGCAGCACTTGGCAAGTGGAGAAAGTTTCTCATGGGAATGCGCATCGTGCAGAGGATCCGTCAAGAATACGGCGAAGTCGATGACAGCGTATCTGTGTTTGGCCATTCTCGGGGCAAAATGCAAGTCGATGAACCGCCAGCGGCTCATGACGAAGAAATGGCAGGCGGATTCCTTCCTGAAGGATATGAGGAAGATGGCGAGGACCATCGGGCGCATGAGACGTCAAACTTCTTTCCCTCGCTCGAAGAGGATGATCATGGCGGAGATGGGGATCTCGTAATGGAAGATGATGGCGGAGCTGGCACGAGCGAAGCTCAGACTGAAACAGAGATGCTAGCGGAGGCGAAAGGGAAGAAGCCGGTGGCGCCAAAGGGGCGTAAGCCACGAGCAACACGGCGGAAGAAACAAGTTGTTGATAGTGAAGATGATGATGAGGATGATGAATGATGAGTTGGATATGCTTTGGGATTTTGGAACTTTACTATGGTGGGGATATGGAGCGAGGCATCGATTTCATAACGGAATGGCGATGCATGTAAAAGTCGACAGCTAGTCACGATGTTGGCAATATTCTGGCTACAGAGCTATAGACTTGATATACCTCGGGCTTGAAATAGCTAGGAGCAAACAACTGCGCTGGGAATCTCGAGTTTGGGATTTTTATGACCATAAGCTTTTCCAAAAACTTTCCTTGGTTTGGTGACGCGTACTACCCTCCACCTTCTCGCTCTCCGGAGCGCCACCTCTTCTAGAAGTTTGCTCTATAGAGATAAGGATATTCTTTATACTGCAGTTATCTAGGTTCAAATCGCCTACAAAGGCAGTTCACTGACCAGTAGCATCAGTAGCATCAGTAGCATCAGTAGCATCAGTAGCATCAGTAGCATCAGTAGCATCAGTAGCATCAGTAGCATCAGTAGCATCAGTAGCATCGGAAGCATCAGTAGCATCGGAAGCATCAGTAGCATCGGAAGCAGCAATAACTACATGTAGAGTGCGGGTAATAGATTTAGGGGGTTGGATAACATTACTTCATAACAGAAACTATGATTGCTTTAATACCTAGCTGAGGCTTGGGAGCGGCTTTTCATATCCGGAAGAAAATGCAATTGTCGACATTGATATTGCGAACTCCAATATTATAGTCACCGATGTTATAAACATCGATATTATGGATCCTAATGTTGATGTCGACAACAGCATTTTCCTCCTAGTATCCCTCTTAGAACACTATTCCGCCTTCTCATTTTCCTTTTTATCCTATCCACTCTATTCTACCAAGAGTCGATTCTCCTAAAAGCCTATTTCGATAATTTCAAAATCTATAATCTCGTTGCTTCCAGACGGGGCTCAACAAAGTTCGTCTACTTTACATGGTTTCAAGCGATGAGGCTCTTGTATCCACCTTCCAAGCCGCAAAGATACAGTTGACCTCTCTGCTTCTGGGCGAGCATCTCCTATATCAAGGGCTAGTTTTTCATCTTCCTTCTCTGGCATATTCTTCTCATTTGGATCCTTAAATAGCCTTAACCGTCGTGGGCACTGTCGTTGTTCCAGTAGCAGCCATCAAAAGAAGTGATACTTGATAATCCAAGTCCGTCATGACTATGTCCACTCCTATCCCGGCCCTTTTGGCGTCATTTGCCGAAATGACGACGGAGAAAGTCTTCGGCATGATCTATCTGTCCATTCTCCTCATTTATTACCCCGAAATTCAACGCTTGGCTGAGCAGAAAGGGGATGTCAGATGCGCCTTCTACTTGTTCCTCTTCTACCTCTGTTTCATCGGTCGCTACTGTGCCCCCGACACCTATGTGGTCTATAGGTACCTCTGTCAATTGGAGCTTGTGGACTCAGATCCCACAGACATCGAACTGTTTTTTGCCTCACAGACTTAGCCTTCTTATATATCTGTGTTCACGATGTGAACACATACAAAAAGTACATACTGAAGAGCATCAACCTGCACGAACTTTCGCTTTTGGATACTTATGGGGGCTGGCAACACGGCCGAAATTCCTGGTTCAAGACACTGAAGAATAAATTTCCACTCTTTTAGGACATGGCCACCCTTCAAGTCGTTTGGATGCTTCTAGTGTAGACTAGTCCACCTCTAGAAAATCCCATCATGGATCTTGCAGCCCGTGTCCGAGATGCTTGCTGGTAAAAGGTCCTACAAGTTTTCCCAGACATCGCCTTTTGTTATCTATAAGAACCTGTACAAGGATGCGGATACAATTCTGCTGGCGCCATCAAGAACGCCACTGACCTGGTGGAATCGCAAATGGAATGTTAGATGGGAGAAGAACAGGGTCAGTGCTGACGAATTGTACATGGATTAGAGCAGATTTGAATTTGTTGATTTACCGCAGTTTCTAGGCAGCTTCTATAGGGAATATATCTGACTTAATGATTATCGTCCTTTTCCAAACATTTCGTGCCATTTGCCTCTGCTCCCCGTATTCTTAAGCTGCCCACTTGCAGCAGCGGCATGTTCAGGCACAAGCTCAAGCTCAACAGTCTCGTGAATCGTGGAGATGGCGGCTATACCCGGGTTTGAAGCCGTAGATGAGTCCAAGGGAGAGAGCAGGATGACGGAGTTTGACGTGTTTTTCTGGCGGAGAGAGTAGGTTCTGTCGGGAGACTTGAGGAGGGCTGAGGTTTCAGAAGATTCCAGGGTGAGGCTGGAGCAAGGAAGAAAGAAAAAGCGTTGTGAGTACTACGAGGTTTCAAGATGACTGAGGACAGAAGATAGCAGAGAGAGACATACACTGGAGGATTGTCGGATTCGAGGAGAGATTGGAGCTCCGGGGGAAGTTCGATGAGGCGGTAGCCGACGTCGTCTGGTTGGTGGCGCAGAGGGATTTTAAAGTCGGTGCTGGACATTGCGACTTATTTGTCTTATGAATTTTTTGAGATTTAATGGTTGTGACTATGATTTATGATTACGAGAGAATAAGACGGAGAGAGGCAGGGAATGCGGCTATCTAGTAGAACTTGATTTGGGATGAAGAATGAGAAAAACGTTTCAATTCCTGCTGGTTCCAGCTTCTGGCTTCGACGAGTGAATTTATAACGGCCTTGCGTAGATAAAACGTAAAAAATAGATGAGATGAGAGTGAGGCCGGATATGCAGAAGCATGTGAATGAAGGATAGAATGAACCTGGGAGTGCGTTGCACGTGAGTGGATGAGATGAGGTTGGAGACGATCAGAAAAATTATCGATAACTGATGGGTACGTCATGGTAGTACACAGCTAGCACCAGACAGTTCAGTTCGTTTTTTGAGCTGAAGATGGAGAGCACTGGAGAAGCATAGAGAAAAAAAGGGCGCCAACTGCGGGGTCCAAATCTTAGGCCCAGGCGGCGAGTCAGCAAGCTACAGTGGGCTTTCATTACCCAGAACGGGTACTAGGCGCTAAGTTTAGCAGCACCATCCCCATCAGAGCTCACAAGTACGGACTCGTGCCTGTCCATCAATCGATAGCTGCAGGTCCAATATTGAGCTGGAGCTTCAGGTGCTGTGCCGCCCCTCATCTCCAGCGGTTATTAGTGAACGGCCCAGTGCTCTCCAGCTCTGTCAACTGGCCGTTCCAGCGGGGTCTTTATAGGGGACCAAGGGGGGCCCCTGGACGTTTCACAAGCAGCTTGCCTTCATTATAAAACAGCTGGGGGCCCTGGCGCAGAAAATACTCAAGGGACCCGCCCCCTTCTTAGGCAAATCAGTTATTCAGCTGGCATCAGTTCGTGTTTACGGCGATGGAGATTGGAGATTGGAGACTGCGATGGGGAGTTTCGGGGGGGCGTGCGCCGAACAATTTGGTAGGCGCCCACAAGCGGTATCTATTTTCGAGCACCTCACCTCATCTCATCCTGCCGGGCTCGAGCAATAGAATATTGCCTGGATATTACACATTTCTCATATGCCTCCTGCATAGGGCCGTAATAACTAGTGCTGCTTTCTGCATAGTTTAATCAAGTCTTGCGTAAGATGCTTGCTTTGGCCATTTTTTTCATGTTCAATCTTATTTCGTCCTCCTCCGAGCTTGGTCCCAGCCGCAGGGATCACCGAAGCCTTCTGGAAAGGGCTTTTGCCAGACAAAGTGTTTGGCCGCGAAACAAACACTTGAACTCAAAATCCAACAGGCCCGAAGTAATTCCCACGGCAACCAGATCGTTTTTAGGGTGCGGGAACTACCTAAGCTTTGCAACTAACTTCTGAACGCTTTTTCGTGACTCTTTTCTTTACTTTGACTCCCGCTTTTTAACTCTTTGACTGAAGAAGCGCTCAAGCCACAAGCGCCCCCGAAAAAGCCTCTGTTTACTTTCTGCCGGACCTAAAGAAATATAGCCTGCGCTGGGGCCCACCTCGGCTTCGTCTCTCTCACCCCTCCCCATGCAAATCAAAAGAAGAGCAGAGCAAGCAGCAGAGCCAGAGCCAAAGCAGAAAGCGAAGCCTTGACTCTTTTCTGTTTCTGAACACTGATCTCCAATCCCGCATTTTCTCCATCCCGCATCACGCAACTCACACGCTCTTTTTGCTGCTGATCCCCGACTCCCCTTTGCGGACACACAAAGACGAGTCGCCCAGACAAAGACACGAAACGAGCTGCCAATCAGACACAACCTAACGATTACGAATTACGGCGAGCAACGAGAGAGATCGAGGGAGACTGGCAGCCCCCATCGCCATCCACCGACGACGCTGCAAGGGCAGTTAACGCCAGCCGCCAGACCATCCCTGGACACGAAACGAAACACGCTCAGCTCGACGCAGAAAAAGAGACACGACCACGACATACGTCTTCACGAACACCGCTCGAATCCAGCACCAGCATCGCCAACCGCCGGGCTATGAGCGCCGCTGGCCATTGAGACCTCGATTGAGACCTCAGGTCCGGTCCAGCCCCCAACGCAAAGCCCGCCATGGTGCGTGTCACGGACGAGCTGGCGCTCTCGCCCGAGCACATTGCTCTCTACCACGCCGCCGATCCGCTGCTGGGCCAGCTGCCCGTCCTCATCTTCCACGGGCCCTCGACGACGGCCAACTACACGCTCAACAGCTCGCGCGTCCAGGTCCACGTCTTTACGCCCGCCGGCTTCCAGAGCTTCCCGCGCATCACCATCTCGCCCAGCTCGCCCTTCTACAGCGTCGTCAACCACCTGCCGCGCGAGTTCCAGGGCGACGAGGTCTACCGCGGCCTGGCCTTTGGCCTGTTCCGCTACTTCAAGGAGCTGCCCGACAATGTCAAGGCGCACCTCAAGGCCGCCTACCCGCCGCCCAAGGGGAAGCGGCCCAGCAGCGCGCCCGCCCTCTTCAGCGAGCAGCATGCCGCCGACCTGGTCAAGGAGATGGTGCGCAGCGAAAACACCGCCGACGTCGTGGCTACGCTGGATGAGGCCCTGCAGACCCAGCACGTCAACAACGTCGACATCGACTTCATCCTGCCGCCCGGCTCCATCGTGCCGCAGTCGGCCGAGCTCGACGACATGCCCGACGACGAGGACGACATCATCGACCCGACGCTGCGCCAGTACGGCAACTACACACCGCTGGTCAAGCTGTTTGGCGAGCCCGTCTTCCTGCCCACCAGCAAGCTGCGCCGCGCGCCCTCGAAGCCCACGCCGCTGAATCGCAACAAGACCTTTACCAAGGACCAGAAGATGGAGCTGCGCATGAAGATGAGCGAGCTCGTCGATACCGAGGAGCGCTACGTGCTCAAGGTCCAGGAGCTCGTCAAGACCGTGGCCAACGACTTCCGAAATAACGCAAAGAAGCGGTCCATGGAGAGTCTGAGTCCGTCCGAAGAAGAGCTGGAGAAGCTGTTTCCCAAGTCGTCAGACGGGATTCTGCAGGTTAACTCGGCCTTTGTCGAGGAGCTGCGCAAGATTATGAACGAAACCGAGGAGGACGCCGTGAAAGACATGGAAAACCCGACAATGAGTCTGTCGTCTTCGATGAGGGCGGGCAACAATGCTGCTCCCAAGAAGGATCCGCTCGGCGCGTTGGCCATGGCCAAGCTGTTCCTCGAATGGTTCCCCAAATTTACCCAGTGCTACCAAGACTACATCAAAGCGAGTCAGCACTTTCCGACGCTGCTAAACTCATTCCTGGACCAGCAGTCGAGTTTCCGGCAGCGGGTGAGCAAAGCCGGCGAGCAGACGATTCGCTCGCTTCTCATTGAGCCCGTCCAGAGGCTGCCGCGATACAGCCTGCTCATCGACCAAATCATCGCCTCATTACCCATCACACACCCGGCGCTGCAGCCCATGCTCAAGGCGCGAGATATCATCACCAACATCTGCTCCATGGACGATCCCCTGCCAGATAAGCCTCATATCGCAAACCGCCTTCGAAATATGGTTGAGGCGTGGCCCGCGGATCTTGAGCCCCAGGGCCGACTCATCCTAGCTGCTGACTTTTTAGAACTCTCACCACCATACCAGGCCACAATCGACTCCGACGATGCTGGAATCTTCCTCTTATTCTCCGACTACATCGTCATGCTGAGGAAATCGGGCGATAACAACATGACGGGGCGAGATTTGCTTCGCGAGATCGACAAGCCCTCAGCGGCAGAGCTGCTCATTTCCATGACGAATGCTGCTGGCGGTCCTAGCCATTACGAGTTCATATTCACGGGGTGGCATCATCTCGCAGATGTTCGCTTTACGGAATCGGCCGATGGCCACCTCATCTGGATGACATCCAGCGCAGAGATGAAGGGCATGCACCCCGGAGAGCACAAGGTTCCTAAGGCCATCACATCACGGTGTTTCCTGCTGCAAGAGGCCTTTGAGGGCAAAGCCGCAAAATGGAGCGAAGACGTCGTCAAAGCCAGGATCGAGGCACGTTTCCCCGAGGTGGAGAGAGAAGATTCTCGCTGGACCCTGCGATCGGTACGAATGCCTGAGAACAACCTGGGACTGCACGCCGCGATATTCCAAGAGGGAGCCGATCAGCTCATCGAAGGCCGACGCGAACCGGCTCCTATCCGAGTGGTAGTGGACCATGAGAAGGGGACCAAGGGTGCTCCAGTCGGGCACTATGGCATCGAGATTGTGATTAACGTGACGAGCAAGAATATGAAGAAAATTTCTCTGCTCACGGTGGGACTGAATGGGAAGCAGTACCAGGACGACGTGGCTCTGGAGGATTTCCTCCCCACCATGTCAAGACGCAGTAAGCCCTTTTCTTCAATCAGCCTTTTTGTTTCTGCTTTATCTTTTCCATGCTAACCCATCCTCAGTCATGCAGCTCTTGAGCGTTCAGTTCAATGTTTCTAACCGGGCCCTCACCGCCCCCATGGTCTCCTACCACTCCAAGATGCTGCGAACCCTGTGCCTATCCAACCGAGCTGAAAAGACACGATCTTTCCTGGCGGCTTCTCCTGTCAAACTCTTCACCAGCCTGTGGAGCGGCTCAAACAACGCTTCCGAGACTACCCTTTCAGAGGCCAAACACCCACACCAAGCCTCCATCCAGCGAGCCGACAGCCATCACTCCATGTATGGCTCCATCAGAGGCAAGAACAGCACCAATAGCAGACAAGCAGTGGAAGAGGTGATGCCGGAAAATCCTCTTGTTCGACTGGAGCAGACGTTTGAGGCCTTCACCACGGCTCTTCAGTACCGCAAGGGCTCCATTCATGGCAGAACTTTGTTACACCGCGCTTCGGCTGACGAATTGCTCGTCAACGATCTGTACAATAGGCTCATTGAGAATCCGCAAGAGGTGGAAGTGGCCAACGATGTGGGAACCGAAGTCGTCTTTACGGCATTTGAAAACTTCCTCCACATTGCCTGGACTGAACAGATAGGACCTGTGACGACCATCAAGATGCTCGACACTCTGCAGGAGCGAGCCAACAAGCGTGTCCCGGGCGAGTTTGCCGACTTTGTCAACTTTTTGTTCAAAGAGCTGGCTCCGCAGAACCGAAGAGCGTTTACAGCACTGATTAAGCTGCTGGCCGACTTGCTGGATGGTTGCAGCAACGACAGCGATCGTGGTGCCCTGACGTTGGCGTTTGCAGAGATGCTCGTTACCGACGGCACCGCAGCAAACTACATCAACCTCCTGGATCGTCTAGTCGACGATTGTGACAGGATATTTGGCGAGCCCACGTACGCCGGCTTTAGTTTGGCCGAGCTGCAATTGATGGAGTCGTTCCAGACGCGCAGTAGTGGCGGCGTCGCGAGCGGCAACAAATCTCACCAGGGCTCCGTGACATCCAACACATCTTCGCTGCGCCGCAAGTTTGGCCTGGACATGCTGATTCGACAAAACTCAAACTCCAAGGAGGAGCGCACTTCTGTCTGGCGGAGTCTCGGCAAGCATCGAAACCCAGCCACCGGCGAGAGCGCGAGCATGTCTAGGGCGACAATGCAGCAAGCTCTGCGCCATCGGTCAACCGATGACAACATCATCCATAAGAGATTTACCCTGGGCAGGCCGGGATCTGGGGATAGGCCTCACGTAGCTACTGCCTTTGAGGACCCCGTGAGACCGCCCAGCAACCATCGCATGGAGTTTCCGCTCGACACCATTGGAGAGCCCGCCTATGAACCGTCGACGCCTGGAACACCCAGGAGGCATTACAAGAGGAGAAGCTCCCTGTCTGATCTCAAGTCACTGATAGATACGACTAGCATTGACGAGGATCGAGAGGGAGAGGAGAGGGAGAATGCGCTGCAGCCTCTTCAAAACACAAAGGAGACGTCGGAGAAGCTCAATGGTAGTCCCAATGTGCTTTCGCCTTCCAAGATGCTCAGTCCCAATGCGTCACAACTCCTCCGGTCGCCCCGACAGAAAGAAAACTTTTCAACCACAGATATATATGGTAGCATACGGGGGCTGAGAGCGGCGTCACCCATCAAGGAGATCCAGGCCAAGTTGGAACAGGCAATGCGGGGCGAATCTCCAAACAGACAGGATCCACCTTCACATAGGAGACCGAGACCGACACACAGCAAAACTCTATCAACGTCCAACATTCCAACGCTGCTGCCGCCGCGGCCGATCCGGCCAGGAAGCTCATCCGGCGAATCGCCGAGCCGACAATCTGGCAACGGCGGCAATGGCAGCAACGGCAGCCCTACGCGAACTCCGGCACAGAAGCTCCGTCTACAGTCTCCTCAGAAGCTGCGGGAGAGGCTTCAGACGGAGAAGACTGCTGTGGGCGAGGTGGATGCCATGTTGCAGTCAGAGCTAGTCAAGATTGGCGAGGAAATGGCCATGGTCAATAGTGGTACCTTGGACGAATCTCAAACGGTCAGTCTGCAACGGCTATCTCAGTCAGTAGCAGCGCTGGAAGATCGAATGCCGGTGGTGATGCAGGATCTTCAAGATAAGCAGGACGAGCTGCAGCGGGATGTGGAAATTACGCTCAAGACGACAGAGTCCAAGATGCGCTCCATTGACCAGCTGCACAAAGAGGCCGTGGCGGAGAATGAGCTGCTCTATGAGCGATTCAATACCGAGCTGGCGAAGATTGTCAAGGCCCTGAAGGGTAAGGGCAAAGAGGATAAAGAGGAGCTTATCGTCAAGCTGAAGAACCAGGGCGAAGAACTGGCGAGGATGAAGAAGGAGAATGCAAAGTTGAAGCGTGAGATGATTAGCCTACGGGCGGCGCTGAAGGGGACGGAGTGAGTGGCGCAAAAAAAGGGGTGTGTTGATGATTCAAACTTTTCTGACATTTCTGCTTCTTGTTTTTTCAATTGTTTCAAGGGTGGCGGCTTTTGATCTTTCTTTCTGGGTGTTCTTTTAATTTTCTATGATGATGGATGGCCATGGTAATGTCGGCTTTATTATAATTTTGCTTCTGATGTTGTATTTTTCTTGTTTTTACACCTTTTTTGTTTTCTTATAAAATTTCTTGTAATAGACGCAGGACGATGGATGGATGGAAGGGAGGCATAGGATGGGATGGCATGATGGATTTTTGATTGACTGAATGGATGGATATACAAAGCTGGACAAAATACCTAATCTCACACAAAACAGAAGAAGAATAACTATAACTTTTCTGTAATAAAGAATGGAAGGGGTGATTGGAAAGGCAGGCAGGAAGAAGAGAGGAGGTTTGGGGGATTTTGAAAAGAATAAAACGTGTTGGGTTTTGGGGGGAGTCTTTGGGTTGTTTTCTTGATACTCTTCTGTTGATATAACCCTGTGAAAGGGATTTTAGAGTGGGATTGGTTCTTCTTCTGCTTGTGGTTTTTGAGTATAGAAGGGTAGATAAGCTTGAATGAAAGATGTTGTGAAGTATAATCATTGATCTCTTCTGAGTATTTTTTTAATAGTTTTGTTCTATTTTCTCCTTTCCCTTGGTATCATTTTTAATCCCCTCTTTTACCTATTCATCATCCATTATCATTATTACTTAACTATCATCAGGGGATGCTCCCAGATGAGGTGCCCGTTACAATACCACCACTGCTAGTATTAGAATTATTTACAACTTCCGGCTCCGGCGAGCCCTGCTCGAGCCAGCACTCGAAGAAGAGCGGATCTGCCCTCACGGAGCGGACGGGCTTCGTGGCGATGCCTTTGAGAGACTCGCCTTGGTGGGGTTTCTGTTTGGTAGGGGGCTGGAGGTTGGGCTCTGAGGGGATCCATGGTTGGGGGTGCTAGAGATGATTTATTTTGTCAGTTAGTTGAGGTCTACGCTTTGGCCAGAGAAGAGAATCATTGCCTCTCTTTCCTCGCTTTACTTTTACTATGTGTTACTAGTTTTGCTTACACCTATGGGAGCTTCAGCCTCGTCTCTCAGCTCCAGGGCTAATGTGAATGTGCATCCTGGCGGTAACTTCTCGGCGGCCTGCGCGGCATAGGCCAGTCTCTGAAGGGCCCCTCTGAGGGCTTCATGGATATCGGCCCAGTTAACCGCGTCTTGCACCTCGGCGGCGGTTTCTTCGTCTTCACCCTCTTCGGAATCGTTGTCTAGGTCATTGTCCTGCTGCTGATGCGAAGTCGGTGCGTCTGACTCCGCTGAGGCTTCATTTTTGAGGTTCCAGGCTGGAAAGCGCTCCACGTCAAAGACCCATCGTTCACGGACTTTGCTGCTATCGCTGCTGTGCACGACAAAGACGATGCGCCTGGCGGTGCCGGCGTTGAGCTGGTTGGAAATTGCGGACACGGCGTCGTTGATCCAGGAGCAGACGGCCGGGTGGCGGGATTGGTGGACGGCGAGGTTGAAGGCGCGGGCGGTGAGGAAGGATGTTGGTGGGTAGAGGTTGCGGTGGTAGAGCAGAGAGTGGATGGCGATGGTGAGGAACGAGGTGAAGGTGGAGAGGAGGGGCGCTGCGGCGAGGAGGGGCAGGGAGGGGCCTGAAGAAGAAGTGGAATTGGCTGTATGAGGCTGGTTCTGGTGTTGGCGGTGTGTTGGGGGCGAGACTGAGGCTGACATTGTGTCGTGACGGCTGAGATTGTGGTGTTTTGGAGTAAAATGGAGGGAGACGTGTTGGGCGTGTTCGCGTTGATGGGATGGACGCCAAGTCATGTGATGGCAGCTGTTGCCTCCATTGAGCTCAGCTATCACGCCTGGTAACAGTGCTAATACCGCTGGGCGTACAGTTGACGTGTCCACTGGAGCTTCGAGGAACCCCGCCTGTAGGGCTGAGCTCTAGCTGTGCAAAGAGCTCTTGCCGAGGCAGCAGTGGCAATGACGCATCATATCACCCCGATTTGAACTTGCCCAAAGTCAACGTCTCTTAAACCTGCATATACATCAACTCCAAACAGCTCCTTGTCACGGATCTGGTCTCATAGAGAATATCCATCATCAAAGCTTCTCTTTTGTTAACAACATACGACTAACCACCTTTTACTGATACATATCCTCATCGCCATCATGGTTGGTACAGCACCTCCTCCCAATCTAAGCGTACAGGAGAGATATGCCATCCTCCAGGGCATGGCAGACGCTCTGCCCACGCACGCCCAAGGCGACGAATCATCCGATATTGCGTCGTCCTACGAGGTCATCGCCCTGCTCGTCCATGCATATCTCGCCTCTCTCGACTTCAGGCTATGCGGCTTTGATGAAGACAAGCCCATTCGTATGCTCCCACTTAGCTAGACGACATCACATAACATGCAAGGCGCTGACACGTTGACGCAGCTGAATGCGCTTCTCTCGCCCCTCGTTTACCACCCCAGTGGAACAACGGCTTCGGCTCGCTATCATTCGTCTACAAGCACAAGCAGTCTTCCATGACCTTTGTCATCCGCGTTGATCGCATGGGCTCAAAGGTCGAGATCCGGGGCCTCGCTGTCGGTGCTGAGACCATCCAGCGTTTCGAATACAAGACTCAAGAAGTCGTCCATGCTTCAAAACTGCCCCTACGCATCAGCCTCGATGCCGACGGAAACGAAGACCGGAGCGACCTCCCCGAGAAGCTGATGGAGGTCTTGGCTGCAGACTTCATCATTGATCGCATTGTGTACGACACAAGAGTGCAGATCGTGCAAAAGCTGATTCCCAAGCTGCAAAAGGAGGGCTACGTCGAGACCGAGGATGCCGAAGCGAATGCTAGAGACGAGAGGCGCGCGCAGGAGGCTCGCGGCGAACGCAGGAATCCCTGGGTACCCAGACCCATAAGAGGCCCCGATCCAGGACCTCCATCGCCGACGCCTTATCCTCATCCTGGACTGCTGCCTGATAACGCTCATCGACGACCTCCGCCTGCTGATTTCCCACCTCCCGACTTTGAAGACGAGCACCAAATCAACAGCCCTCCTGGCCGAATCATGGGCGGGCTGAGGATGCCTCCGAGCCACATTGGCCACGACGACCTCAATCCTCCTGGCCTTGGGCCTCACGATCCGCTTCGAGGCTCATTTACAGGCGGAGGTCTTCCCCATCCCGGTGGCTTCTCAGGAATGCACCCCACGTTTGACGATCCGCTATTCACGGGCGAAGGCGGCTGGGGAGGAGACGGACCGCACGGATCCGGCTACGACCCACAGGCTCCTCCGGGGGCTAGATGGGACCCAGTGAACCCTGGTGGCGGGCCGAGATTCCCTGGCCCTGGAGGACGAGGTGGTGGCAGGGGAGGATATAACGGAGGAAGAGGAGGATTTGGAGGCTATGGCGGAGGCTATGGCGGAGGCTTTGGAGGTGATATCATCTAAATCAGAGCTTTCTGTTTCTTTTTGTTTTTGTTTTTGTTTTTGTTCTTGGTCTCTTTAACGAAGTGTATGATGGGTATGAATTGAGCTTGAGTGTACGAGTATTGACGAAACATTGAATAAGATCCAAAGAGTTCGAATGGAATGAAATCAGAACAAGTATTTTACCCATTTAAATTATACCATTCTCACTTACCATTCTCACTTACCATCTCGGATTAACAGTAAACCATTGAATTATACAATTTTCGTTCCATCTCAGATAACTTGTGAACCAAAACTTATATATATCTTATTCTCTATACTATCAAAGGTATCTATCACCACCCGCCACTCTACCATCGTAATGCTTTCATTTCAATCGTAATCTTTTAGCTTATATTTCCTTTCTTGTATCCATAATGTGGTTTTTTTTCCCTTCCTCTTGATTAACTTTCTCTCTCGCTTTACTGTAAAGACAGAATTCCCCTCCCAAAGAATTTTTTGTGCCCCGCCTACCCAAGGTAAAAGTCATTCAGCGTCAAATCATCTTCCGCAGGGCCTTCTCCCGAACAGTCACTCTTGTAACCCTCTGCTGAAGCAGAAAGGTTTCGGACATGGCATAGCCCCCCTACTGGCTTGCAGCATTGGCCACCTCATTCAGCTTCGCCTTTTCGTCGTTTGTTAGCATGTTATACCACTCCTGGAAGTTGGCCACATTCTCGCGGCCGCAGCGGATGAAGAATTCGGTAAGGTACTGCTGGGTCTCGTCGTCGCGCTGTCGTGCGCTGGAATCCATGCCGTAGGCCATGAGCTCGGCCTTTGTCGCGCCCAGGGAGAGGTCGAGTGTATCGTCTTCGTCTTCCCAGCCTTCTTCGTCGTTGTCTTCGTCGTCGAATTCTGCAGAAGTGGTGACGGCGGCAGAAGCGGCGTTCGCAGCAGCTCTGGCTCCCGATGCGGACAGGAGCTCCTCAATCAAGACCTTGACAATCTTGAGAGTCGCAGGGATGATGGTGTACTTGTCGGGGTCTATTGTTTTGGTTGGTGGCTTATTAGTCTCATGATCTTCACTTGTGTACTGTTGGTACAGTCGGTCCATGATGGCGTCCGTACTGTGAATACTGGAAAAGTTTGTTGACATACTCTTCTTGGCGCGGGATCGGGTTTTGATCATTCCATCGTCTGCGCCGACGATCAAGTCGCCCTTGACTGAGGTCTGTGCTACTCGAGGGTCGTTGAGCGAGTAGAGCTTCGACAACGCAATGACGCTATCAACATGTTAGCAAATTCACATCTGTTCAAAGCAGGGCGGTTCATAGATTTTCCCGACGAACTTTTGTCTAATCTCATCGTAGCCGGCAAAGTTGACAGAGTTTTCCAGCCACTTGGCCAAAACAACCTGAAGGCCGCTCTCGCCGTTGATCTGGATCTGGCTCAGGAACTCAACAACATCTTGCGCGCCACCTAGGGACAGTCGCGCAAAGACGATGATAAGAGACTGGATGAAAGCGGCGGCTTGCGCGGTAGCCAGTCGGTTGGCAACGGCCTGCAGAAGCTGTGGCAAGAATGGTCCCAGCCGTTCCTGTCCAGCCTTCTCTACCAGCTCGGCGGCCAATCCTCCAACTTCAGAGGCAGCATTGTCTTCAATGGAAGGACCCAAGAGTCGGTCAATAATGTGCAGGCAGACTTCCAAGCCAGACCGGCCGTTGGAGTCGTGCCAGTTCAAGACTTGCTGGTGATCATGCACCAGAATCCACTTGACTGCCTCAGATCCAGGTCGCAGAACGTCGCCCTCGGTCGATTCCATGAGCAGGCGGTTGAGCTTGGGGAGCGCAGCAGCCACGAAGCCCTCTGGGAGAGGCTCTGAGGCATGCTCTGTCAAAACGACCAGCAGCTCTGTTGCGACCGTAACAAGGGGGTTGTCCTCTGTAAGGTTGGCCACATCAAACGCGCCAGTCAGTGTTGGCAGAATGCGAGCGCACAAGGCAGCATACGAAGAGGCGTCTGAGAGACTACCGACGATATCCTCAAATGCTTCAGTTACCAGCATTGTGACTTGGAAGTTGCTAGCTCCCAGCTTCGCCAACAGGAAAAGGAGGTCCACGGACGGAATGTCGCTAGAGATGGCAATCTGGCTGTCCATGCCAATGGCGGCTCGGAGGGTCTCTGTCAGGGTGACGAGGAGCTCGTCAGCAGCTTCCATTTCCTCAGGGTCCTTGCCGTTCATATAGGCCTGGATGGAGGCAACGATGGGCGTTTGGCGATCAACGGGCACACGTCCCGAGTTGATCAGGCCTTCAATAGCCTTGATGCACGCGACTTGCACAACCTCCGACTCTTCGGTTGTAATGGAGTGCACGATGCGATCAACCAGGTTGGGCGGCGTCTGGTGCGAGCGGCCAATGATGCCACCCACGAGATATCCTCGGGCGCGCAACAGCGGTTGCTTGGACTGGTTGATGGAAAAGTCGACGAGTTCAAGGTATGCACTGGCAACGACGTCGGGGAGAGGCTTGCTCAAATCCTCAAAGTCGCTGACAAGCATGACGAACAAGTACAGCGCCGCCTCCTGGCTCCTCCATGCTGAGGGGCCCTCGCCCGGGAATAGAGTCTTGGTGTATCCAAACAGGCCATCAACCGTCTTCTCATTGAACCACTCGCCAAGCTTGATAAGAAGGTCGCCGGCAGCAGTACGAGCAGTGTAGTTGGCCGTGACCGAGGTTTCCTCCGCCAAGTATAAAGAGCAGTCGAAATCCCAGAGCTCCTGCTCCTCGCGGGTCACTCGAGAATATCCAACAAGCATCTTCATAAGGTCCATCATCCAAGGGACTTCGTGGCCAGAGACATGGGCCTGCAGATGGCTGTCGAGCTCCGCTTGGACAGGGGGCGCGCGGAAGCATTGGTTCAGGAAGTCAAGCTCCTCCAGGATGAGAAGGTCGAGGGTATAGGGAAGGTTGTCTGAGTCTTCCAGGCGAGATTGCACCTCGTCAATGATGTAGAGTTGCTCGTAAGCGGCCTGCATAATGCTGAGCTCTTCCCACACCGCGGTGAAGAAAATTGTGCTCTGAGGGAGAAGGAGGTTGGGGAAGACTCTGCGAATTCGGAGGAGGGTCTTGACTACTTGCAGCTTGAGGGCAATAATGCTGTTCCAAGCTTCTGGTTGGGCGCCAGAGCTGGAGTCGCCTTCCGGCAGGCGGCCTTTGAGTACAGCAATAAAGAAAGGGTTCCATTGTGTCAGCAGTTCCTCTGCAAAAGACTTGACCTCCTTGTTTTCGTCCTTGACCATATTCATCAGATCGAAGCATCCTCGGAAAACGGAAATGGCAAGCGCGCGCAGCATGGGCTTTCGATTCTCGTTGAGGGCCACCTCAGTAAGCGCCTTGGCAATGTCCTGGGCCATGGAGAAGAATTGATCCTCGCTCAAGCTTTCATCGACCAGGTCGCTAAGCACTCTCAAGGCTCCGTGGAGCTGAGCATCGTTGCCTGTCGGGATAACGCCGAGGATAGTTGGCAGGAGTGCGGGCCATTGTTCGGGAAAGTCGTGGATGGCGACCTTGCCAACAGCATAACTAAAGTATGAAGAAGCCATTTAGCTTTGCAGCTCTTAAACCCGCATCTAGACCCGCATCTAGACTCAATGGAGGCTTCGACTAGCCTCTGGATCGAGGCAGAAGTCAAAAGAGTTGGGAAAATCTTACCTGGCTGCGATCTTGACTTTCCTGTCCTCCTCGGGGCTCAAAGCCACCTCCAGCAAGGTCTGCTTTAGGATCTCTCTCGCTTCATCGGAGATGGGGATCTGGGGCTCCTCGTCCAGCTCCTCGACAGACCAATTCTTCTCGATAAACAGCCGCAGCGTGCTGAGAGCAGACTGTCGAATAGCCGTGTCGATGGACGAGTGGGCGGCGATGCGAGCAAGCGATATGGGGAAGGCAGGATTTGTCTGGGCTCGCTTGATCTCGATTTCAGCAGCTTGGCGGGGTGCTTGATCGGAAAGCTGAGCGTTGGCCAGGAGCTGCGCCAGTTGATCCTCCATGTCGGGCGTCGGCGATGGTGAGGACTAGCAGTTCTGGCGCGAAGGTGGTGTTGGATGCGTCGTCCTGAGGCCTCGTTTTTCCCGGCCTATTGTTTGATCTTTTGTTGTATTATTCCAAACGCGGGCCTGGAAATGAGATACGCTTCGTGCCAAAATTGGTGTTTAGGAGGGGAGATTGATGGTGGGGGATGAAAAGAAAAAGGTGGGGTGGTGACTGGCTGCGCGTCTGTGGTTGGCTGGCCACCGCCAAGAAGCGATAAGACGCAGCTTTCGCGATAAGCACGTGTATCTTCAGCGCGAACTAAGGTATCTCGGCTATGCAAATGCGTGAATGGGGACATGGCTTGTGCATCGCGGTACCAGCCAGCTTGATTATCTGCGTGTTCCAGGGTAAGAGACGCGAGGTACGATTGCCTTGAGATCGATCTGAATGATCGTGAATGGCGAATTTATTTTTTGAATTGCTACTGGGAAGAAAATGTTTATCTTTTCAAGTGTGGCCTTGCACAAAAGGTCGTTTTATTCTTTGCCCGGCTACCTTGTGTTCGCCGCATTGAGAGGCCAGCAAACAGTTGCTCAGCGTGGTCCATAAATCGTCTCATAATCCCGTCTGTTTGGCTAATTAGAATGATTCAACTCTTGCTGGCAAGCTAATTAGCAACCAGCTTCAATGTCAGTGCTACGGCAAGCTGACCATCCCCTTTCTTATGGCGGGCATATAGATGAAATATTTCGTACAGGGAAAAGAGTTGGGGTAGTGATGAAAGTCTCGTTCATAAAAGTGGTGGCATGATTATAGAGGTAGTTTCTGCTTCGCGTTGCGCAAGCGAGAAAATTTTTGCTGAAATTGTAGGCATTGGGGTATGCGCTGAAGCTGGCCAGGAGAGTAATGGTCAGGTTTCCTTTTATACGCGAGAAAGATAACCTATCCCATTGTCAGGTTACGGATACTACTAGTAGTTGATACTTACCTTTCCGCGACAGGACTAACTAAACCCTTACTATATATTAAGGGAGACATTATCCAGCACCCCAATTCTGTTATCCAACCCTCCAGCTTAGGCATGGGCTGCTGCCAGTATTATTACTATTGCTGCTGCTACTACTGCTAACTGCTGTTATTACTACTATTGCTATTACTGCTATTACTGCTATTACTACTATCACTGTTACTACTACTACTATCACTACTACTCTTCCCGCCAGAAGCGTGTCAAAAGCGGAAACCGAAGAAGAGGCTACACGAGTGACGATGAAGAGGACGCGTCGGCCTTGCGATGCGGTAGTATAGAAGACTTGGGCGAAGATGCCATATTTCTGCTGCAGGCTGGCGACCATGAGGACTGTGAAGTAATCATGTCGAGAGCAGCCAAGCTTACGGCGCTGGAGGGGTTGATGCTGCCATCAAAAGTCATCAGCCGAATCGTTAAGGCGGATAATAAGCTGAGGGCAAACCGACGAGCAGCAAATAGACGGGAAGAGAATAAGAAGAAGCTCGATGCCGAACTCAATCAGGCAATAGCTGCCCGTCTTTCGCAACCCCGGGGGCACACCGTTACAGGTTCGCACGAGGACCAGTTCTACGTGAGTAGGGAGGCTTTTGACAAGGCGCTTGAAAGCTACGATTCGCTGTGTAAGGAATACGGCGAAAAACCGGCAACAACAACTACGAAAGCAGACCCTACCACTACGGAAACAGATCCTACAACTACAAAAACAGCCCATATAATTAGAGAACAGCTCATACAACTAAGAGAACAGCTCCTGGCGTGATTCAAGGAGGATGGGCCGAATATACTGGTTTGGAACGCTTTACCATCCAAAGAATATCGAGACGCTTGGCTGGCAAAACACTATCCTCTGACATTCCAGACAACCAACCAGGTCCCCTTTTGCGATTGAAGAAAGAAGAGACTGAACAATAGAAATAGTGTAATATTTAATGTCTTGTTTTGGAAACGAGATTGGGGGTTTGATGAAAAACTTAGATTCTATGTATCTTTTGATCCGTCGTATTGGTCGCCTTATGGTCTACCTGAGTAGACGAACCCGAACATGTTGAGTGCATGTGCGTGTATTTGCTGCTATTCTAAAGCCTTCTAGAATTCGGCAAGTAAGTACCTATGTAGGTAGTTCTGCATCTGCACTGCTGTAAGCCCAATGATTGATAAACGCTGCAAGGTCTAAAATGCGTGCAGACCGGATCTCGCTGGGGCTGCTTCATGTCAGATTCGCCCTTGCATCGATCCCTTCTGGTGTCGCATTTCCCCCTCATTCATACTCTGTAAAGTAAATTGAGGTGTTGGTCTATGTAAAACAAGCTTATTACTGTCTCACACCATTATTTGAAACACAAAGAAGAAAAAGGCCATCTGTTGTACGCCCATCTTCTCCAAAGCATCACGCTTCGCTCATCTCCGCGTATCTTTCCGCTATCTATACCTATTACCTAGCTGCCGGCTACTTATCTCCCGCGTATCTCCCCCAGAGATAGCAGATAGCGCTGGTGGTGATAGCGATAGCGGCTCAATCAACGCTTTATCGGCCCAGGCACCGGCATTTTTGCTCCAATTTCTGCTGACTCGATGAGATGGGGTAATTGAATTGAAACCCATCACCTCCAGGCTCTAGCTCTGCGGGATGGCGGGTCCCTCCACACTTCTGCCCGGCAATTTTCTCCCTCCACCCGCTATCTGCCACTCAGATCATCCACAGTGTCCTAGTTTATCTCTTGTTGTCGCTGCATCATCACCACCCAATGGGGGCCAAGCAGGGCATCGTCAAGAGCCCTAGTCTTCGCCTTTCAAGGCTATGAACAGACTGTATCACCACGGACACTACTTCGTTTTTGTACTAGAATTACCCAGACATGGCCTCTGCTTGTCGTCTTGCAGCAAAATGTGGCGGTAGAGAGGGCGCTGCCTGCTGATAGCGGCAAACACCTCCAAGGGCCAACATCCATCAATATCAGCAGTTCGCCGGAGCCTGGTCTCCAACTCCGCTTTTCTCGCGCATCTCAGCATCTCGTTTTATCTGCGGAGCAACGTCGTCCAGCCCGGAAGGGGAAATCTGGTAGATAAAGCCTCTGGCCTCTCCCGTTTTCTGCGCCACCCGCTGCTGAGAGTTCAAGCCTCTGACGATTCCTGCGCTGATCATTCAAGCACAAACACCGGCTTGGCTCTTGTACAACTGGGAGCTGTATTAGCAGTCAATAGGAGCCCGGCTCGCGTGCTCATCCTCGCAAAGTGGTGGATCACCGGCCCCTCCATCTTCGAGATCAGCGACCAAAACTTCTGGGCTCTCACGTCATTGGTGCGTCGGCCATTCCATTGGCTGGTGTGACTTATTGCGACCAATTACTTTATTTTCGATAAAAAGAAGAAAACAACGTTCTATGCCCTCAATTTTACAATCGCATTCTTTCTTCTTTTGAGTGGTTCATCACCATGGCGTTGCGACAGAGACTCAGATCCCTGGCGGCTAAGCTGGCCGTCGAGGCCGAGCCCGGCCTCTCGACCACGCAGTTGATGGTGCGGTCTCCTTTCTATTCGTCTCATACCTAAACTCCCCTTTGCATGATTCGTCGTGATGTCGCATCCTGTTGTATGCTCCAGGAATTACAGCGACAGCGAAATCGAGAGACCGCCAGAACAAATCACACGAGATGGGATGAGACGGCCAACACGTGGTGCTGACTCTCTTCCTAGCTCGTCAACTATGACCTGAAACCCGTTGAGAAAGAGCGCCGGCAATGGGGGCCGTGGAATTTCGTTGCCTTTTGGATTGCGGACTCTTTCAACATCAACACGTGGATGATTTCATCCTCCATGATCATCGCTGGTCTGTCATGGTGGCAGGCGTGGATATGCGTCTGGCTGGGCTACTCTATATCCGCCTGCTTCATTGTCATGACTGGGCGGATCGGAGCTACGTACCACATTGGTTTTCCAATCATTGGCCGTGCATCCTTTGGAATCTGGGGGAGTCTATGGCCAGTTTTCAATCGCGCCGCCATGGGTAAGTGAATACAATGATTGACATGAAGAGCTTTATCTTCGCTGTGATTCGATGAGAGACGTTTCATTATCACCTGCTAACATCCTTTCGTCCAGCATGTATTTGGTATGGAGTTCAATCTTATATCGGAGGTACCTGCGTCTACCTCATGATTCGCTCGATCTGGAAATCCTGGGATAGCTCTAAGATGCCAGGAAACTTCGGCACCAGCGCCACTAATACGCCAGAATATGTTTCTTTCGTCATATTCTGGTTGTGTTCATTGCCTGCCTTGTGGTTCCCCGTACACAAGGTTCGCCATTTATTCACTATCAAAGCCTATTTTGTGCCCGTCGCAGGTATTTCGTTCCTCATTTGGGCCTGTGTCCGAGCTGGCGGTGTCGGTCCCATCATCAGACAGCCCAGCACTCTTCATGGGAGCAAGCTTGGATGGCAATTTGTCAACGGCGTCATGTCTTCAATTGCCAACTTCGCAACTCTTGTCGTCAACGATAGCGATTTCACTCGATTTGCGCGCAAACCCAAAGATGCTCTCTGGTCTCAGCTCTTGACGATTCCACTGGGCTTCGCCATTACCTCCTTTATCGGCATCCTCGTTTCCTCGTCATCCACCATCATTTACAACGAACCAATCTGGAGCCCCCTGGACCTCCTTGGAAAGTTCATCGATGATGGTAGCTCTGGACAGAGATTCGGCGTCTTTATAATCGCCTTGGCGTTTGCTCTAGCTCAGCTGGGTACGAACATTGCCGCAAATTCCGTCTCTGCCGGAACCGATATGACTGCACTGCTCCCGCGCTACATCAACATCCGCCGAGGATCGTACATTTGCGCCATCATTGGTTTGGCAATGTGTCCGTACAACCTACTCAGCAGCTCCAACCAGTTCACGACCTACCTATCTGCGTACAGCGTCTTCCTTAGCTCCATTGCTGGCGTTATAGTCTCGGATTATTACCTCGTGCGGAGAGGATACTTGGACACCAAGGAATTGTATGATGGCCGTAGAAATGGGCCATATTTTTATACCTGGGGAATTCACTGGCGTGCTTATGCTGCCTACATCGCTGGAATTCTCATCAACGTGGTTGGTTTCGCCGGAGCAGTGGGCACAAAGGTGCCCATTGGCGCCACGTACATTTACAACCTCAATTTCTTTTGCGGGTTTCTCGTTTCGCTGGGCGTTTATTGGCTGCTTTGCAAGGTATCGCCTATCCCTGCTACTAGCGATCGATGGATGGAGGTTGGTGATCATCTAGACGACGCTCAGCCCGAGTACGACACGGGCAGCCAGCAAAGTTATGATGAAGAAAGAGACACAGCGGTCAAGGGGCATGACAAGAAAGATGCCGTGCGAGTGATGGATTTTTAGACGTATATTACGAGTTGCAGCCTTGTACATGTTAACGACCATTTAGACTTCTTTTCTTAAACATCAAGTTCGAACCAACTATACCTCCACCTGTCCTCCATATATAGACCAATTTGATGCTTTGCTAGTCGCATATTCTGCTTATCCCTTACGACGTCGTTCTCATTACCGCTGACGGATGGTGGAATGCCTACATCACCTTCTCCAATGCCTCACCTGAAGCAATATTCGAGAATCCAACTTGTGTATGGCACCTGGGTAGCGGTAGTAGCGATAATAACGGAGATGGAGGTAGTAAAAGTAATGTTGGCACCAGCAAATAAAAAGAGATAATAGTATCAATAATAAAAGTTAGAATAAGGAAGAAGAGGAGAAAGGAACATTATATTCCATTCATGGTGCCGAATCTTCTTATAGGAGTATAAGAAATAATATCAATAGTAGCAATAGTAGCAATAGTAGCAATAGTAGCAATAGTAGCAATAGTAGCAATAGTAGCAATAGTAGCAATAGTAGCAATAGTAGCAATAGTAGCAATAGTAGCAATAGTAGCAATAGTAGCAATAGTAGCAATAGTAGCAATAGTAGCAATAGTAGCAATAGAAGAACCGGTGCCTATACTAAAGTCTTCCTTTACTACTTAAACTACTACCGCTATCAAATTGCTATCACCAGTAGTTTAAGGATTCCTTAGCATATAATTGTAAAGAACCGAGTGCTTAAGCTAAGCTTTTAATTATCATCTAGCTAGTAGAACACACGACTTAAATACTAAGCCGTGAATGAATCTTTAATCTAGTAACCCTGAAGTATATTATATTTAAGCAAACTAGGGTGTTAACTACTAAAGTTAAGTGAAGGGGTTAAATAAACTAGGACTGCTATAACATCTAAGTAACTCACACATGAAAATCCGAAGCTTATTCAGTTTTAGAAACTTTGTATTAAGATAGGCTTTGGAATACAAGTAGCAATTGCCTTGTTCCTTCTTAACTTGATAAAAAGATGTTTACTCTGCATATTTGGCAAGAATATCGTTAACCTCCTTATCAGTTGGAGGCACTCCCCCACGGGCAAACAAGTTGCTGACCTCAACGTCACAACCCCTAGGACAGCGACAGTCCGAACGATCGTTGAATGCCTTGCAACACTTGGCAAAGGCGCTGAGTTTCTTGTGAATTTGGTGAACTGGACATTGGTCACCATCGAGCGTTCCGCCAGCCTCACGGCAGCAATTGTAGGTAGAGGCCACGTTGACGCCATCGGCGGAAAGGCACTGGCAGGCTTCTGTGGAAGCCAAGAGGGCAGCGATGGCGATGATGGATGTTGAGAACTTCATATTGGCCTAAGTTAAGTGTTGATACGGATAAGTGTATAGGATGGGATATTTGTTCGAAACTTAGTGGAAAAGTTGTTTTCTGTTTGTTGGCGAGGAAAATCAACACTTCTTTAGGAAAGGAGCCTCCTTTTATAGTTTTGCTTTGGACTCACTGCTTTAGTGTTGGGTGATGTAGGTCATGTTAGCAATGCGTGGTTCAGTGAAGTTGGAATACATTCATAATGTGAACATTCCTTCTTGTTGGCTAAGTCTTCTCAATGCAAAAGCAGTGTCAGATGACAAAGATAAGGGAGGTGTGCCGCAATCAGTTACCACCGAGTTGCCACAAAGAACAAATATATGAAAGAGGAAAGCCTCGACTTGATGAAAGAAGGGCAGAGATGAATATAGTCTTTTCATAAGACCTAGCTACCGTCTATCAACAAGATCGCATTTGCCCACTTGATCCCCTATTACTCTTCTTGGGATACCCCATCCTGACAAGTAATGAGCAAGGAGCGTGTGTCTAAGATCCCAAGGTCGTGGCGCCGTATCATGCTGCTTCCCCATGTGATATAACGCGGTCTGGAATTTGAACAAGAAAACCAATGAATGGACTGGCGATCGCGATCCCGCCATGCACGATATGGGAGAAGAGGCCAGTATCAAACGTCTCCGAAAGCGCCTTGACTTTCTCTGAAATAAGAAACAAAGAAGAAAGCCTGCAAGTTAGGCGGAATGCCTTACCAACACCACTCAGTGTTATCCCGCAGCGGTTAAATGCAACCTCCTCTAGTGGGAGGTATCCACATCACAGAAAGATCATCGCTAACGCCCAACAGATGCAAAGCTGTCAGCATTGTTATACGAGTTTGCCACTAACGACGTTATTATAGGGTGCCTGATTTCCGTTGCGTAACAGATGGATTTTGTTATCGCAGCTATAAAGAATAGTTAAGAGCGTAGCCCCAGAACAACAAGGCGATTTGCGAGTCGAGGTCTACAGCCATCTATCTATGTACAGGTTACGAATTGGGTAAGTAAGAGTAGCTTGTTGTTTTTTTATCCGCTGCTGCCTGTTAAACCGCTTGCAAGAGATGAGGATACAGCGAACCCTGGTAACCAACGCCGATTGGGCACACCGAAGTCATCATCGCCATCATCTCCCCAACTACCCTTCATCTTTATAAGATACACCAGCTTCTTAACCTGCCATTGATCATCCCAGCTACCATTCCCTTTATATGGGGGCTCATCGGACCATGTGGCGATCTCAAATCGACAGCCTCGGCCACCCGGATCGCTTCGTGGGTTCTATTGCGGGTTGTGTCCTCGTCGCCAGTGCAGCCCAATACTGGACCTCGTCGAGATCAATTCAGATTGAATCCGATGCTTTGAGCTGGGTTCTGCTTTTGTTTCTGTTGAGATATATCCGACGGCCTAGAGGCAGAGCTCTAATACAGGGCTTGAATCTTCCGTTTCAACATGAAGTCAAGCCTAGAACAGGTTCTTGCTGGATTGTCGGTGTGGCTATAGCTGCGGCATCTCTTTGCTCTGCTGAGAATAATGCCCCTAGTTTCTTACAAGTTAGACTCATTTGTATCCTATAACAAGTTTGAACCTATGCTGACTGCTGTCAGCCCGTTTTGGTACCGTTATTACTTTACATCGAGAGGCAGCTGAATCCCCCTCACCGGCGCTCAAAGACAGGACAGTCTGATGGATGGACAAGTTTAGCAATCACCGCCTGGGGCTCAGTGGTGATCTCCTTTGTTTAGCGTTTGTTCATTAGCTGGTTGGCAGTTACCGAACTTGCTTGGTTCAGTGTTGTCCTCCGTTGAGCTCATAGCTCTTGTCATCATCTACGGGGCTTTGATACCAAAGTCGGTAACAAAATCCTCTGACACGCCCTTTGTTGATATAGAGGCCGATATTGTAGCGCTTACTCTGCGGATCACTAGCGCTTTGCTGATTGCGTTGGTCATTCAGCGTGTGCTTCTTGGGTCTGTGTTGTTTGATCTCGGTGCGTTACTAATTGATGGTGTTGCGAAAGCTGTTACTTGGCTTCTTGCCATTGAAACGGTTCGTCAAATCTTTGCGTGAGTTCCCGATTTTGTTCTGATATGTCTAGGCTCGTCAATCTTCGTGGACCGCCATCGCGGTTATTAAGACTTTGGCCATTTTTGCTACACGCAGCCCATTCACACAATCTTTTGGATCGCAGGCGTTGGCTAACATCGTTGGCTCTGCCCTCATGCTTGGACAACTTATGGCGTTAACCTTGAAAGTATCTAACTAAAAGCTTCTGTGGTTGTTTTTGGCTATCCCCGTTGTTGCTTACCTGGCAAATATACTTGCCATCCGAACTGCGTATCTAAGAGCGGTGACGTTTGCCGATGCACATGAGCATCCCGTTGAGACATTGACCACGCAAGCAAACGCTGAGTTTAATAATTTGTTACTTCGTCAATCCCAATCTTATACTGCCGCTTGCGATGAATACCGTCGTCGATATAATTTTGAGCCGCCGCCTGGTTTTGAAGAGTGGTTCAACTATGCCAAATCTCACGACTCAAAAATTATTGATGGCTTTGACGTTATTTATGAGTCTATCAGGCCACTGTGGAGTTATAGTGGCAAGGAGATCAGTCAAGCGATGAAAGATGTGCAAATATACTCAGGAAATGAACCCTGGTTATGTAAATTTTCTGGCCAGACAGGCTACACAAACTGCGCACACAATTGGCGCAGTTTTGACCGGCATGTGAGCCAGTTGTTCAACCAACTCATGAGCGACGTCAAAGGCTTGCCGGACGTGGAGTTTCTGGTCAACCACCTGGATGAACCCAGAGTTGTGTTTCCGGGAAAGCATGAACAGTCCAATCATAAATCTGGCGTCAAGTTGAAGAATCTTTCGCGAGCTCCGACATGGAGCGCTCTCACACTCACTGCGAAGATGCCGAGATCAAAAGTGCCGACGATGCCTCATCTCCAATCACCTCATTTGGTTTGCCATTTATTCAAGATGGGGCTTCCTCTAAAGATATTTGCAAACACCCTGATTACGAACACATGCACGGTTTACTAATAAGCCCAACTTCCTTTCAGTTGATCGAGGGCATGATTCCTGTGCTCTCCACTGGGTCTCTGTCTACCATGGGCGGCGTTTTGTTTCCAAGCCCAGCATACACTGAGTCAGAGTTTATATACAACGACACCCACGACCCAGACTGGTCTGAGAAACATAATAACGTTTACTGGGCCGGCTCTACATCTGGTGCATTTGCTACAGACTCACACTGGAAGGATTATCACAGACACCGATTCGTAAGTCTGGTTCAGATGTTGGATAAGAAAGAGTATACATATCTCGCTGATAATCGCGGACTTGTACAACGGGTGGCGTCTTCGTTTCTGAATAGTCGGCTATTTGACGTTGCCTTCACCAAGATTTACCAATGCGCAAAGGTGGCGTGCCATGAGCAGTCCTTTTTCTACCGCTTAAAAGCCTGGGCGGATAAGGATGCAGCGTTTCAGTCGAGGTTGACGTTTGATCTTGACGGTAACGGCATCAGTGGCCGATGGTACAAAATGGTGGCTTCTAAATCAGCGCCGTTGAAGCAAACTATTATCCGTGAGTGGCATGACGATCGCCTCTTACCGTGGGTACATTTTATCCCAGTCAGCCTCGGCATGGAAGAGCTGCCCGAGCTGGTTATGTATTTGACCTCTACGGAAAAAGGTCAGCAGATGGCGAAGGAAATTGCAGATCGTGGCAGATCGTGGTATTCTCACGCCTTGAGAGACGTGGATATGAGTGTGTATGTATATCGCCTGCTACTTGAGTTGGCGAGATTGCAGGACTCTGAGAGAGAAGCGTCCTTGAAATCTAGCCTATAATCCAAGATGAATGAAGCTTTGTTGAAGTAAGTAAACCGTCATGGCTAGTTGAACTAAATTGCCATAGTTTGTTGTGTGCGTAATTTACCCATATTGTCGAAGCAATAGAGGCGGGGAAAGTGATACTCTACCTTCTACATAGCCTTTTCAACAACAGATAGTTAATAATACGCTTATATTCTACTTTGACGTTTTCTTCATCTCTCAAATAATTTTAGCACCCTTTGCCTCCTGCAAGACAAAGCCTCTAGATATACAGAGTTGATGATGCCCAGTAGTGTAGCTAGCTTTAGAAAAATAAATAAGTTACAGCTTGTATATACAATAATTGCACCTACACCATCTCCTTAGTGTAGAGACATTGGTAATTCTGTGCTTGATAGGTTGTTTCTATAATAGTCAATTCACAATATGTAAGCGCGTATACCTACAACCTGCCAACCAGTTTGTACAGACAACTTGCAGTTATGCTCATTGCATCACTATTCCCTTAGATTCGTCTACAATCTTGCGAGCTCGAGCTTCATCACGAGGTATGATTTGAACTCCAAATTTCTCTGGCAACACTGAAAGTCCTTCCGTGAGCTTATCAGGGTCAGGCAAGATGGGTTGGCCATTTGAGTCAAGCTCGGGAAGAAAGTCAAAAGCCCAGAGCATCCGCGAGATGGCAATAAAGAGACTCCTCTCAGCAACGTGAATACCGAGACAGATCCTGCGGCCGCTTCCAAAGACATAGTGGTCGCGCTTAGACGGGTCTGGATTCAGTGCTGAATCTGCTGCTGAGGCCATGTCGCCTTCAAATCGCTCTGGTTTAAATGCCCGCGGATCAGGATACCGTTGCGGGTCCATGTGGATGGTGTAAACATTGTTGACCAGTCCTGCACCAGCAGGAATTCGGTATCCCATGTATTCGTCCTCGCGATTGGATGCGTGTGGAACTCCTGCAAGAAGCGCAGTGGGCATCCATCGAAGTGACTCCTTGACACAGCCGCGGATATATGGCAAGCTATCCTCATCATCCAGTGTTGGAAGGCGATCAGATCCAATAACGCGATCTATCTCTTCCTGTGCTTTGCGTTGTACCTCGGGGAATAATATCAATGCTTGAATAAAGCCGTATAGCGTTGATGATGTTGTGTCTGAGCCTGCCTCGAGAAAGCTTCCAGCTACGTATGCAGCCTGTTCATCTGTGAATCCATTCTTCTCTTGCTGCTGTGCAAGAGAAACGCAGATACAATCATTGTGCGTCTGGTTTTTGTAGCTTTGTTTCGCCTCGAGCCACAGATTCAGGTACATGTCCATCTCTTTCTTGTGCAGTTCCTTGGCCTGTCTCTTCATTGGGGTCAAAAATTCAGGAAGCCATCTTAAGATTGGAAAAAAATCCAAGAATGCAGATGCTCCCGTCTGAGTAATCTTTCCAACGTCGTTGAAGCCTTTGAATACCTGCAGAAGTCTCGGATCATCATGTCGTACTGTTCGCCAACTTGTCTCTACTTGTTAATAAATGATTGTGTAGTGTCATGTCAGTAAAAGAAAGTTTCATTGACTTACCCATAGATCATACGAGTTGACAAAGAATTGCTATATCTGCGCAAACTTTCGAGTATTAGATCTGGGCGATCCAACATTTCACGTAATAATTGTTTGCTTTCTAGAATTTGATACGGTACGTATGCTTTCGAGGATTGTACGTTAAGCAGCTGGTGTCCAAGTCTCCGGAACTGAGAATTTGGTAAAAGTATTAGAAACAATGATCATACCACTTTTCAGCAGAGGATCAGATTCAACTCACCATTCGCCAGCTGTCCCCGTATCCCTAGTGTCTGTGTTAACTCAAAGTCAATTCATTTATGGGTCTGTGATGAAGCTTACCAGCATCAAAAATCGATAACCGCCACTGCAAAGCGTCTGTCCAATGTACATCTCAAGACGATCGCTATGGATGCCACCACGCTTATCCAGTAGCTCTTTAATCGCCACATCGTTAGACAGCACGATTAACACTTGCGTTCCTAGGATAAGACTGTACACTGGGCCATATTCCTGTGCCCATTTCTGAAACTGCAAGTGCGCTTGGGACTTGGGGAGCTATGCGGTCGAAAAGACCGTCAGCAATCTCACTCGATGGATTGTGAAACCATCTCTTTGGAAGCTTGGCATACCTGATGAATATTTCCCAAAATAGGCAATGTCGGAGGCCCTGGAGGGAAGTCCGCCGGCCGTCTACCAATACGACTCAGCCTTCTTAATGCCTCAAAAAGGACTGCAGTGCATAAGACATATATGAGAATAGGTGCACCCATTCTGAATATGTGAAGGATGAGTGTAAGTTAATGTGTGTGCCGCCTACTCTAACTTCAAGTAGAAATATAAAGAGCAGGGTGACAAGTATAAAAGCACAGTTTACGAATACTAACGGACAAACCTTCGCTCACTCGCATTAGACTACCCCTGCAGTCGCAGAGCCTAGAATGTCTCTCCACAGTCAAACATCCGTTCCACTGACTTTTATGGTCTAGGCTACAAGTACCTATTTTGATAAGTGATGTGTTTATAATGATAATTACAACTTGTCCTTATTGAGTAATAAAAAATTGCTAAGCGAGTCAATCTAAAGCAGTAGGATCATGGCTTCTGCCTGGGTAACCTGCAATTTCCTGATAGAGAAAATGATTACGATCATGACATGCGGGGGCGTAGTTATTTAACTGCTAAGCTTCCATTTTCCGTCTAGCTAGATGCTCCTAGGAACTTCATAGTAAATTAGCGCAGCAGGTCATTGATTGGTTCCCTTCATTTGTTGTGCTCGGCGTCTTCAATCACATGAAACAGGACTAATCAAGCAATAATGAAAACTAACTCGCCTTGGTCCTTCAAGACGCCGATGAAACAAGGTAGTTGTAACGATATAAGCATGATCCTACCGACAACTGTAGCGTTCGATATGCAACCATCTCTTTGGAACCTTGGCATAATCGAGCTGACTCTTCCCGTGTCTGACGGCCGGCGGTGCCGATCAGAATCTGTTTAGGCTGCTCAGAGCCTTGCTCTTTGTTCTAGGGGCTATAGTAATAACTTAAACCTTGCGGGCAGGGGTAGCAATCCTCCTTTGCAGCCGGATCGTTGCCCTTTCGGCTAGGTGGATCAAGGATCAACAAGCAACATACAAGCGTGATAACCTTGCATCTTGGTCATCATTACACTCCTTGACCTGAAACTTGATCACAATGGAATTTTTCCGTACCGTTCGCGCGTCAATAAGCCTATGGGCCTAGAGAATAACCAGGATCGCTGTCTCGGCTTAATAGAGAGGTCGGCTGTATCTTCAACGTCTTACTAATTTTGTGAACAAGGTAGCATCGGAACGCTTACATGATCTCTCGATATGTCACTTGCAAAGATCCCTGCAAGCTCACAGACGACTGTTGAGTACGAGGATCAAACACTCTTACACTTGAGCCTCTAGCTATTCATCCTCACAACTCTTTTTCCAGCACATCTCATTGTGAGCCAATACTGCCATCATCTAGTTTCACTGTATGTTTACTAGCTTTTTCACTATGCCTGGCATTCTGGATCAAACTCCTGCGCCTGAATATGGGCGCAGGTTAATACCCAACATCATCGATGAGCGAGCCGAGAGCGATCCAACAAAAGCATTTGCGTCTATTCCGCGATCCAAAAACCTCGCAGATGGCTTCGTTGATATCACTTATGCACTTGTTGCCAATGCCATCAACCGGGCAAGTTGGTGGCTTTCACGCTCGATGGGCAATACGGAAACATCAGAGGTGTTTGCATACTTGGGTCCCAATGACTTGAGATATCCCATTCTGTTAGTTGCGACAATGAAATGCGGCTATCAAGTATGTAAAAACAAAAACAAAAAAACATAAGGATTTTGGAGACAAAAACTAAAGCATTGTGATTCTTAACAACCATAGATGATGATGCCATCGCCTCGTAATTCCGCAGAGTATCAGCAAGAGCTCCTTCGTCGCGCCGGATGTCAGACTCTTTTCTGTACCCGCGGTTTAATGGCCAAGTTGTCACCAGTGGTAGATGATCTGGATATCTTCTGCAAAATCGCACCTGATTTGAACGAGCTACTCGATCCCACGCCTGTGGCCCCGTTTCCTTTTGAGGCGACTTATGATGAGGTGAAGAAGAATCCATTTCTTATCCTCCACACGTCCGGGTCAACTGGTAAGTCTTTATCAATACACTTTTATAGTATTCTTCTCATTTAGTGTACAGGACCACCAAAGCCAATTACTTTGACCTTTGAGTGCACTACGACAGAGGACACGCATCGCCTTCTCGATGACCCGGAGGGTCGACTGTGGTGGCGCCTGTTTGCAAACCGGCGATACTTTATGGGCATGCCATGCTACCATGTAAGTAACACCCTTCTCGCGCTAAGAGACGGTTTTATTAAGACAAGTATCTAGTCTGCTGGCGTCTGGTTTTCGCTCTTCAAACCCGTCTATTTCAACTCGACGGCGGTATTTGCATTAAGCGACAGGCCTCCCACAGCTGCTATCGCCGAAGCTGTGCATCGAACCGCTGAAGTCTCTGGTGGAATATACCCGCCCTCTCTTTTGGAAGAGATTAGTCGAACAGAGTCTCTCAGCGGAGTCAAAGGCTTGGAATTTGTAGCTTATGGAGGGGGCCCTCTTTCAAAATCAGCGGGAGATCGGCTCTCTAGTATCACCATTCTTCACAATTTCATTGGCTTCACTGAGAATAGCGCACCTCCGCGGTACGTTATGGAGCCAGAAGATTGGAATTACTTTGAGTTTCATCCGGCCTCGGGTTTTTTTCCGGAACATCTGCACGACGACCTCTACAGGATGTCCTTCAAGCGTCTTCCTGAATATGAGTTTGTTCAAACAGTATTTCGGCTGTTCCCAGAGCTAGACAAGTATACATCTGGGGATATCTTGAGTCCACATCCAACAAAGCCCAATCTTTGGACATATGGCGGTCGCACTGACGATCTTATTGTGCTATCGACAGGCGAGAAGTTCAACCCCATTCCTGCTGAGCTGATGCTCAAGGGCTGTTCAGTGGTTAAAGACACTCTTATTGTTGGCGATGGGCGAAGTCAAGCCGCACTACTTGTTGAGCGTGATGCGGAGGCTACGGCCAGAATGTCACACGAGGACGTTCTAAATGAATTATGGCCGTTTGTCCAGAGGGTGAACTTGACGCTGCCTACTCAAGGAAGATTGCTGAGGTCAAACATCGTCTTTGCCTCTGCCGCAAAGGAGTTTTCACGTTCGCCAAAAGGCTCTGTGCAGCGCAAGGCTACTGTCGCAAATTTTGAGTCTGAGCTTAACAGCATCTATGCAGGTGGCAGATCGCTACCAACTGGCAATGGTCATAATCAGTTGGCTAAGAAGCCGCAACCAAATGGAAGCAGTCACGACCAATTGACTGAGAAAACACTGTCAAATGGAAACAATCAAAACCAGTTGACGAAAAAATCGATGCCAAAGGGAGAAGGGCATGACCAGTTACCCAAAGTCAACGGTTATAGACATCAGGCCAGGCTTGGGCTGACGATTGGCCCTGTTGCGAAATCTCCAGCCGAGTCATCAAATAGCGACACCAGCTCTGCAATTACAACGCCAGTATCTCCCAGAACAGTGAAACCGGCCACAGAGCTTGATATTGGCGATACCACAACGGTTTCAGCTACGACCGTATCTCGACATGAAGAGCACTTTCTTGCCAAAGAAAACGTTGATGATGAGCAAAAGCCGACGACCGTGGTGAGCGAATCGCAAGCTATCAACTTTATTCGCAAAGCTTTGGAAGCTATAGGTGGCATGCGCAGCAAAGATAACAACGATGACTTGTTCGAACTCGGACTTGACTCTGTAACGGCGCTGCAGTTGTCAAACGAGCTCCAAAAGATATCGCCACTATGGCCACAGGAGAGAGATACTGCTTTGCAGCTGGTTTATGCAAATTCAACTGTCAAAAGCCTGGCACAAGCTGTAAGCAGATTGAGTAAACTCTCAGACAACGCGACGGACTCGTCTCACTCTTCAAAAACCGTCGAAACGGTCAATGTCACTGGAGCTGTCGCTAAGCCGAAGAAACTCGATGCTGTGGAAAGCCAAGCACCCGATACCATTGAGAGGCTAATCCAAACATACACGTCGAATCTTGAAGAGAGTGCTCCAAATCGAGAAATCACCGTTGCTCTTACGGGCAGTACTGGATCTGTGGGAAGCCATCTACTGAGTCGCTTGATGGCGGAGCCAAATGTGACAAAAATATTTTGCCTAAATCGTTCTACAGATGGAGAGAAGGCTCAAAGGGCAGCATGCGAGAAAAACGGCATCAAATGGACGCCAGGAAGCAAACCAGTTGAGTTTCTCACAGTCGATCTGTCACAACCAAATTTGGGACTCAAAGCAAATCAGTACGCTGCTCTGCAGGATGAAACCGATATCATCATTCATAATGCTTGGAAACTTGACTTTCTACACACTGTCAACCATTTTGAGAAGACTCATATCGCAGGAGTTCGGCATTTAATTGACCTTTCTGCACACTCTGAGCGTCGACCACGCATACTTTTCATTTCTTCTATCGCCAGTGTCCTCGGTTGGAAGGAGAGTCGGAAAGTGCCAGAAGAGATTATCTTTTCTGATTCGGTTACCGCTAACAATGGCTATGCTCAATCCAAGCACATAGCTGAAAGAATTCTTTATGAGGCTTCACAAACTGTTGGCATTCAGGTCACAGTCGTACGACTTGGTCAAATCGCAGGACCTACGAGTGCTGGAGTTGGGAAATGGAACTCGCTTGACTGGGTGCCTCAGATTATATACACGTCTAAATCGCTTGGAGCCGTACCAAAGACTCTGGGCATGGCTGATGACGTTGACTGGGTTCCGATTGATCAACTGCCTGGTATTCTGGTAGATTTGATCCATCATGATCTGAAAAAGCCTGAGAGGTTTCAAATCTACCACGCTGCAAATCCTAACCCAGTGTCATGGGGATCTCTGCTTCCGGCGATATGCCACCGTCTTGGTGCTGACGTGCAATTAGTTAGTTACCAGCAATGGCTAACAACGCTTCGCAATAAGTCTGGGCACGCTGAAGATGTGAAAGAATTCCCAGCGCTTCGCCTTATGGGCTGGTTGCGGCAATTGGATGCCCCTATGGGCGTCAAGTTACCAAGTCTTTCTACGGAGATTATAGCCCAATCTTCAAGCACCTTTTCTACTCTGGAATCAGTTTGTGGTATGTGGATGGAGAATTGGATGGAGACTTGGGGACTTTGATTGAAAGTCTAGTTACACCTTTGCTGCTGGGGGATTTATACGGCAGTCCAGCTACAGTTTTGCTCCCATATTTGTTTTCTTTGTCCAACACACTGTCTCTTTCAATTCTTCATATTGTCATCATTACTTACTATCCATACAATTACAACTCTCAGTTTTTTGAATATTATTTTTTTGTCTTCCACTTCAGCATTATTTCCAAAGTTCTCTACGCATCATTTACGTCACGTATATTTTATCCACTATGATGCAGTATGTTTATTGAAGAAAAAGAGGCTTCCACTCCTGATCACGTATCATCTATCGGCCTATGAGGTAAAGACTCACAGCTTTTACCAGCACGTGCCCGTGAACAACAAAACTCTGTAGCTCTTTTACGGACCCTAGGATAGTTGCCATAGTGAGCCATGACGAGTCGAAACAAGGGATTAACCGAGGCCATTGCGTGGAAGGGATGGATGTGCTCAGTACAGACCGAGTATCTACTCTCCACTTTGCAAAGAAGACTTTGTTATCCTTGGTTTCGGCAAAAGTTACCACATGGTGAACAATCAAAACAAATGCAGAGGACAACCAACTACCTATGCAGCTACGAGAATGTGGCGCTGTAAGAATGAGTGATCATCGCTTACGACGACGTATACATATACATCACCGCTGTTTAATATATAAGGACGTTGATCCTTGCCTCTACCTTGTCCTTCAGCTCAGCTTTGTTCTAATCCTGAGGGATGGGCCGATTGCGCACTTCTACGGAGTACTCCGTACTAGGCTCCCTACCCTATGCATGCAGTTACTATCTAGTTCCAGTAATTTTTTAGAAAGCTGCGAAGATCCCGAGGCTAAGGCCATCCTAAGATGAATCCAGATTTGCTACCCCTGCATATTACTATAGACCCATGTAATCTTCGGGAGTACTCTGTCAACGGAATCTCGGCCGAGACTTATATTGTGGGGATCTTACATGCCGAGGATCCTGTTCGAGACCCTTTGGCCGCCTAAATGATAATCAATACAGCCACGATATATGCCAAGGCACTAATTATAACCATGTATTTCTTTTTGTAGCAAATGTAAGGCACCAAGCTTTGTTTTAGAGGATGACGAAGCGTAACTGCAAAAGCTAGCAATTCCCTCAGCTTATTGAAAGAGGACGCCAGCCTTTCGGTGCACTTTTCACTTGGCGAAGATGCGCAGAATTGGGATCCGTTGAAGAATCAAACAGTAACAAAGGTATGGCTACTAAAGATTTACATTTGAATAGCTTACAGCATGCACAAAACTATCATTATTCAAAGCTCAAGTGAATCGAAAAGTATATATATTCAAGATAATCAGTATGTTTGTGAAATATTTAGTGACTCTTGCCATTAGTGTACTCAGGAAGCTTCTGGCGAGGAGGAATAGGCTATTATTGTCGATTAGTATAATGTCATTGAACAAAAAGGAATGCACAATTGAGTCTTACCTTGGGATCCTCCACGTAATCGAAGTGGCCAGAATTCTGAAGGAGCAGATTGTTCTTCGGGTTCGCTTCTCCATTGAACCACATGGGGAAACCAATGTCAAAAGGTGCGGCATTTTCAATCATGTCCATGTCTTGTTTCGTAAGCTGAAGAGTAAGAGCTTCAATGTTACTCTTGAGATGTTCGAGCTTCCGGCCTCCCAGAATTGGGAAGACGTATGGCGTTTTGTGTAGGAGGTAAGCCAATGCCACACTAGTCATCGGAACACCCTTGATGCGGCCAATCTCCTCAAGCACTTTGCCTACCTTCTTATGGTTAGAAGTATCCATAACGGGAATGTTGCGGCCGGAGTTCTTGTTCTCCTGAGTGTGACTACGCTCGGTATCAGTCTTGAAGTAGCCGCCGCCAAGGGCACCCCAAGGAGCAAGCGCCATTCCTTCTGCCTTGCACATGGGGATGATATCTCGCTCAAAATCGCGCGCAGCACAGGACCAGTGGCCCTGGTAGACGCTAAACTGGCGTAGTCCGTGAGATCTCGCATCTATGAGAGCATTAGTTATGCACGGCATTGGCACTTTAGGGGAGGCCACATACATTCGTTGGCACGGGACACAACCCACGCAGGCGTGTCGCTGATACCCAAGTACAGCACCTTGCCCGAGAGAACCAGCTGGTTCAAAGACTGCATAATCTCTTCAATCGATGTTGTGAAGTCAAACCAGTGGACGTACATGATGTCGATGTAGTCCGTACGCAACTTCTTCAAACTTGCCTGGACGGTGGTGTAAAGGCTCTTGGTAGAGTTTCCAGTAAAGCTGGAGTGCTGGATGCCTTTCTCATGAATACGGAAACCGTTGCTGTACTTTGTGGCAATGATCATCTCGTCTCGGCATCCTCGAGACTCTAGCCATTCGCCGATCCAGCGCTCTGAGTTGCCGCCTTGGTAGTTGTTGGCGGTATCAATGAAATTGCCACCATGCTCTTTGAAGTAGTCCATCATGGCAAAAGCCGTTTCTTTAGAACATGGCCCCAGGAGGTCATCCCTACATCTGTCAATTGCTGTGAAACACAAACAGAATGGTCAAGATTAATTTACCAGTTGCCGCCAAAGTTCATGGTGCCCAGGCATAGCGGACTGACTAGAACACCAGCTCGGGGTGAAAGAACTCTGTGCACGCCCAGTGCTTCAGGCTCCGGTGGCTGAGGAAAAAAAGGCATGTTGTTACTTGAACAAGGTTAACTTGGTATAAGTCGGGTAAAGTTGCCTAGGTAGATTTGAGTCTGGAAAACGGAATCTACTCCGTTGCAATCCCACAGGCAAAGCGCACTAAATAAATACTTTTCATGAAGCTTGGCATGTCGTGCCTTATTGGTAGTTTACATTAACTCCAACGAGGTTGGTAAATCCTTGTAATCACTAATTCTAGACCGTGACGACGAAAACATACATGATGACAAGCAATCCTTCGTAACAACAATCACCGTAGCAAGCACCCTAAGCAGTAATTTCGGCCACATTTCTCCTGCATGGAACATCAATTCTCCATGCATAGTCCCTAGATTCGCCACGAAAAACGCTGGGACCCTGGAAGCTTTCACCTTACCCACAGTGTCCATGGATGAGCTCGGTGGATTGCTTATAGCGGAGCCCTGCTGCATGCCCCCGCGAAGAGGATTTCAGATTTCATTTATATTTTATCTCAATTTATCTTTTTTCATAGAATAAAGCACGGACTCATGCCATTTGTCAAAAGTTCTCGGCTTCTTCCCCAATCTCCACTATGTTCTCTGTATATGCATAACGTCTCATACCCTGGCTGAGCCAGCATCGGCTTTCGGTGGATATACCTCAACTGACCCCAGACCCCTGACCTGACGTTGAGGTATATCCACTGAAAGCCGTACTATGCCCTTGTCAAGCTTTGTTTAATAACCCCGCAGGCGATCCATGCAGCGGGGTTCCATCCGCATCTCACCGGTGAGCCAACTGCCGTATAAGGCAAGTACTGTAAACCGAAAATAACTGTCAGAATTCTTTCATCGTATAAGCAAATACAGAATAATAATCAGCCCCTATATGGACAACACCTTGACATTACTACATCAAGGCTACTGGGTACTTTAGTACACTATAGCTTTAATTCGTAATATGATAGCGCTATTTCTTGGCATTTTCTTATAGGCACGCTTTCACAAAGTTGTAACAGGCAGCCGGCGTTTCCTTGATACTGGGCGTTTAAGCAGTGATAAAGAAGTATGGGGGTTTGTAACTGTGCAACTCTTTTTAACTGTAAAGGGCTAGTTAGTTTAGCTCTTCTATATGCGTTACGCCAGACCGTATGGGCTTTGAACACATACAATGTATCCAGAGCCGGAAAGAGGCCCGGGCGTCAAACCCGGTAATTTCTCTCCTCCGTGGTGTCTGTATCACAAAAGCTAGTTATAAAGCAGTCATGGAGACAGAAGTTACCGTGCAATGTTTCAGTCTTCCTCCTTGTTTTCACTCAGAAGCCTCACCTCTATCGCTACCTTGAAGAGCCTCTACCATACCTCGCCATAATGCCGTTTATTCCTCTGGAACCTGCCAGTGTGCAGCTACAGCCTCAGAATGTGAAGCGAGGCGTTATGGATCTGAACTCTATGAAGCCTCAGGGTCATGGAAAAATGAGCCTCTTGCTCAAGGCTGCAGACTCAGATGTGGTGACCCAAAAGCGCAAGTCTTCTGCGGGATTGCACCCACCGCCGCCCAAGTCTGTAGCAGAAAAGGCTGCTGCAGCGACTGTCGTGCTGAACCGCTATCGTATTGAGTACCAGAATGATTGGGATATGCCAGCATCAATAATAGGCTCAAAAGAACTTATTGAGGGATTCATTAATCGAAATGAGTCAATTGAACTTGTCTTACCGGCGTTCCCTTTCAAGTCTTCCAATAAGTCGCAAAAGGTCCTTGGTTCACTTCCAGATGAAGCCGAACGTATTTCATTACTGCATCTCAATGGACTTTGTGAATCCATCAAGGAAGTAACAGAAACTGACTGTTATCTCACAATCATCTCCGACGGTATTTCATATAACGGTATAACGCTTCACGATCCTCACGTTAACTACACATAAACATTTGCTAACATTATCTCTAGACCTCTTAGACGTCTCTGATAGTGAAGTGTGGATATATGGTCAGACGCTACGCTCTATGGCTCAGGAAATAGGATGCAGTAACATCCGGTTTCTACGCATTTATGAGCTGTTAGGGTCAGAGTATAGTCACCTAACTACATTAACAGAGGAAGAGTATCTTTACATGGTTCCTGACTTTCGAAAAGGACTGGAAAGTCATCTGCCTGAAGGATATAACGTTGCGGAAGAAATCTTACATAATGCGGACGTAACTGCTACGTACCGCGGCTATAAGAAATTCCTAGAGACTGAGCGAGATACTAAGCTTACAAGCGGTCGCTCAAGAGCCGATAAAGAAAACGCGGAGATTGCTAAACGGATGTTAAATCGCGGCAAAGTAAGTTATAAATGCAATTGGATAAGCTTTGAATACCACTCAAGCTAACCTGTCGAAGGCTTTTGCGCAAGCTATCAAAAAGAGGTTTCCAGTCGCTATCCGTCTGTCAATCCATCCGTCTACAGATGTTGACAAAATCTCTATTACGCTATTACCACAAGATAACGAGGTGCCTATGACGCCCTGGCATGGCGCTGTTATGCGTAAAGTTAACGGAACAATTACTATGACACATGCCAATAAAGTTCTGGCCATATCTCACGAAATTGTTTACCAGAACGGCCGTCCTATGTACTTCCGAGAACGATCTGATCTCTTCTCATGGAATGAAAAGGACCTCGAATTTGAGTATCTTTACCCCACGGGCATAATGGTTCGACCACAAAATCCTGCTAAAAACGCTCTCTCCACTGTTGATATGCAAAAAGTTCGCCAATTATCTGAGCTATGCTCTCCTGTTATTCTCCGTGGCTTCACCAACACTAGGGACCGTCGCGCCTTTACTGCTAAAGCATATGATCTCGGCACAGTCTTGCCCTGGAAGTCAGGCATCATCCAGGAAGTCAAAGACGAGCGCAATTCCGACGCCTCGAGCAATAGTGTTGTCTCAAAAGAGGCTATGCCCATGCACTTTGACGGCATGTTCAAGCTCAAAACGGTCAAAGACGAGAAAACAGGAGAAGACAAGCAGGTATCCGACGTTCCGCGCTTTCAATATTTCGTCTGCCAGGCCGCCGCGCCTTTAGGACACGGCTATACTCTATTCTCGTCTTCAAACCAATTTACTCGCTACCTACCGCAATCTTATAATCTTAAGAAACTACTCAAAATCCGTTGGAGCACCCATAGCCATGGCTATTTCCAGCATAATATGAGCGATATCTCTCTAATTGTGCCGCATCCATCGCTAGGGACGCCCTGTGTGCGTTGGCTTCAGCCATGGCCTCGCTGGAGGACTGCTTATAACTCGCATGACATTAGCATTGACAATGGCTCGCAGAATCTCATCTCTTTGATTGACTCGATCCTTTTTGATCGCCGAGTCTGTCTTTATTTTACCTGGGAAAAAGGCGATGTTTTGGTGTCCGACAACTATTCGATGCTACACACTCGCACTGCATTCAGGGGAGACTGTGACCGCGAGCTGTGGCGTATCCATGTTGACTAATTAAGCAAAGCGGCGAAGCGGCTTTGCGAAGGTAGCAACCGAGAAAAGTGTACATAGACTTCCAGAATTGCTGGTTTAATGATGCTTATATAAAGAGATTTCAAAATTGAGAGAGCAAAAAATACAAAATTCAACGTTGGAGCAAATGAAATAACCTTTTACATGGACCTGGCATCATGTGATCTCGTTGAAGTGCCGTCCTAATTTACAGCAAAGTTTCTCGTTTACTAGGCCGTATCTGTTATTGAGTCCGTATCACTGTCACTAAATTCTTTTCTCTGTAACCTCCAAGACTAATATATCCTAGATTCTGAGACTGAGAACTCGCAATAGCGTCTGTCGCAGAAGATCCTCAGCCTCCTCCAGACCTCCCCTGATATTCCCTCTTCAACACCAGTTCGTCAGTATACGTATTGTAAGTAAATTAATCCTCAAGATCAGTTTATCAATCGGACAACAACCCGGTGCCTTTGTCAACAAGTGTTCAAACTGCCGATAATGCCAAAACGGCCCAGCAGGCCGAGTAAGTTGCATTTCTCATCGTCAAACAAATGTGCTAACCACATAGATATCTCAAGCTGTACGAAGACAGTTATGCCCATCTATATATCTATAAGAGATTTATCAAGGGAAACGTCCCTTTCACCCAATCGCAGTTTCCATTGACCATTGCCTACAGCATCACGGTTCATCAATCACAAGGATATGCACTGGAACGCGTTTAGATTAACCTATGTGATGGTCTTGCGCGTCGAATTATTGCAGGGCATCATGTTCAACGCCACATTTGATCTTCCTGATATCCGCAGCGACGTTAATCCAGCCCATGACCCTCGTCGTCGTCACGCTCTGCGTGAGGCAGCGGCGGCGGGTTTAATTGAGACGGCAAGATCGCTAAGAAAAGGGGAGGTAGTATCAGGCTGGCGCACCTATTGTCACATCTGTTATTAATTTTTGTTCTTAATCTCCGTCTTTTACAGCTCATCAAGCTGCCTAATCATTTCACCGCATAGCCCGGGGCTCTTTGTCTTTTTCCTTCTTCTTTTTCCTCTTCTTCTTTAACAGCTCATTACGCTATGTAATTAGTTAACCACAACTAGGTATTTCGCCTAGAGAGTTTAGTCTAGTGCTCAATGTGTATATATAAGTAATGCCTTATTAATGCCCCTCTCCTGTAAGATATCTCTATTCATAGAACGCCTTATAAAGTATCACAACACATACCCTTTCACCAGAACGTCAGTTATCATTGTATGGTCGAACGGCCTGCGGGAGTGGCGGCATTCTTCTGTGAAACTATACACAAATGTATCTGCCACTGCATATGAGATGATTAACGGAAAGGCATAAGCGATGACACTCCCCATAGTCAGCTTGCATATGCTCAGCAGCAGACCACATCGTAAGCCCGGGTGACCAAGGTCAATGGATCTGGCCTGGCATTGTGAAAGCAGCCGCAAATCCATTTTTTGCTGAACTGTAGCTCTAATAGCCTTCTTATAGTATTTATGCGCGTGTGATGCAGTTGTGATAGCGTGTTGCGCGCAGTATCACCTCGCGCCATCACCGTGCGCTCACATATGTTGCACGTCCGTGATAATGCAACACAACAAAGATGATCCATAAATAAAGAGCAGCTATTAGAAGGCATTCGCAATGTCATGTGTTCAACTTATCTGCGATGGGCTTTTTTTTGTTGTGCTAGTAATAACACAAAGAAACGCTGGTCGACAAAGCATGCGAACAACCTAGCTCTTTGCAACCACTCTTCCTTTATTCCTCTGCAGAGGCAGAAAATTAAGTAAAGGATTTCTTTTCTTTTACTAGAGGCTTTTACTTTTCCCTCTAGTTCAGAAATAACTAACCAGTCATGCTAAAATGATAGATGAATATAACAGAATACAAAACCTGGACCTGTTCCCCCGTTCCTTCTCCTCTCTTCAACAGCTTTCATTATCACTCTTCCAACCATCTTGAGATAAAAGCCACCTACGCTACATTTATTAAGATAACAACCATCTACACTCCACAATGGCCACTCCAGCAACTCCACCCCGAGCCGATGCGATCCGCAATAAGAAAGCAAGGATTGCGCAACGATTTGGCCGCATAATAAGCTCCTTCACAGAGAACCGTTGGTGCACTAATTGCCTTTGAATAGCATAAAAAGAGCAAAGGAGAAAGTAGAAGCTAGATATAGGAAGCTCGTCGCCAGTCGTCGAGTTATGGCTTTACAGCAATGTCCTAGACCAATCGAGCGAACACCTCCACAATTATGTGCCTTCTGTTATCCTGATAGCATCAGCCTTGACTAACTTACTTTTGCACCCAATGGACGCTGGCACATCAAAAAGATATCGATATCCATCCCATATTTAAGCGCCATATTGGCGGCTTTGTTGCTCGTTGGCGCCATCATACTACTGTATAAGACGGAGTCAAAAGATTTGAGGCTGGGCTTGCTTGTACTTTTCACGACACTGTTGCAGCTAGTGTTGCTTCTGGTTCTTTCATTTCTTGTCTTAATGCCGCCCTCAATGAACGCGAGTTGTGTTACATAGGCATATATCACCAGAAAGATGGCTCCTTGGTATGAATCGAGCGCTTAGTAAAATGCTCTGCTAAAAGATCTTTCGCGTAGCTTCTCCGTCTATTGGGCTACTGTGATCATGGCCATAGGCAGGATAAATCAGGCCTGAGACTGTCATTCTGTTCGTGGTTGGGTGTTTGGCCAATAACAACTTGTGATTGCGAAGGGACACTCAATTCATTATCGTTGACACAACATAACCAGCAGATTGCGGTTGTCTAATTTGCGGATGAGATATAGCGAAGAGTATCCCGAGGTTAACACTGCCGCTGGTGCCTTCATGCCAATATTGCTACTGGTTTGAAGTGCCTGGCGCTGATGTTAGGTCCAAGAAGAAGTAGAAGAGCTGTAAATTGGCGACATCGGCTGCGACTGGGGCACTGGGTAACGAAGACTGTGTCGGTGGTGTTGATGAATGCCTAGCGATCGATCAATTGCTAGATTGTTCATTGTAGATGGAGATGACTGTGCATTCTTGTTGTGTTCGACATGTATTCCTTCAGCGTCGAGTAATGGGTTGCAATGATTGGTGTTTAAGACTACACAGTGATCAGTATGGGCATCCTACCGTCGCAGACAAAGATCACCACAATTCATCAAACCAGGCCGATTCATGCTGTAGATTCCTTTAAAACTAGATAGACCATGCATAGGTAGCTATTATATACCATATCGTACACATATTTAATAGAAAGTTAAAAAAGAAAGAAACACCTTTAATGGCTTCAATATCGAATCCTGGCAGCAATGCATCCCGTTCCCTTCGCATCTTACGAGTTTCTATCTCGTTGATAATGGCACACACAAAGAAAAGAAAGGGAAATCATAATCCCTTGTTAGCTAAAGCATAAACAAAGCGGTAAGCTCGTTGTTACCGCATCTTCCCAGATGCGTTTCCCTGCTAGAATGCTGAGGCGTTAATGACGCGAAGTCGAGTCGTAGTTCCGGTGAGGGTTGCCAATGCCGCCGGGCTTGAGCAGAGGCTGGTTCTCTCTGGCGATGGCTCGTTCCTCTCGTTCTTCCATATCGTCCAAGTCTTCCTCGGTTTCGGCGTACCGTTCTGGGTGGCCTGTGAAAGGACCTGGTAGGCCGCGCTCCCAGCCCTCAGAGTAGGTGCGAGGAGCGTATGGACGCTGTGGCGTAGCGTGGTGCTCGATGGGTGACTGAGGCGCACTGCTGGTGTAGCTGTGCGCGTATTCTTCGTTGCGTCTCGCAATTTCGTAGTAGATGGCCATTGCAAGAACACTACCTTGCATGAAGGCCGTCAGGAGGTATATGGCCCATGTGCTCCAGCCCTCCATGCCAAGTCTTGCGAAAAGACTGGCAGCAAATAAAAGACCTCCCGGCGTCTGGATGCACATCATGGGGATGCTCAGGCTACCGACGTGCTTGAGATGGTAGGTCGTCCATATCTGAGGAACATATTGGATAGCCGCGAGAGCTGCAGACATGACACCGAGAAAATTGGCCCAGATGTTTAGCTTGTTAGGCAAGGCAATGGCAAAAACGCCCGTCAGTGCAATCACAATCAGTCCGTGAAGGATGCTGAGGCCGCCCACAGCGAGAGCCGTTTGCCATCTCGGGCTCTCTCCGCCAAGCTCATCTTGAGGCACGTTGGCTTCGCGATAGCGGAAGAAGATGAGGAACAGAACAAGGCTGAAGTAGAAAAATCAGCGAGAGTACTTGGAACAGACGTGGGACAAAGGATGGGACAAAGGGCAGTGACTCACATGGCAGTGAAGCACAACCATTGTGTTCCCAGCTGGGCAACACCAAGCAGGCCGGCAGCACATTCGAATGTCTCCAGTTCTCTGCAGCAGCCAATGGCGTTGCGGGATGGTGCTACAGTAAGGATGTTGGCGAAGCCAGCGGTGGCGGAAGTGGTGCCCAGCAGGACGAAATAGGGAGATATGCCTTCGGAGGTGCCACGAGAGATGATGCGATAGTGCTGGGGAAGATATGAGATCAGAAGGCCGATGAGAATGATGCTGCCGAGGACTGTCAGAATCTGTGCCAGAGAGAAGCCATATGGAGAGGAGGGAAGCTCACATGGAAACAGTCAGCTCGATGTAGGAGGGCGTCTTGAGGCTGTCGCAGGACGAGGCCGTGGCGGTTGCCAAGGGAGAGGCCTCCATGATGTTTGTTTGCAGCGGTGATGCAGAAAGTCTCGAGAATGTTCTTCGTTTCGATTTGCAGTCGGCCGTAGTGGAGTCGCGTAGGTCGGAAAGGGGGAGCTGGAAAGGGAGAGAAGATAAAGCTGGATCTTATCTCGGATCTCGCACGACGTCGAAGTTGATGGTGGTCAGGCAGTCTTTTGTCAGGCAGAGGGCCGCGAGGATATGGCTGGGAGTCGGGGCTATGCGGTAGTCATGGTCGTCGGGAGCGTTGTGGCCGAGAAAGAGAGAGGAATAGTCGGGGGTCGAGATGCGCTCAGCTCAGGGTCAGGCAAAAGTGAGCGGCGAGAGACGAGCCAAGCGAGGCAGAGGCAAGGCGGTTTCTTGGGTTGTCACCGAGAGGATGGAGAGTCTGAGCATGGATGAGCTCCGTACTGGAGACGGCGGTACTGAGTAAGGCGGTACCTACGGCGGTACGTCGCGGTACTAGCCAGAGTACGGGGTACGGGGCGGGTACTTGGGCAGCACTAGGCCCAGCAGCGGATGATGGCGCCAGCTAGCAGCGGTTGCGGCTGGTGCAGGCAGCTATGGCAGTACTGGAGATATTCCATTGGATGCAGCACTTGAGTTTTATATCGTCACATGCAAAGAAAGAGTTGATTTTGAGTGTCCTTTATTAGGGATTGGGCACACATTGCTGAGTACCTAGAGTCTACCTGCAATCTCTCGCAACACAGGTTAACCCCACTCAGGGCTCATGTACCTCTCGCAATCGATATCTGGGTATCGCATGTACCTGCTCGTATGAGCACTCACCTGAACATTTTCATGCTTGCGGGCGGTCCGTCAGGCGAGTCCTCAGCCCGCAGCGGCACGCGCTGTAACTCTGCCCAAGAGGTATTTACCTCATCTGTTGCCCGTAATAGGAGGTGGTAGCAGCAGCATTAAGTACCTTCATCTTACGCTGAGCGCGGAGTGAAGTGCCAACATGTGAAATGTACAGCCAAGAACTGCTGGCTGCACCCAGCGTGCCGGCGCTGGCATCATTATCACGCCAGCTCTAAGCATCTCTCGACCAGGGCATCTGCAGTGCGACCCTATGCTGCTGGCGGGCACTGCGCTGGAGCCACTGGGCAGCTGTTCCGCCCTCTGAAAGCCCCGAAGCTAATGTACCCCGTATCCGAAGCCCAGGAGACGCACACACATTAGCATTTTTGAACTGCTACCTTCCAAAGGGGATGTTTGGCATGAGGTCAGTGGGCATTTGAGACATTAATCAGCTCATGACTCTTCTTGGCCACTGAGAATTGGCATAGATGGCCGCTGAAAGTAGGGAGAACTGGCTGCGCGCGGGATCGATAAAGCGCGAGATCACGGTATGCGGCTAGTATCAAGTACAAATGGACTCCAGCGCTACGGGCGAGATGACGTCGTTTGGCGGCGGGCAATTTAGATCTAGGCACGGCCCATTCGTACAGAGTACGCGCTAGATACTTGCGTTGGGTAATTTTCTTCTTTTTAACATCTCCTTTAGCGTCCGTGTTTTTTGCCATCTGCTCATCTAAAGCCCCCCCTTGCATATAAATCCAGCATCGCTGCCAGGATCTTAATCTCAACCGGACCACAGCAGGCAGTAATTGGCTTACCTAGGTCTGGGTGTACGCCAATCGATTAGAGGAACGCTGTTTTCTGCCATTGACCATGCAGCGGTGAATGTGGAGTTGGACAAGCCTTGCCTACCGGGGCAGCAATGCCAACATCAGCGGAATCATGGCCCAAGGAGACGCAGCAGAGTCTTGTGTCGTAGAGCGGCGCGATGAGCAGCAGAGTGAAAAAGCGGCACCTTCAATCCATCTGCTTGCTGAGCGACTCGCCAATGCCACCACAAGCGTGACCGCAACACCGCCGGATCAAAGCGAGGCGGAACAGAACCGTCAAGCAGATAGCGAGACAACGTCTCCTGATCTCAATCCAACCCGAAGCCAGCGCTTTTACACCTCCGCCCAATGGACAGCCGACGGCACCTCCATCCTCGCAGCATCCTCCGACCAGACCGTGGCCTCCTTCATTCTTCCCGCAGACCTCCTGCAGCCTGCAGGAGAACCTCGCCATCTGGCCCGTCAGGCCAGCATCAAGCTCCCAGAACCCACCCAGACCCTCGCCAGCGCGCCCTATTTCTCCCTGGCCAACCCAGCTTCGCAGACCTTTTTGGTGGGATGCCGAGATCACCCCCTCCACTTGTACCACGCGTTCCCTCAGTTCGATGATGCTGATGCTGATGGCGCTGGGGACGTCGCAAGTCGGCCCCTCTACACCTACAAGCTCATCCGCATGGAGTCGGAGCAGTACATATCCCCCGCTTCTCTGCTGTGGGAGTATCCCGGGACGCACTTCATCTGTGGCTCAGCGAACCGCATCGATCTCTTCGACGCATCCGGCCACTGCGCCGACGGGCCGACCTTGACCATCCCGACGATTCCATCCCGGCGACACATCTCCAAGGGTAGCGGCGTAGGCATGAAGGGCACCGTGGCCGCCCTGGCAGCGTCGCCTCCCGCCGATGCCAGCGGCCACGGATCCATCCTGGCAGCCGGCACCTGGACCCGCTGGATGGGGACGTACGATATCCACCGCACTGATAAGGTTGTTGCGAACTGGTCGATCGCCGATGCGGATGAAAAGGCGTTCCGCATCGGCCTGGGAGGCCAGGGCATCGTGCAGACGGCATGGAGCCCCTGCGGGCGGTATCTTGTCGTGAATGAGCGCCAGGCGGACGGGCTGTTGGTTTACGATATTCGAGGCACTGGACAGCTCCTGGCGGTGCTGAATGGTCGCAGGGCTAATACCCAGCAGCGGCTACACTTTGATGTGTTCCAGGGAGAGACTGGATTTGAGGTCTGGGCTGGCACACAGGACGGCGCTGTGGCTGTATGGGAAGAGGTGGGTATGAGCAATGATGTTGTAGAGCCTTCTTGGACGTGGAGGGCGCATGAATCTCCTGTAGGAAGCACGATTGTGCACTCGAGCGGCTCTGTTGCAGCAACTTGCTCTGGAGGCTGGGGGTATCCGCGAGAGAGCAGAGAATCTGATGCAGCGGAATCCCACCATAGACAAGTCTTTGACGAATCCTCACTAAGAGTTTGGTCCATTGGCGGGTCAGACCAAGGCGCTTAAAAAGTTGATTTCATGTTTATTTGTCTGCCTATTGTTTCAAACCGTTCATAGCTGGATGAAGGGAGCTTGTAAGATAGTATTGCAATAGCATATTCATGATGTATTATGTTAGTTCTGTCCAACTCTATCTCCCAACGCCTCTGCTATGTACCTATGTATCATGCCGATTCCTCTCTCTTCAGGCCATGTCCAAATGAACAAGACAATAATGTACGTAACGCGCAGGAAAATTAACGAAGTAAACGCAAAATGACAGCACTATCCAATACACTGCCTCCAATGCCAACCGGAATTATTGTAAATACTACCAAAGGGGGGTCCAAACCCCATCCAGGGAAGGTCGGTTTCGACGAAAACGATTTTGATATGTCGGAGGAAGGTGGAGGGAATCGAGGTTCTAAATATTAAGATAAAGTGGTATTCAAAGTAACCACTGCCGCCTTTTATTCCAGGTTTATACAAAAGGAACGTTTTTTTGTTTTTTTATGTGCTGAGGGGTATCAAATAGAACTTGAAACGCTTCGCTTCCTTTAAACCCACGGCCGTCCTCGAGACCGACTCTCTGATCTTGTCTGCGACCAGAACGAGGTACCGTCTCCATCGCCTCTTCTCCGCGGATTATATGGGCGGAGATCCTCCTCATCTTCAATAGTAGGCTCTGGTGGTGGCTTTGGCACAGTTTCCGTGAGGGGGATCTCATCTGAAGGCCTGCCGTAGCCGGTGTCCATGGGCACGGCTAGGCCAAGTTCGCCGAGCTGGGGGGCGGGTTCGCTAACACTTGGTCTTGGAGGCCTTTGGGGCATTGGGGCGAGTTCAGACTCATAGCCGGTAAAGCCCCTTTCTTCCGTCAGGAGAGCCGTGTTGGGAGGGATAGCGCGGGAATCGGGGTTGTCGAATTTTTCAGTTGATGGCCTGTTTGTGGATGTAGTGTCAGCATACTTATTCCATGAGCAGTGTGTTGTGGGTTCTGTCTGTTCTTACGTGATGTATTGAGCGGGTCTGGCTTTTTTCTTGCGCAAGAAGAAGAAGATGAGAGCTGCGATGAGGGCAAGGCCGGCGAGACCTCCGACTACGCCTCCTGCGATTGGGCCTGCCTTTGAGCTGCCGCTGGAAGTTGGCGCTGACGGGGTCGAGGTCGAAGTTGAGCTTGAAGTGGAATCGCTTGCGGTGGCTGTGCCCGTGTTTGTCGATGTATCCGTCTGCGAGGTGCTGGATCCGCTGGAAGTCTTCGATTTACGGCTAGATGAGGTCCTGCTCGCGGTCCGCGATCCAATCGTCGTCGGCGTCGATAAAACCGTCGGTGTTTCCGTCAGCTGCACAGACACGCGGCTCAAGTCCAGCGGGAGCTGGCTCAGCGCCGTGGCGGCCACCGTCGTCGCTAGCTGCGATACCGAACCGCATCCAAACTGTGAGAAGCCCCCGTCAAAGTGGTTCTGGTAGCAGACCTGCGCGCCGGAGCACGTGAAGACGTACGGGTTGAGCTCCGTCTGCGGCGGGCTGTTGACGTCGACGCAGCCCGTGAAGATGCCCTCGGTGCAAGGGCCTGAGTCCGGACAGCAGCCAATGGCCTTGTTGACGGTGTCGGCGGCGCAGTGCGAGCCCGCGAGGCAGGTGGCCGGCAGGTTTGGGTCGCCCCCTATCCAGCCGCAGATGGTGTTGAGGTCTCGCTGGAGCAGCTGTTCGGCGGCCGAAGATGCGAGCGCTGGCCATTGTGGTAATGGTGCTGGAGTTGCGACGATGGGCCATGCTACGACGTCGAGTTCGCGCAGGGCGATAGTTTTGGTTTCTCGGGGCAGCGCATGGCTGGAGGCGAGTTGGAGGAGCGTGGACGAGGCGAGGAGGGCTGCTGATCGCGGCAGAGCAGCCACGATCATTTTCGCGGGCTGGTTCGTTTGCTGGAGGGTGGTGCTGGGAGTCTGGCGCAAGAATGAGAGGGTACGACAAAAGAAAAGGGAAAGGAGACAGTTTCGCAAGTTTGTGGGAAACCGCTACGGAGAAAGAGTGAAAAAAAAGAAACAGAGAGAGAAGCTTTGTTCTGGAAAACGCTACATGTACCAAGTGTTTTGGAAATATGGCGAGGCGGGTGGCACAAGTGCTTTGCCTGCTTGTTAGTCTTGTTCGGTAGTGTGTGCCTTGTTCGTATTGACCCCTGCAAGGACCCAATTGGCATACATTAGTCGTGCAATGCGGCCAATTGAGGAGCGGCGGGACGATTGAATCTCGTTAGAGTTGATGATATAAATAGTAGGAATACGCGCAAACGTGGTGGAATCAGTGAGATGTGAGGCGATGGCTGTGCTTGGGATTGTGTGAATGACTGCATATACTACTGGTACTACGGTATTGTGTAGGTATGGATAAATAGAGCAATAATACAACAATAGGCGGTTTTGAATTACATGGATTTGGAGCGGCTATTGACGCTTGTATGGCCCCAACTATGGCCTTGACGTTTCGGCAGTGGCTGTCTCCGCGCCTATCGGGTCCTCTCCTTGCGTGCAAATGCAGCGCAGAGCCTGCTTCACAATGCAGTTAAGTAGTTGTGGGCTTATTGTCTAAGATGGCGTATATGTGTGTTCAAAAGTCTGCTCAGTTCAGTTTTCATCAAAATTGATGTCTCTGATTTTCGCAGTAGCCGATTGGTGGCCCTTGTTTAAAACGGCCCGTAGCCCAGCAGCTAGGCCGAGCTGGGTAGCTGGGGACAAGAGAGATAGAGATGCATTGATCTGGGCCGTTGCGATATTAGCACTATTATGGAGCATTTTGGATGTTTAATATCAGAGAGTGGGTATCGCGCGTGTTGCCTTGGCGAGGTGTACTACGGCGCACTACTGGTGGTAGTACCGTATTATTAGGATTAGATTGAAGATTGCACCGACATTGCATGCACTTTAGTGCTGTTGCTTGGAGAAAGAAGATGAAAGATTGAACAGAGACAGAGATCGATTAGCCTTAGGGAGGGTCTAAAGCTTCCCGTCGGTTTCAGAGTAATCTGTCCTAATAGAGCATCCATCTGTGGGGCAATGGCGATAAGATTGCACAGATAGACTTGTCTTTGGTTGCATCAAGCAGTATCTTAAGATTGTCATGGCAACTTGACTCTTTTCTCATCTTATACGACTGCAACTCTTTATATCACTCCATCCCCCCCAAATGACGCTTTTGTGGAGAGACGCCCCCAATCCAGCAGCTTCTCCAACTCCGGCACACGCAACGTGCCCCCCAAAAGAGGCGCCACAGGGGTCGGTAAAACAATAGCATGGTGGCTGCTGGTCTCCTCATTGGCATCCAGATGAGACCCCTAGACCCAAGGGCGGATCAGAGCCCCGTAGCGGCGACTGTAGCAAATACCTGGCCACTGTTAGTGCTCAGCGCCCCAAACGCCGTGTTTGTTTACCAGCGGTAGCGCGTGAAGCGAGTATCTCGCCCCAGATGCAGCAGCAATCGACAGTCACCTGCGCCCACGCACAGGCCACGGCGCTGCGCTAAAGCCAGAAGCTCCATCACCGCATCATATCGTATCAAACACCATCAGTCCCCTCTTCTTGGCTTTGGATATATCCGTGTCTCATCTCCATCTCCGTCTCTGGGTTGATTGTTTGTGTGTTTGTTTGTCTGTTGGCTCATTCGAGGCGCGATCTCCTTGCTGAGACATACAGCAACAGCACACGAGTCCCAGCTTCTGATAGCTGCACGATGCCGATCCGCGTCAAGCTCAAACCCCAGCCGGTGCGCGAGGGCAGTCCCTTCTCTGCTCGATATGACGCCGTCGAGCTGCCCTACATTGGCCCCGACGACTCGTTCCGCCTGGTGGTCAAGAAGCTGTCTCAGTACTTTACCGACGCCGTCGAGCTGCCCAGCACCTTTGACCAGCTGCGCACGACTTCTGCTGGCGACTGTCTCCGGCTCTTGGTTAACCACCTTACGGATACATGCGCCAACCCGGCCATAGTCAATGCTCTCTTGTGGGTTTCAGCTGCGTCTTATTTGCCTGATTTTGACTCATCGACCATGCGTATGTAGGGCTCTCAAGTGGCATTATGCCCTGGATCGTGACAACCAAGGCCTTGGAGAAGCTCGGTCCAACGCCTGTGAGATTGTAGCCTGGAGGTTCCTGACCCGCCACTCAGAGCGTGAGGCCGTGACATTCTGCCTCTATGAGATCCCAGACCGTAAGAAGACCAAGGCTCAGCAGCAGCAGCAGCTTGCCAGTGACCCCGAAGCTGGCGAACGAGCTCCTTTGCTGCCCCGCGTGCTGGCAACCTTTGATGGCTCATCTCCCAGTGCACCCGCGGGCAGTACATCCAAGAAGATCCAGCTCCTCTCATCTCTTTCTCGCCTGACAAATCTAAGCTTTGATGATGACGATGACGATGACGATGACGATGACCCTACCGCTGCTTTTGAAGGTTTGAATGCGCTAGAGATTGCTGCCGTCGCCAACGCCAAGCGTTTCCTCAGCCAGCATGTCGTACAGAAGATTATATCCGGCATATGGAATGGTGACATTGTCTTCTGGGATACCATGGCTGTCAACTCATCCAAGCATCCCCATTTCTATAATCCGACCACGTCAGACCCCTACTCTCGACTCCGTGTACCCAAATACCTAAAATGCTGGGAGGTCTTGTTCTTTGGTGTGTTTCTGTGCTTGTACTATTCTGTTCTCATCGTGCGAGATGAGACTCGTCTCACTGGCCCCGAGATTGCTCTGTTCTTTTGGATCGCCGCCTTCTTTTATGATGAGCTGAGTGAATGGGCAGATGCCGGAGCTATTTTTTACGCCACTGATATTTGGAATTTGTTTGACATGATCATGATTCTCATTGGCATCACCTTTGCTATCTTAAGTGAGTCCTTCCAGCTGCACATGACAACGAGAAAATGCCAAAACATCTCAATACTAACTATGATTAAGGAATCATTGGCATCATGCAGCCAGAAACGCGCTGCAACGACTTGGCATTTGACGTGTTGGCTCTGGAAGCCCTCTTTATGATCCCCCGTATCTGCTCTATCCTCAGTCTTAGCCCTTACTGGGGAACCTTGATTCCCTGCCTCAAAGAAATGGGCAAGGACTTTATCAAGTTCATGGTATTGATTATTATTGTCTACCTTGGCTTTCTCACTACATTTTCACTCGTTGGCCGAGACAGTTTTAGCTTGAGCAAGATGACGGGGATCCTGACCAAGATCTTTTATGGCTCGAGCTACGTTGGCTTTGAGGTCATGGACCAGATTGATCCTATTTTCGGCCCTCCCTTGATGGTCATTTTCATCACCCTGTCTTCTTTCCTCCTCATGGGATCACTTACCGGTATGCTCTCCAACAGCTTCTCTCGGGTCGTCACCCACGCCAAAGAGGAATATCTCTACGTGTACAGCGTATACGTGCTGGAAGCGTCGACCAGCAACCGCCTTACCCATTTTTACCCACCATTCAACCTACTTTCCCTGGTTCTCTTCCGCCCATGGCGATACATCTTTCCACGGTACCACAAATACCGCGCAGGTAGAATCTGGCTTCTCAAGGTGACTCACGCACCCATTGTTGCAGTCATTAAATTTTACGAGTATCTCAAGTACAAGGGAGACGACGACGACGAGTTTCGCGGCTTCAAGGGCCCCAAAGAGGCCAAGGGCCGGCGGCGAAGGTCGGATATTGGCCCGGCGACTGTTACGGGCCGTCCTGCGCTTTCCTCGCCTCGTAGATCTGGGACGGCGAGATTGCTACCGACAAGTCGAATGCGGGGAGAGGACGACGTTGATGCGCCATCCGGGGTGGAGGTCCAGATTATGGAGCTGCAGCAGAAGATTGACCAGTTGACTTCGGTTATTCTTGCGATGAGGGAAAGCCAGATTGTGAACGATAAGAATGAGGCTGCTGCTGATATTGGGAATATTAGCTCTTTGTAGATGTCGGGTATCAGATTGAAGGACCGGCATTGTATATCCTGATATTTTACAGAGTATAAAGCTTGTCGAAGCATGATTTTATGAGTCTTGTATACTGCTTCCTGATTTATTATCAAGACTGTCAAGATGATTCTTTTTTCGCGGTATCATTATAGCTAAATAGCTACAGACTTATCAATCGAGAAGCTGATAATCGCCTCTTATAGTGATTTACTTTACTCTTCGCTTTCGGTTTCAAACGTGTTTACTCAGCTTTAAGTCATTCATGTCATTATTTGTAGTTTTCAATTACATCTGAGTGTAGCCCTGAAAGCTCTGCCACAGTTTACATCTCGCTACCTGATCCGAAGGCACAGGCTCCATGGCCGTATCATTCGTCTGCAGTCGGATCCGCTGCCCCGTGCCCTGCCCCCAAGGATCCCAATTCGGCGCCGAAACATACTTTGCCGTGTTAGGATTCAACTTTGTCACAAAACTGATAAAGTAATGCATCGTGACGGGGACAATGGCCGCGTTTGTCGTGTAATAGGACGCTGCTGCCCCGCCGGCGTATCCGGGCCCGAATACGGCGCTTGTCTCGAATGTGTGAGGCACGCCGAGGCCTTGCGCGAGATTATCTGGATCCAAGACATTGTAGTGGTAGTTCCAGACGCGGCGGGGGTCGAAATGTCGTGCTACGGAGGCGGCGACGGTGTTTCCGGGGCAGGTAAAGGTTGATTCCCCGTATGCTGCTTGTGCGGAGGGGAAGTAGGCTGCGTGTTGGGCCATAGGCGCGGCGAGGGGGTAGGCCTGGCTGATGGCGTTGAGCTGGGAGTCTTGGAGGTGCGGGTAGTTGTTCTTGATGAAGACTTGGACTTGGTCTGCGGTGGAGGCGTTGTAGCCGAAGTAGGTGCCTTCGTCGGTGTCGTCGCCGACGAGGACCGGCACGCGGATGAAGTGGCCTCGCTCAAAATTATCGTAGAGGTGATCTGTGATTAAATCGCCGTCTATGACGGGAAGCCAGTACCATAGCGGTAAGGGGTTGCTGCTTGCTGCTCCCGTGAAGGGCGCGTTGGGGCTGGCGCTGATGAGGGCTTGCGTGTCGAGGCCGCGGAGACAGGCGAGGGATGAGCAGTTTGCGTTAGCGAGGAGCTGCTGGTACTGAAACTCCATGGAGTCGACGGTGCGAAGAGTTGGCCAGAAGGGGCTTTCGGGAATGGCGCCGACGAAAAGCTGGTTGTCCTTTTTGGCGGCGTAGGCTGTGAGGTGGTGCGTGACGGAGCCGCCGCCGGCGGAGGCGCCTTGGATGACGACGTGGTTGGGATTGCCGCCGAACTATGTCATGTTAGTAATGAGAATTGACAGAAGGGAAATGGGAGAAACATGCCTTTCTGATGTTCTTCTGCACCCAATGCAAGAGCTTTCTCTGATCTAATAGCCCTGCGTTGAGATCGCCGTCTTTACGGACATGCTCACTCGCCAGAAACCCCAGCGCGCCGACGCGGTAGTTGAAATTGACGAAGATGAGGCCATTGTTGGACTGCTGGATGACTTCGGTGCCGTTGTAGTTTGCATTCGAGTTTTGCGAATAACCGCCGCCTTGGATGTAGACCCAGACGGGGAGGTTCGAATGTTCGGTTGTGTGAGAGGGCTTGAAGACGTTGACGAAGAGGCAGTCTTCTGCGTGGCCGGCGTCGGGGGTTTGGCTTACGGCTACGCATATTGGACCGAACTGATGATTTGTTAATACTCAGTCTAATATATATTTGTATCTAGCATGAGTAAAAATCACCTGTGAAGCATCTTGAATGTCCTTTTCTGGCGTGGGATCTTGGGGCGCCCTGAATCTGAGGTTTCCTAGAGGCGCTTGGGCGAATCTCATGCCCAGGAACTGATCTACGCCTGCATCTAGCCTTACCCCGCGGTATTTGGCGTATCCTAGGTTGATGACGGGGGAGTTGCTGATGTCATTGACGCGGCTGTGAAGTACAGCGGCGTTGGCTGTGTGATATGCAGAGGCGAGCTGCAGGAGCAGCTGCTTTGTTGAAACCATTATTGTCTACTGAACAATACAATGAAACATAGACGATACGATAACAGTAGATTTCAAAGCCATGATGCTCGCATCGACTCTTCTTTATAGTCTCTTATTAGGCTGCTGCTGCGGCACATTGACTGATCCAGCTTTCATCTACCCCTCACTTTCATTAATAGCTTCCCTGCGCATTGTCTGATGCAACATCGCATCGTAAGTGTTACCGGCTTTTGAGTTAGAGTCGTCCGGCTGTTATTTTTTTGCTGGGTGCATTCCCCCACATTGCATTGATCGTCCCGGGTGCGTGGTCAGGTGTGTGTATGTCGGGAGATGGCGTGTGTCCGAAGCCAGGTTCCGATAGGGCCGGATGAAGGGCTATATGCAGCCTGCAGGTCCATTATCCAGTACCCGACGGCATCATGATTGGATGAATAGTAATTTCTTGAAAGTCCGATTGATGATGTGGGATTTGGTTGAGTGTTGATTACGCATCTGGTGAAGAAGAATTTGTAATAGATGGGATTTGAGTGTGTAAGACGGCAGCGGGTGGCCGTCATGGCTTGACAGCAGGCACTTGGTACATGTAATGTGGGCTTAATCTATTGTTACTCGACATTTAGTACTTCACAATCGTTGCTTAATGTGGAATAAACTTATTACTCAGTGTTATCTATTTGCATAGGGTTTTAAGACAATACCACGGCTTATACTCTACCCGTTCGCCTGTCTCAAATCACGATATCCGCGTAGCCGAGCTAAATGTTGTGAACAATCCGACAGAATGGGAATTTGCACGTGTGGAATGACAAATTCTGTGTACTGGCAGAAGAAAGGGAGAGACATTACCCGCGTACGTGACTCCGGCTGGTTGGAAGGATCGCAGTTGTGAGACATTGGAAAATTTGGTAGTGGGTATGGTGATGTAACTTGGCGCTGCTCCTAAAAGTGCCATCGCAAAGCGCAGCTACAATTCCAAATATTCCCTATCTATGGGTTTCAAAAAATATACCAAATTTTCCATCGATGACGATACAAATCTTAGATCATGGCTACTGACCACAAAGCATGGACCATGAAAAGCTTGAAACGCTGTTGGTTGCGTAGACTGGTATTTCAGCTTGTACGGTGTTGTGGGTATGGCCGTGTACATACCGCCTCGTGTCCTCCCTGACTTAAAAACGTACGACACGAATATGTCTTGTCTTATGTCCAAATCGCATTTTCCTACTACTACTTGTTGCAATATAAATATGTGGTAGCCCAGCTATACAGGTTGCGACAATGAGCGCGCTGGCTCTGCAATCTTTAAAGTGTTGAGAGTCTCTTCCACATCTTAGCAACTCTTCCATGTCAATCATCAAAATCTCTTTCTGGCTGGCCGATATATGTGCAATATGGTTCATTCAAGCTACTGGCTGGTTGCATCCCTAGCCGTTTCGGCTTCCGCTTTCCATTTTCCTGGCAGACGTCGTTTGCAAGAGAATCCAGAGGGCTTGCTTCCAAGCAACGATCCGTTCTATGCCGTTCCACACGACATAGACTCATTCTTACCAGGAGAAATTATAAACTATAGGGAACCACCTTCGGAAATCATCACCTATGGATGGGTGCCAACGCATTTGAAGCAAGCTTACCAGATTCTCTATCGGACAACCAACAGTCTACAGCAGCCTACCGCCACTGTCTTGACGGTTCTCATTCCGCCGGACGCTGACTATGACAAGGTCTTATCTTTGCAAATGGCTGAGGATTCTACTACCATTGATTGCGGCCCGTCGTATACAATGCAACGTCTAGCGCAGCAGAGCACGCTTCACGGCTCCAACATCACTCAGCTGCAGCTACTTTTCGCGGAAACGGCACTGGCTCGTAAATGGGTTGTTATAGTACCAGACTACGAAGGCCCAGACGCAGCATACACTGCAAGCAAAATAACGGCTTATTCGATTCTAGACGGAATCCGGGCAGCAAAACACTCTGGTCATATCACTGGCATTGCATCGGATCCCATGGTTGGAGTATGGGGCTATTCTGGGGGTGCGTCTGCCACCCAGGTAGCCCTTCAATTGCAAGAGTCCTATGCGCCCGAGCTTGAAATTGTAGGTGCTGCGATGGGAGGCCTGTCGGGACTCTCAAAAGCGAGCGAAATTTTCGTTCTCAATAAAGGGCAGAGTTCGGCTCTCATTCCGTCGGCAATGATTGGCTTGTCCAGCCAGTACCAAGAGCTCAAAGATCACATTTACTCGTCATTAAAACCCCAGTTTCGAGATCTCTTCTACAGCCCGTTGCGCATGTGCTTGCAGGAAAGCTCCTTGAGACTCTCATTTCAGGATATCTTGGGCATGTTTGGTACCGATTCATTGCCGGGACTGATCGAAGACGTGGACAGGGTCTTCCAAATAGAGAACACGCACCCACCAACCACGATAAAAGCTCCTTTGTACATATACCAGAGTGTTAATGATCATCTATCCGACGTCGACAAGATAGATGCGCTGGTACGAGGCTATTGCGAGCAGGGGACCACAGTTCACTATGAGCGAGCCAATTCGCCAAACCTGAATCACGTCACGTATGGATTGGTAGCGATACCTAATGCGCTATTATGGATGCAAGATCGGCTTGGTGGGAAAAAAGTCACTGAGGGCTGTGAGTGGCATACAGATACGACTTCGAAGCTTGAACCGTCGCTCTTAGCTTTGTTTCCCAAGAATATTAGCGATACCTTAGAGTGGTATGTGAATAGATCTTCATAATGATCAGCATTAGAAATGCTGATCCAATAAAGATCAGATAATAGTTGGCGAGTCTAGAAACATTGTTTGCCTTCACACACAATTGATCATAGAAAGAATATATTCATAGTTGCTTAATAGCAGTTGTTCAACTCAAGCCGCGAAGAAAAATTTATGATGCTGATGTCAACTGGCTGCAATTAGATTAGATAATGTAAAGATTAACATTGAATGTCAAGGTTTTGATGGAGCAGAGCCCCACGCTCCCAGTTACTCCGCCATGAAGAAATTCACGGGCGGAGTTCCGCACTGATCATACTTAGTCACCAGATGTAGACATGGAGATAATTTTGTAAGCATAATATCCTTCAGAATTGATCAAAGCGGAACTCCGAAGTTGATTTGCAATCTGATAGTATACAGACATGTTATCACAATGGAGTCTGGTAGTAAATGTCCGAGCGACTACGTATGCGAAATAGCATCTCGTTTGGAGTGTGTTTTTCTTTATTTAAACGTCGCAACATTTCTAGCACGTAAGATTTCACCTATCATCAACCCGCCAGACTCGCAAATACTCTTGAGATCAAATCGTTACCATGGCTCAGAAGGTCACCGAATTTGGATCCTTTGTGGATGACATCTTCTATAACATATTTTTCCAACCCGACGATGAGTTATCGGCCAGATATATAAAGAAGTATCTTTCATCTGAACTCAAAGTTCGGTAAGTATCTCTTCATGATTATCAGAAGCTCCATATGCTTTAGTCTAACATAAACAGCATCAATGGCACGGGCATACCAGGAAATTCTTTCAAAGACAGTATTGTCGCCGCCCGCGCCAAATCGTTATTCCAGGTTGTCCAAGTTCAAGAGGTTCTTGCCAACTCCGATGCCAGCAAGGCTTCTGGAGGATCGGTATCGCACTTAACGCTGTTTTCTATCAAAGACAAGGATACGGGCGATGAGCGACAGGAGTCCAGTTTGACGCTCGTTACGTGCGCGCTGGAAGATGGAAGGGTAGTCATATCGGAATTGACTGAGATAAATCGCGGATAGAATACCAGATTGTAGTATGATGGTAAAGAATACTCAATTTCTATCTGATTTAGAAAGGCATGCTTTCATCAATAAAATCAATAAACAACAAATGTCCCGTTTGACAAACAATCGCAATCTGTGATTTGCCAATAGCGAGTTTTCCTCTTTTCCTCTGATACTCTGGTGGTATCCATATTATTGGCCGATTGTCTTTCATAACCCAAGAGTCGTGTACTCCATAGTCTTGATAGACAATTTCGGTTTCTTCCGATGTGATCTGATCCAAGCTAAGATCAAATTGATCCAGGTCAATGTTACCGCGATCAGAATGGATAATCGTGTTATTATCCGGACCAAACTTTAAAACATCGCATCTCTGATTTTCAAAACTTCGAATGCGCTTTTCTGTGTTGACATCTATTATGTTTAGAGCTCCACCTTTCTCATCGGAAGTCGAAACGATTTGTAGTGACCCTTGAAATAATCTAATGTCAATTGCAGCAAAATTTTTGACATACTGGGGACGGGGACCCTCCACAAGGATTTCTTTTAAACATACGCCAGCTGTTGGATTCCATATCTGGATATCACCGCCTCCCACGATGGAGACGGCCAGCCGATTGTCATGAAACTTAACATCGCAGAAATTACTGAAATGGTTTGTGGTTGGACTTTCCGCTTTGCGGTGATAGCCAGTCTTAATATCAAAGAACCACAAGACTCTTCCTTGGATAATGGCAAGAAGTGAGTCATCTTTCGAGAACTCTAAGTGCCTCACAATGTCTCCATTATCTGAACTCAATATGCGAGAAGAAGAATTTCTCTTGGAGGGCTCTCTCGCCATATTGATGACTCCAAATTTGCCGTCGATTGTCCCGAATGCAAGTACTGCACCGTTCCACGAAAATGCAATCTTTTCCACATTTTCGATGTTCGCACGAACACACACAATTACACCTGTGTTATCCCATAATCCAATTCCTGATTTATTCTTCGAAACAACAGCGAGCCATTTGCCATCTCTCGAAAAAGAAACTGTTGAGAATCTGACAATTGTATCAATGTTGTCCTCAGTTGTTTTAATCAACTCAAGGTTCTTGGCACTGATATCCCAGACCTTTGTACAGCCAAAGCATGTATTCATAGCCAGAAATCGACCATCTGGTGAAAAAGCCACTGATCCCTTTGTTGCGCCCCACTCATTGAGCTTGAAAATAACAGTGCGCGAGACAATATCCCAGATCCAAACTTCATATTTGGATTGAATTGCTAGTAGTTTGCTGTCGCTAGAAAAAGTTGCTCCAAGGTAGTGGGATCCCTCTAATTGAAAACTTGTCTGCTCCTTGAGGTCAAACACGTGAATCTCTTTAAAATCGAAACAATCGACTATAAAATCGCCGTCGGGAGATATTGTGGTAGACTGCGAGATATATCTAGCCGAAGGATTACTAAATTCGAATTTAAAGACGCTCTGTTTCGAAACAACGTCCCAAATTCTGACATTGCGTGGCCTAGAAAGCGATAGAAGTCTTGATGAATTATTCAGGAATGGTTCCAAAGCGTATATTGCGCTCTCTTGTGGTATCTGATCCATGAGGTGCCCTGGTTCGGTACACCATATATGAACTGGTTCTCCGAATTCATACGTAAATGAAGCCAAGTTTGAACTGGCGCCCAAAAAGCAGAAACCGAAACCATTCCTTGAGCCTGTAGGTATTCGACAAAGAAGTGAACCATTGATGGTATCCCATACTTCTATATGGTCGCTCTGAGATACAGCAAGGCGATCACCCATCTTTGAAAAGGCGACCTTGTGTGAAGAAAAATGACTCTTGCTTATGTTGGGTATGTCAACCAGAGTACCAATAGCTGTATCAAGGATTTTAACAAGCCCAAGCGTACTAGATATCCAAGCTACTTTGGTTCCATTCGTTGACAATTCGACTTGTTCAACTAAGTCTCGATGTAATGGAACATGGAACTGCCGTAGGCAAGCAAATGTCACTGTATCTCTAATATCGACATCGCTCGTTGATGCTGAAATAAACTTGCAGCCATCTTCTGAAAAACAAACTTTTCTACCACGGGACAAATTGTCAACTGCGTGAAGATGAAAAGGCCATCGATCGTTAAGGCCATATCGTATCGTGGCCCATTTGGGAATTTGTTCAGCATACAGAGACTTAATAAGGCTGCCGGAGGGGCTAAAGAGCAAAGCTGATGCATATACTTGCAAAGGAAATTTCTCAATAGCCGACTGAAATGTCAAGAAAAATTTATAAGCGTCCATAACTAATTCAGAAAGTTTTTGCATTCCATGGTTATCCTATGAAGATGAAAATCAAGTTAGAATCAAGTACGCATGTGGAAAAAACAGGTTTACAACTTACAGTGAAGTTCTTGATGTCATGGAGAGCCAAAACTCCAACGGGTAACTTCCCCAGAAGACTAAGTGCTTCCATCCAGTGAAGAAAATGTTTGCCCAAAAATTCACTAATCGAAGTTTCGTACTTAATGCATGTATCTTCGGCGTGGTTAACACACTTAATATGCTCTGCCCAAGAAGTACAAGCGTACGCAATGCTATTAAGCTGAAGGAATCCAGAATGTTCCTTGGGAGCGGTCGCTCCAGGATGTTTCAGTGATAGCATGTCGCGCTTGAGAGAGTTCCTCATCTGCTTGACACATTGTTCGAAGATATTGTAATGTATCCCTGGGAGCGGTATATTTTCCACCTTTTTCTCCAGTAAGTAATCTTTTGCCGATTTATGCACAAAGTTGATTATGCTTCCAGAGGATGAGGATCCATCGTCGGAGTGAGAAATTGTAAAGAAATGCCCACATTTCTCAACCATCTGCTTAAGGTGCTGAACACCTTTGAACAAGTTGGATTTTCTTGATGAACTCACCAGACGCAGAAATTCATCAAGCGTAACAGCGCGCGAAACAACCAAGTTGATGCTCAGTATTACTTCGAAAAGTTTTCTTCGTTCTTCATGCGCCGTCTGAATCTTCTGCATCATTCTTTCATACATCGAATCGAGACCTCGAGGAAAGCTTTTAAGAACTTCTAGAGCATCGTTCTCATTAGCGTCGGGGTCCCGAAGTTCTTTGCATGCCAGCGCAGCCCAGAGAAAAGTGCCTTCAGAATGAGACGTCAAATAAAGTTCAATCTCATCACTTTTCTCATCTTCATATCCCTTTTTTTCTTTCAGATGTTGTACTTGCTTCTTGATATAAAGAGTAACAGCCGCAGACACAGCATCGCTCATGTCGTCTAGGGAGATTTTTCGGCATTGAGTAATGTTGAAGAGCTTTTCATCAACCGAGCTAGTATTGCTCCGACTTGAAACCACCCATTTAATGTTGGGAGTGCTTTTGATAATCTCAATTAACAGGTCTAGATCGGCGCCACACTCATCAAGCGCATCAACAAAAATCGTCGCGCCTTTCATCCAATCATCGGTTAGAGTTGCTTTAAGGATCTCATAAGCTGTTAATTGAGCATTTGTGTCCTTGAACAAGCTATTGTTCTTCTCCCACTCTGCTTGGATATAGCGCGTAAGCTGCTTATTTTCCGAGACTATGGCATATATAAGGCCACGTATAGCAGCGGCATTATACTCTGTCGTTTGAGATTTCGAAATTTCGCAGAAGAAATAGAATAATGGCTTGCTACGGCGACTTTCTTCGAGCCACTGGATAAGGTCGCACATAAGCATTGTTTTGCCTTTGCCAGCTTTACCCGTAATCCAGAATATGTTCTGGTCAGGGTTGCCCAGCCAATCAAGCAGAATTCCTTGTCCCGACTCTTGCTGTGGTCGAATCCAGTCGCAGCAGCTAGAAACGAGGCCTCCTTTGTCTCTCAGGATGCGCTTTCTGTCATACTTCGGATCAGAAACTCCCAAAGCATTAAGACATGCGTTTCGAATCTTATCCATTTGCAGCTGGCTTTGCTCCTCTCGCTCCTTTCTCCTTTCGAAATGTTCAATTTTATAGTCCAATTCTGTCTCGGCATTTTGAATTTCTTTCATATATCGATCCCAGTCGTCAAGCTTGACTGCTCCTCGGAAAGCCACAAGAATACTATTGGTGTGCAAGAGCAGTATGCTTCGAATTTGGTAAAGTAGGAGCTTTTGAAAGTAGTCGATCATTTTTTCTCGAAGCAACTCTCGCTGCCGTAAGATCGAAAGCTCCTCTTCATAATTTTGGAAGAGATATCCAGCAATTTCTTGGTACCAACGTAGTTTTTCTAAAACTGCTTGGGAGCCATCCAAGTTTGCTTTGCGTTCCATCACAGGGTTGGAAATCAACTTCCATTATGTTAGCCATTGACCTTCAATGCAATACGGCATAGATAAAGTTTGCTTACTGTTACGGCAATGTTCACCCCTGCCCACGGAGCCGCAGCTTGGGGTATAAGCTTGATAGGTTCATTTATCATCTCAATAATCCCTTTGAGAATTCTGACCGCTTCGTCCAATCCGTTATAAAGCTTTTCTTTCTTTGGATTTAGTACGCTAGCAGCTTGTCGGGATATAAATATTTCCATAACATCCCAGTCGTTTTGTACGTCTAAGTCTGTCGATTTTGAATAGCCCATTGTGTTTAGCTCTGTTATCATGAGTTCTTTAAACTTTTTCATTAGTTCGGAGTGTTGCTGCTCAATATTTTTAAAGGCCGTTTTCCAGAGTTCGCGCGCTGCTATTTTTGTTGCGTCCTGGATTTTATGATCAGATCGAATGGGTATGGCCTTTTTCGCAAAGTTGTCTTTACTTTCATCCTGGCTGTTTTGCTCTTCATTATCTTGATTATTTTGCCCTTGATTGTGCTCTTCTTCAATGGTGCGATGTTGGCTAGTATCACCTGGACTGTTCCTCTGCGAGCTCAAACTTTGCTTTTTCTCCCGCCAGAACTCTCTGGACAAGAAGCGACGATGCATCGTGAACAGTAAAGTGATAGAGTTCAATTATTGACATATAGATTCGAGGCGTATAAGCACGAAAGCAAGCAAATAGAGGTTGTTACTATGACGGTAAGAAGTGCGAGAGAATTCAGGCAGTGAGTTATATATGTTTGGGCAACGAGTGTGTTGCGGGGTAGCAATTGGGTTACTCTACATATTACATATATAGGCAATAATCATCCAATGAGAATTATACCGCTCGTAATATGTGTATGACAAAGTTGGATCCTCTGTTTAAAAGTAAAGAGCCAATTTTTAATTCCGCTTGAATAAATACTGTATAGGCCTAAGAAAACCCTAAAGATAAGTACATATCCAACAACTCCCAACTGTTACCTCTGCTGAATAATCTTCTTCATAATTAACAACGGCTTATAAGCTTACAATAATATCTACAGGTCAACACATTACTAAAGTCAATGGATGTGTCAATAATAAAGCTGCTGCTCCTAGCATATGTCCTAGGCCTAGTACCTATACTGTTTATCTGCGCGGCGCAAAATTAATACATGTTATATTGCCTTTGCACACGCCCTAACAAACCCTTTGCCTCCTCTTATCTGGTCGTTTCTTTGAGCGTAAGGACTTTTTCGATCCTACTTCGCAGCGCTTCTCGCCTATCGTAGGGGACAACTCCCACCTTTTTGACCCCAGTCTCTTGTTGTTATCTAGGAGCGAGTTTGGCCTAAATACATCAATATGTCACACAACGAGCTACAGCCTCGGTGCATCTCTCAAGAAGCTCTTGCTCCTTAGATAATTCACATTAGCTGATTAACACCGCCTAGGATGCTTCTCTCCACGGCCTAATAAAATAGAAACACCTAGTCAAAAAAAAAAAAAAAAACACTCATGGCAGTGGGTATTGTGTGCCGTTGGCCGCGAGAATCGGCGTCCATGCGTCGCTCCGTGACATTCTCCTTCGATAGATTCGGCAGGGCTCGAGCCACGCAGAAGGGGAGCTCGCCTGCAATTGGCTATATGTTAAACAGATCGCTTGGCAAAAGTGAAGTGACCACTTTGCTTTAACGAAGTGAATACTGGTACATATAACACCTACTTCAACCAACGCTACATGTACTCGACCATGATTCAACCGCCTGTCGATGTCCCCGAAGCTCGTGAAACACAACAGCATGCATGTATCCTAGAGAATCGTGCACCCAAGATTTCAAGAACACTCCCATTAAACTGTACCTTCTTTTCCATCTCTTGATGATGCTGTGTTGATTTGGCCTAACAAGAGCGATTATCCGCCCATTGTGCATTATTTCAGAGCGCCATTTACTATGGGTTTACAGACGAATCCAACCTTCGCGGTTGGGAACCATGAGGCTTTTATGGAGTTTGCTCTCATTCAGGCACAGAAATCGCCGCTAGCTGCCAACAAATTCTGCGTTGGAGCCATACTTGTCGACGCAGCCAAGGGAAAGGTCCTATCGACAGGATACTCGCTTGAATATCCGCGAAATTACAAGGGAGATCCAGGCACCACACACGCAGAGCAGTGTTGTTTTATCAAGATTGCCGACGAGCACAACCTCTCTGAAGAACGCATTCATGAGGTCCTTCCGGCCAATACGGCGCTATACACCACCATGGAGCCTTGCAACGAGAGACTTAGCGGCAACATGACCTGTGTGACCAGGATCTTGAGACTCAAGAGCGCCATCAAGACCGTCTACGTGGGAATCAAGGAGCCAGAGACGTTTCTCACGCACAATGACGGGCAGGAAAGGCTAGAGGCAAATGGTGTCAAGGTCGTGTTCCCTGTTGAACATTGGCGTGACAGAATCACCAAGGTCTCAATGGCTGGGCACTGAAGACTTATTATTTAGGAACAAAAATGGCATAAATACCTCGATAAATATAAACATATTATACAGTAAGCTATGCCATTAGTATATCTCTTAAAAGCTCTTACCATTCACATAATTCTTATTAATTAATAAGACCGCTTAGGATACTCCTTACTAGTATCTTATAAAATAAGATTTTAAATTAAAAAAAAAAGGGTCTATTATAATAAGTATTATATAATATTTGAATAAGAATTAGCGTTTATATTACTTTATAATTATCTCCTTTAATAGATTTAGTAAGACTTAAGCTATAATGAAAGGGAGCTCGCCTGCAATTAGCTATATATTAAATAGACCACTTAGCAAAAGTGAATAGACCACTTGGCAAAAGTGAACTGACCACTTCGCTATAACAAAGTGAATACTAGTACATATAACACCTCATTCAGCCAACACTACATGTACTTGACCATGACGGTGGAGCCATCCAGAAATGCGGCCTACAATAAACCCCGCGTCTCCGAGAGCCTGATGATCTCCAACCAGCGTCCCGCTGAACAGATTCGGTACAATCTTTGACACAGGAAATGAACTACAACGGCGCAGATGGCCTTGAATTCGGGGCAGGCAATACCAAAATAGACCCAGCCGTGTTGAGGGGTAAGCTGCAAGCCCTTGGCGAACTCACCAGATTGTCTTTATATTGACTGCCTCCCAAGAACTGCCGGAAGGATGCAAGGTCACATCCACCAAGAACCATGGCGAAAGCTTCTGGGCGTAGACAGGTTGCATCAATGTTCGGCTGCTCGATGGTACACCGCAGTCTTTCTTCATCAAGGTCATTTCGAAAGAACTGGGCATGAATATGACCAGGGGTGAATTCCAATCAATGAGCGCGATGCACAGCGTTCTGCCAGAATTTGTCCCAAGGCCCATCGCTTGCGGCACCTACGGGACGATGGCAGACACCCACTTCTTCCTCTGCGAGTTTCGAGAAATGACCGACGATATGCCCGACCCTCACAAGTTTGCCGCTCTTCTGTCAACACTGCACCAGAAAAGCATATCGCCTACTGGCAAGTTTGGATTCCACGTCACCACCTACGCAGGAAATCTACCTCAGTTCGTGGCATGGGAGGATAGCTGGGAGGCATTCTTCGCCAAGAGCATGAGACAGGCGCTTGACCTGGAGATTGAAAGAAAAGGTCCTAGTGAGGAGCTCAATGTCCTCTCCCGTGCTCTGTTCAAAAAGGTCATCCCGAGGCTCCTGGGGCCTCTTGAGAGTGACGGTAGAGTTGTGAAACCTTCACTTGTTCATGGAGACCTTTGGTACGCAAATGCAGGGATTGATGTCGACAGCGACCAGTCTCTCGTCTTTGATGCCTGTTGCTTCTTTGCGCACAACGAATGTACGTTCTTATCCGAAACACTTGCGGTTACCCCTGCTTAATAACTTGCATTTCGAAGATGAGTTTGGCCAGTGGCGACCGGCTTGCAATAGGTTTGGGGATGAATACGTTGCTGCCTACAACACATACGCCCAGATTTCGCCGCCGAAAGAGGATTTTGAAGGCCGCCTAGACCTCTATAGGCTGTGAGACACCTAGAAATTCTTTTCCTTCCTCCTGATCTACGTACCTGATACCAAGCTAGGAGGTTTGACACACATGTATCAGCGCTTTTTGTTGATAACGAGGCACTTCGCACACAGTGAGGCTATTCTAAGCCTATTGTCTTAGTTTAGTGGCTAATGAGCCTAACAGGGTCCTTAATGTTATGAGAGATCTGGTCCAGAGATATGGTTAGTGGAATTCATTTACGGCCATTGCGGCCGAATTACTTCTACCGGGCAGGGCCGCGTCGGGGAGGGACCCCATCACGGAGCCGGGCGAAGGGCCCCTCACCTTTGGCGCAACAATAAGTGCTGCCTCGCATCACTGGTTCATCTGTATCGCAAGATGCTGCAAAATGACTGCAAGTTTCGGGCTCCATTTTCTGACTTCACCGGCCTCTTCGCAACTGGATGTTTGTTGTGAGAGACTTGCTGTTGCCTCCTACTTGTAGCGACACTGGACTGTGACACGCATCTCAAGTGCAGTTGGTCAATGGTGCAACAACAACTTAGAAGGCAGGCTTCGGACCATATTTTGCAGGTTGAGAGATGCTTGACTTGGAAGTAGATTAATAAAGTTGAGAATCTGCTATGCAGAATTTAATGACCAAGGTTGTTTCTATTTTGTCAGTCCACATTCTGCTTAAGACGCTGGGCGCGTGCTTGAATGATGCACTTTCAGAGCGGAAATGAAATAATGGCATCTACAAGAAAAACATGCGCTTGATTTGACTAGCGCGAAAAACGATATCTCATTACATGACAAATTAATCTTGTAAAGATGAGAATACTCTTAATAATGAAGGGATGCACGTACGGACGGCGATGCGGAATTGCACCAAGCAACAAATATAGTAAGAGCGGAATTCCGCATCTCCAACGCCATGATTGACAGTACTGTCCCACTTTCTTCATCAAGAAATCATTCACGCTTATGGTTTATAATCGCTCGCTTTCTTAAACGATGGTCAGTCTAATTACTACTTCAGAAGATAAAAAGACGTGTTGCTTTTGCTAAATATTCAATTTTTTTTTCCAGTACAAGACATTCGGCTCCTATACACCCTATCTAACCCTTTCTATCTTCTACAACTCATTCTTCCACAAACGTTCTTCATCATCCGTGTACAAGCTCTGGAATATTCGCCATGGCACCTTCAGAAGAAAATCCCAAAACTATGCTTGCAGTATATGCCGCCAGCGGTAACGATGAGACTCCTCTTGCCGGTCTCAAAATTGGCCAAGTACCTTTGCCTACGCCTCCAGAAGGCTGGGTACGGGTTAAACTTCTCGCAGCGAGCGCCAATTACCATGACATATTCACGCTTAAAGGCTTCGGTGTCCATCCCATCAAATTCCCACGCATCATCGGTTGCGAAGGCGTTGGAATATTGGAAGATGGAAGAAAAGTGGTTGTTTATCCGTTTATGACTACGCCAGATTATATCGGCGACGAAACTCTTGATCCAGGTCGCCATGCTCTCTCAGAAATCACTGAAGGAACTCTTGCGGAATACTTTATCATCCCAGCAAAGAACGTGGTGCCTTTGCCAGCCGGAATGGATGTCACCTCGGGAGCTGTGCTTGGAATTGCTTGGCTCACTGCCTATCGTATGCTTTTTACGAAATCTGGCTTGCGAGCTGGACAGACGATGCTTGTGCAAGGAAGCTCGGGTGGTGTCAGCACAGCTCTAATCCAGCTTGGAACGGCGGCAGGCATGCGTGTTTGGACCACTGGCCGCACGGCTGAGAAGAGGCAGCTCGCTCAATCTCTTGGCGCAGAGAAGACGTTTGAGCCTGGGGAGAAACTCCCTGCTCAAGTCGATGCCGTCTTCGATACGAGCGGAGCCGTGACCTGGAAGCACTCAATGGCCTCTGTTAAGCCGGGTGGAACAATTGTCAGCTGCGGTGGCCATGGCGGGTTTGAACTGCCTACTGATTCAATGCGTCTGTTTGTTGACTCGTTGAGCATCCATGGCGTGTATGCGGGGTCATTTCAAGAGTTTAAGGACCTTATCTCGGTTGTGGCTGCAAAGGGCATCAAACCCTACATTGGCAAGATTCTTCCACTGTCTCAAGGTGAAGAAGCGATCAAGTTACTTATTGAGGGGAAAACGCAAGGCAAGGTGGTGTTGACAGCAGGCAGTGAAGTAGCATGAAGGCGTGGTGGAGGTGTAGCAGCATGATCTATGTAATTAGCAAAGCCTAGATATTCGCTAGACGGCTATATGAGGTATCTCTGCTATGAACATGTACATATATATGCCATCATTTGTCCTTAGTGTTATCGCCTGGGGAGTTCAGCTGTGCCAATGTCGTTCCAAAATTCTTCTATCCCATAGAGACATAAAAAGTATTTAATTAGTGCAACAAATAATTGTATAAACCACCTCATGCTGTCTCTATACACAAGTTGAGCGTAGCTTTTGACATGATGAATCATTGCTCCTTGCCAGGACATCGCGAGCATATAGGTTTCACTTCTGCGAAGAAAGAAGCATCCAAATCCATAGTGACATAATTATTGCTTGATAACAAGGTCTTGTACATGAGAGACAAACGTTGTCGCTTCCCCCTCAAAGCTCTTATTAGATGGTAATCCTGCTGTAGCAAGCCAAGCAAGGGCTTAGTTTCCGAACTGACTTACAAACGGAGCATAGAGTTTATCAGCTCCACGATCAGGGTTCTTAGTCCATCTGCAATTGTTCATAGGATCATGGATGTCGCAAGGGACCTCGATAAGCGCCATAGGGAGGCAGGCCTGGCTGTTAGGGCTAACAAAACCGAGCAGTGAAGCCTTAGAAACCAGCCCTTGTTTGAATCCAGACATACAGTGTTTGCCAAGCTCCCATTTAGTTATGGAGAAACTTCCAGCATTGTTTGATGAAGATGTGGTTCCAAGAGGATCCCCACGAACACCCTTGTCAATCCAGTAAGCACCGTTCTCGCCATTCTTGTATTGTCCATGCATATCAAGGACATATATTTCCTCGTCGGGGTTAATGGCGGACTTGCCATCGCAAACCATGGTTTTGCAAAATCTGAACTTGCCGAAACTATGCGCATAGCTGTCTGCTGAAGTCGAGTAAAAGCCGTTTTTGTCTTGTCCTAACAGAAGACCGTTGTCCATTCTTAAGATATAACACCTCCCTATTAATTCACCCGGTTAGCAACTGTTCTGGTTCAACGATTGACATATGAGAGAATAAAGTCTAGAGTTAGGTGGTAGTATACCTTCGTAAACATCTGGCTCACACTTTACTGGCGAATATAGAGGTCTGCAGTGACCATCGTGAGTTTCTACCATATTAGAAGGGCAGACACATTTGCCGTTGACCAGAATCTTGCCCTCAATGCAGTTCGGTTTCGGATCATGACAGGTGCCGTCATAGATTTGACCTTTGAGACAGCATCTGTAGCCCGTGTTGTGAGATCCAGTAAGATGCTGATCTGGGTAACAGCAATCAAATGCAGTATCTGCGCTTCCGAGAAGGTTTTGATCTCTGGCGCAGCAAGCGATAAATTCCTTGTCTTCGGTGTAAGTGAGCAGTTTGCCGCTGTCTTTTTGGCAGCGGAGAACATCCTCAAAGGAAGATTCTCGATCGATGAAAACAATCTCTTTAGCGTTGTAATCAATTTTGTACTCGCCGTCCATCTGAGCGACTTGTATGTTTCTTAGGTCTCGCCGGATGCTCCCATGGGCATAGTTGAGAGCTAATAACCACACCGTCAGGAGACTAAGAAAGTATGGCTTCATTTTAAACAAAGCTTAGTCGTTCCTTGATAGGGTTCGGGACAACTTGAAATATGAGTTCTAAACATGTGGTATGAGCCATTAGAAGCGCTGTCGGCTTTTTATACAAGCTTTTCCACTACGTCTACTGAGAACAACATATCGTGCGCAGATTTGATGCCTGATGGGGCCGTTATAGCTTTTCGCAAGGCCGTAATGACCTCATTAGAACTTTTGCACGTTGATATCCACAACAAAAGGAGAGAAGAAGCGAATTAATCGCGAGTATCTCCCGATGAGGGTGGATTTGTCCAACATATGGTATTGCCAGCGATTGACCACTTATAGCAGAGCCCTTGGGTCACAAGATTCGAGTTATAAGGCAGATTAACGCCTCTTTTTGTCTCTGCTCTTAAGCCGCATGATTTGCACCGAGCGTATACCGGGAGCTCTTCTTATTTGCCGGATAAGGTATCATTGCAGTGGCACCCTTCATGCTAGCCAGTAATATACTTCAATTCACAATGCATCGGGCAGCTATTGCCACAGCTTGGGATACCGTTAATTTGCCCCACGAAGATAAGGATCTGAGCCTCCAGTGGAGTTTTGATCAGCTGCGCTTACACGGAAAGGCAACACAAAAGCAACGTGGGATGTCAGCGAAGGAAGAGAAGGGGAAAAAAAACACCTGGAGAGTGTTTATTGGTCAAAGAAGAGAATTCCCTGAGGCTTCTTCGCGTGCGCAGCCTGTTGTCAAATACGACAGGCCTTAATCTGAGAGATCGGCATATGCAATTAAAGTCCGCCGCATTAGCAAACATTTCGCATTTCACAGCTACATCGAAGTACTTTGAACAATAAGTCAATATTACATTAAATTTTGATGATGATACAAACTAAAAGTACAAGCTTGAAAGTATTCATTATCATTAGGATAAGTGGTATAAGCAAGAAAAACAGTTTCGCGCTATACACAATACATGAGCGATGCAATTGCAGAATCGACTATAAATTAAGCATATCCACAAAGCTAAAAATAGATGGCTCTGCAGTAAGTGCGTCGATGAATTCAGCCTTGGAGGCATTCGAGCCGAATAGCTCTAGCTGAAGAGGGGCATCTGCAATAGACATTGTAGGCGGCATTAGCTCGGGAAGAGCAATGATATTCGTCTCGGGGAGAGAGTGGGACAAAGAAATGCTGGCAGCATCGTCCGGGAAAAGCTGCTGTATAGCCTTGCCGAATATACCTCGGCATACCGAGGCGACTGAATATGTTTTTTGTAGCTCCTCCAGAATCATCATGCACATGTTTAACATATTTAACCCAAGGCGCCTTGATAAGGCGTCGCCAAATTTACAGTTGAGGAGATAGACTTGCATAGCTGGGACCAATAAAGTTGGCCTACATAAACGATCGTTAGCTCTTATCGGTAAATCAAGCGACACAGCGGGGACAGGTAATTTTTGAACAACTCACGTCATTGGTCCTGCATAGGAGAAGTAATTGCCTTGGGCGAGAGAATAGACGATGTTGCAAGTTTTTGAAGCAGCAGACATTGCCTTTGCCTGCATTTCTAGCTGCCATTCTCTCTGTCGGTACGGAGGGAGATCTGAAGGAGTTTCTATACTATACGGTCGATAGTATGTGATTAAAATGGATCTACAAGGGAGAATATTAGCAAAATATGTGCCTGTCAATAAGTATGGACTTGTATGGAAGAGAACTGACTGGTAATGGAGCTGCAAGTGGTAATAGTAAAACGTTGCTAACGGGGAAAGGGTGGGATCCGGGTAGTCTGGCAATGCAAACTGCAGTATTTCCGCCTCCAGAGAGTCAATCTTGCTAATGGTTGGCCTTGGCCGTCGGAGCTGATAGCATGTTGTGAGCGTCTTGCCGAGTAGTTTCGTCATGTGTATCAGCTGGACCCAGTATTCGGCCAGTTGCGGCAAGTCCCTCGGCAGGAAAGCCGAAGTTGTGGATTCCGGAATGCCTTCCAGATCTGCCGCCATATCTGACACTAATGGATCCGGGGTATCAGATTCGTCCAGGTTGATTCGGAGGGGTCTTCCGAGTGCCATGGCCAGCCAGCGGTCCCGCCAAAAGGAAGTCCACCACAATCTACGGAATAGGGAACGCTGCCGTTCGGTTATGGACGTGTTATAGCCAGAGGAGTCGATATCACGGTGGAGCCCGAGTATTTGGCATATATTGATGGCTCGGCCGCTCCAATGCCACGGCTGCATATGGTCTTCTTTTTCGGAGTTCCAAAAGCCTACTAGTAGTGCGCCCTGCAGAAGGATAAAGTTGTTCTTTTCACCACCATTGTTGTATATGCACTATGTTCAGTCAGTTAGCTTGCACTACACAAGTTGAGAATAAGTCAAGAGTAAAACACGTACAGCTGCACGAGAATACATTTCGGCTTTCATAGTCTTCCGAGATGTAAACCCTTCGGCTTCATATATCTCAGCAGGCATATACTGCGGTTCATAGTCAGTTACCATATTCAATGAAGGTGAGAGAATGAATGTACTTACATTAGAAGCTATAGAACACATCGACCACAACAATATCAGATTGTACTCATGCATTCGCTTAGAACGGTAGTGTTCAAGTAGCGTATCCGCCTCTAAGACTGGCATGATGGGATGAACATGGTGAAAATACGCTCGAATCATGCACTCCATGGTTGTATCTGATAAGAAGGAGTAGACGCCTTTACTGCGAAGAAAAGCTCTTTCATCATCTGTTAAAACGATTTGTTTTGCTTCTGGCAAAAGGAGATGTCTTGGTATAGCATGATCTGTCGTGCATATATGCATAATAGACGTTGGACCTCCGGTTTGTTCACCTGTAAGAGTTTTAGTGTCATCAGCGTCAGACTACGAAGCCCAGGGCTTACATACCAACATAGTATGGTATCTGGCCTGTTCTTCGCGGATACCCCAGGGCAACCTCTACCATCTCAACACCGATTCTTTCTTCGTCAGCAGAAATACTTTGTTCGCTAGATACCGCCGAAGCTCGGGTATCAGGCGTATCCAAAGATGACCCAGAACCACGTGGCTCTCCGAGATCATCCTTTGGGCTGGGATCTGGAGACGGATTGCTTGGCTCTTGGTTGCTTTGGCTAGTGGTGTCTGGCAAAGCCGAGCTTGCAGCATAGTGACGGGGCGCCGGAAACACGGTAGTGTTCTGCCGGAGCCTGTGAGATGTGTGGCTTGTAGTCAGCAATTCGGCTCGATGATATCATTTTCTCTTTCATTTGTAATGAGTGTTTGCCTTACCGTTTGCCTTGTCTTGGCTTCAGAATGCATTCTGTCTGGTCCTGCTCACAGCTTATACACGGAACTCCCGTCATCGAAACGCTGCATCTAACCTTGCGCACTCGGCAGGTCTGGCAGGCGATGGCAGAACGGTAGCGGCGAGTTGACATATTCAGTCTTTCGGTTCCCTGTATTAAGTGGACTAGCGTTGGATGGGCATTTGTCTTGTTAGGAAAGAGAGTCGATGAGCCGTTGAGGCATGGAAACCTCGGGATATTAAACCTCGGACTAGCATCACGCTGAAGTCCGAGGTCCAGATGCTAATTGGCTGAAGCTTTACATCCGTCCCACTTATTTGACTGGATCAGGCATTGCCTGTGACTCGGGACGATTAGCAATTGAGAATCGAGTTGAGTAATCATGAGTTCCAGCGTCCTGCGAGCAAGAGGGATATGCTGTTTACACACAGAATATCAAGGGAGGTGTTAAGTCTAATTATGTATCTTAATTCCAGAACTTCAACATGAACGATACGCGGATCGCAACAGCCGAAGGAGCAGGCTTTTACTAACCGCGATTAGTATAGCTAAATATGATCGACTCGACAGTGGAGAAGCGTTTGCCGGCATTGCTTGTGTTCTAATTTTCGACTGCTGGTTCTTCTGACGTTCAAGCTTAGAGAAAAGGTCATTGAATGCTAAATAAACGCAATAATATCGTCGAGTAGTTGGAGGTTAGTATCTCTTATAGTGGCTAAGAGATCCTCCCTGATTGCATAGTTGCTTAATACGAGCGCCGTACATGTGTAGTATCATGTAGTAGTGCATCTGGATCGGCACGGGAAGTGCCATTGCAGTGGCTAATCCAGCCTAAGTAACAAATCAGAACCTATGATGTTAAATCCACTCTTAAGCGAATGCGAGATCGATGCACTCCGCAGTAAAAAATACTCCTTAATATCTCAAACACGGATGGCTTCGGGCATGGTGTCCAATTAAGCCCCGATCCGTCGGCGGTGCTGAAATGAGCAGATTCAGGGGTGCTGGAGTTACTCTGTCATTAACTCCAGTCGTTAATGTGATAACATTTAGCTTCTATCTGTGAGCGGAATATTCCAAGCCCGCGAGCACCCAGTTAATACCCGCGAGCAAGCGCTTCCTATTCTAGACACATTACTGGAATCTTGTCATCAACTGGGTAACAAAGAGTCAGAATCACTATTTCCCATGGTAGGCTCAGGGCGTCTAAGTAATCGACTGCAGGTCTTTGCAGAGAGTAATAAGTCACAGCAACGGCTTAGCGTAAATATCTCGTAAGGAAGGGCTGTAATGTTCAACATAAAATTTGCCTCAACAGTTAAAAGAAGGTAGATTTCCTAATGTCCATCTGCCAATATCTAACTTAAGACCATGGCGACTGAGTTGACTGAGATCTACCATACATATAGCTGCGGAGCCTGGAACTCTAGTCTACGTCAAATGTAAGCGCATGTTCGAACGAAACAAAAATAAAAACAATACATACCGCTGTCTTAACTCTTCATTGCTGTTGCAGGAGAGTTGAGAGCCTCCTTTAATTCGCCAAAAGCCTTTAGGATGTCTTCCTTATTCTCATTCGTCCAGGCCTCGCGCGATTTTTCCCCGAGCTCTCCCTTGTGCATGGCTGTGAAAATATCGGATATTTCATCGTTCTTGAAAAATACCAGCTGAGGCCTTGTAGGGCTGACGCGCATCTCGGTTCCCTCAAGCGACACCTTGACTTGCTCGGAAGCGTTTTTACCACCCGTCATCCCGTAGCTGATGATGGCTGCGGGCTTGCCTATCCATTCGTTTCTCAGGTAATCAATCGCATTTTTTGTGCCGCCAGCCATTCCATAGTTATACTCTGGGACAACGAGAACATATGCATCGTGCTTGGAGATCTCAGCGCTCCAGCGACGACTGTGTTCATTTGCATAGGTTGCTTGAGAGGGCACTTGGTATGGAACAACGGTCTCATCATAGATGGGCAACTTGAAGTCTGCAAGGTCGACTAAAGAGAGCTTCGTTTCGTTCTCATCTGCTTCTTCGACGATGTCTTTGACGATGTTTGCGATCTTGGGCCCTACCCTAGGGGTTCGAGTGCTAGTGATGATGATGGCCACGCTGGCCTGAGATGTTCTGGAAGCCGCCATTGTGGATCTTGAGTTTCAAGAGAGAGAAAAGAAGCATAGGCTGCTATATTTAAAAGTTGTATGAGCATTATCAGATGAAAAGGCAAGACATATCTCAATATTTATATGCTTCTGATGGCCGGATGATTTCCTAAGAGGAGCAGAAGATGTCCGCAGCTATCGAGCGGAGAATTACTCCGCCTTGAATATGAGACTTATAGACTTTTCTATACCGAATGAACATAATCATTTACAACGAAAAGTCTTGAAGAGCTGATATTGCGTGAAACTCCCCACCAAACGAGGTGGTCTAACAAAATGTCATCATGGCTCTATTCCTAAATTAGAAAGAGTACTTGAGTACTTCACGCTCGATTAAATGCGTAGCTTAGTCTGCAGCACAAAGCTACGGTCTATCATATGTAAGCAATTAGTATCTATAAAGTTATGAGTTATGAGTAATGAAAGCTCGTATAGACACAAGTTGGCCTCGCGAAACTCTTTGCCGGGCATCACGACTCGCGATTTAGTGAGATCCAAGACAGGCATTCTATTCCCAATCAGGAAAGAGTACAATGTACTTCCATCTAGCACGTCTCATCCAGGCTTTCTACTAGTTTGTCAGCCTTCTTAACTCTTGGGTTGTGCATCACAGGCACAATCTGTCAGTCAATTACCGAAAAGCTACTTTTCCTGCATCTTCAGAATCCCACGCTGCTATACTCACTCATCTGCCCACTGCTCGACTTTGGTCCCCACGCCGCCCAGCAGGCTGTCGGGACACAGCGAGATCCGCACAATGATCTTCTAGTTGGCTTTCCCGAATTTCGAATTCCGGTGGCTGCCAACTGATTATCCGCCAATGGCAAACAGGATTGAGTTCATAAACCTGTCGTATCCCCCGCAGGGAACTTCTTCAACCTTGCGGCGACGGGCTTACTCGCATGCCGCTCGAGTAAATCATGCTAGAGTAAAGCTTGCCCGCAAATCGATCAGGCAGACTAACAACGTGGAACTACACGCTCCGTCTATACAAGAGATTGAGGCTGGCGGAGAAACGGAAACAAAAAAGGTTCCGGTTCTACTTCCTGATCCTATGGACCCGCTCACATCAAGCCGGAGAGATCCCTTTGGATCCTTTGTTAGGCCGCTTTCACAGTTGGAGCAGTACCTCTTTGACCATTGTAAGTTAATACATGACGTTATTCGCAATGTCTTTAGTAATCTATTCGCCGATTCAAGCATTTCACTAATTGATCTGCTGCAGATGTAACTGTTGTCACTACCCAGTATGACTCCGAGTGTGTGATACTTAGAGATACGAGCTTTCACCACCATCAGCTTAGGATGAACTGGATCCAGATGGCCGTATCATACGTGGGTCTATTGAGCTACGCCTTACAATTTTCATGCGACCATCTTGGTGAGGTCTATCATTGCATAGATTACGCTGCTTTAGCGACGCAGTATAAGATTTTATGCATAAGTGCCATCAAAGAGGCTATTAGCGCACAGGATTGCTCAGCAAGGAATCCGGTAGTTGCCACAATAATATCCCTAGCACTTGATGAGGTGAGCATATGCGCTCTCATATTTATACATATATATATACCGGCTTACATACATCGCTCTAGCTTCGAACGGGGAATATCACTGCATCCAGGCAGCATGTGCGTGCACTTGCGAAAATGGTACAATTTTCTGGCGGGCTACAGACCCTTGGCATGAATGGGCTGCTGAAGCATATTTTTGAGAAATTAGCCTATGATATGAGGCTCCTTGAAGACGACGAAACGAGTTCTTCAGTACTGATGGATTTCGTCAATCGAGGAGGAATCAACTTGTCTAGTATTTCAGGGCCAGTTGCGGCATCTCACTAAAACCCCATGTTTTTCACCAGTTACTTTGGAAAAAGCAAAAGTGGCGTTGTCATTACCGTAGAAATAGATTGCATAATACCCTGCTTAGCTTAACGTATGATCAAACAATTCCAACATCTTTGCACAACGTCTCATCCCACCCTTCGCCATACATGATACCGTGAACATAGCATGGTCCTATAAGTTCTTTCTTGCCACCTTCCCCTGATCGACGAACAATAAACGGCATTCTACCACCTTTATATAAAGCAACATGGTCACCAACAACAGTTTGGCTGGGAATAACCGCCAAATATCCCTTCTTAGTCCTAGCCAATCGTCGCCATAGCGTCGTCTCCGTTGCTGTGGCATACACCCTGTCTTCAGCAACGCTGAACCCCGTGCCTATTCCCGCCGCCGCAACCATGGTCTTATAAAAGCCGCCATTGATGCCGAGATTCTTCAGGAAAGCCACCTTGCGAGGTCCTCGAAGCGTTTTTCGCCACTTTCGAAACCTCTCAAGTGCTAGTTCAGGCGACTCTATACTTCCCGTACACATGGTCATGGCGAATACAGTTTCTGTGTCTTCGCCAGTTGGATACTTTGGGTGTTTTTTAGGCATGGCTAGGGTCTCCCATTGCACTAAAATGTCAAAATATGAACCAAGGCCGAGGAACAATCGTTTCATGAAGCCTGTGAAATTTGAGACAGAGGTGCCCATTGTCGCAATGTCGGTATGATCCATGGCGGGAACTGTAAGAATATCTTCCACTTGTATAATTTCATCAAAATCGTATCCGGATAGCATCAGAGTTTTTGCGTCAGGGCCAAGTATCGGCGCCCATTGGGTAGAAAGCGAAGCGCTGAATGGTCGCTTTTCCTCCTCTCCCTTAATATCTAGTGAATGCGGATCTAGAGATACGGGGCTGGGGTCTGGCAAGCTTGTCCAATCTGTAACCCAGGATGGTACGTCCATCGTGGAGTCAAAATTGCGGTCGGTAAGGAGAATATCCAAATTCTTCATGTGAGACATGATTAGCAGAGAGGTCTTCTGGTAGCATTCTTCAACTGATTGAATATAATCAGGCACTATATTCAATTCGCGAGACTCTTCCTCGCCAAGAAGTCCTAAGATGGAATAAATTTTGTCGTAAGCTTCAGTCGCATTCAGTGACATTACTCTTCTCAGGAGCCACAGAAGACCAGCGCCTTGATATGGTGAACTCTCATCGTTCAATTTAGGCCGTAGAGTGCCGATTAATATAAGCGCCGTTCGAAAGAGCTGCTCTGGCCTGCCTCGGAGACCCTTTTCGCTCATAAAAATGGTGATAGTGAAGCCAATATAGAAAAGATCCCAGTCGATTGCCTGGGTACCGCACACTAGAATCGCGTCTTTTGCAAGACAGACTTCTTGGAGAACCCAGCATCGTGTAAACCATGGGCGAGCAATCAGTCGCAAGAAGGCTGAAATTTCTTCGTCGCTAGCATCTGATACGTCCACTTCCTCGCCTCCCGTGTCGGCAACAGGGCCATCAACTTCAGGCGTCTGCGGGCCTGGACTGGCATCATCGGAGGCCGTGCCCGAGACGTCCGCAAGTTTTGCTTCTTCCCTTGCTTTATCTGCATTTCGCTTTTTGGCGTCTCTCATCATCTTTTCCAAAATCTCTTTTCGGTTCGGGCCCATTACGACATCGAGTCCAGATTCAATGTCTTTTAGCAGGTCGAGTCTAGTTTCAATCATCTTCTCGCATAGTGGGAAAACCAGGTCGCTGTCCGCATCGGCCTCTCCTAGCCAGATGACAACGGTATTCGCCATGCGATAAATGTCCTTCATGAGGCTGACTTGATAACCGCGCTCTGAAATGTCTTTCTGGTTGATACAGATGGCGTCAATCCATACTATCCTCTCGTTATCTTCGCTGCGCATGTGGCGCAAAGCGGAATCCAGATTTTCGGTAACATCAAACTGTTCACCGTTGCAGGTGATTGAGAACTTGTTTCATTGCATTAGCTAAAGTATGACAAGAAGTTTTAGCCAAAGAGCTCTTTCTTACTTTTTCAGTGCTAGTTCCCCAGACATATGAAAGAGCATTAAAAAATGGCTCGTCTGCCAGCTTGACAACCGACAACTTGACGTGAATTGGATCAGACAAGTTTGCGCTCGGAGCTATGCTCAAAATTCGAATGTGGTCGCCGCCTGGCAGACCCTGGATGGGCTCATACTCCATGTCCGGTGTTTATAAGAGTTGTAGAGATTTGAATCGCTTGTCGAGCTGGGAATACCTAATGGCGGCTCTTCGATACAAAGTCGCGTAAGTCGCTAATGAGGTGACTGAGAGCAAGTCTCAAACCGTCAATTCACAACCAACTACTCTGTTCATATATATTTTTCGCAACGCTACACAATAACACAGAAAGCCTAGTCTAGCTGGATCTTACTACGTGCATATGATAGCGTCTAGCGTAACCGAGAGAGGTGGAGTGAATAGGGGCCATAGTGTGTAACCGTGCATGCGCCGAAATTAGGGCGTGAAGGCTAGCTATTCCAAATAGAAAGTTTCCATGGAACACGACTACTAACTCATTAGAGATTATAGCCCTTGTGTATACTAATCATTAAATGCTAAGTTGTATTTAGTAACAGTCAAGGGTAAAGAGCCTCATAAAATGCGGCAGCTACTGTTAGTGACATAAACATGTAAGATTCTTCAACTTTTCCTGCCAGCTTTGGATCTATGTAGTCTCGCGCTGAGACAAACAAACAATTTTTCTTGCGCTTTCAGTCTGCAACCAAGTATCTCAGTTTGCCAGCGTAGAGTTAACACAGATTTGAAGAGCTCGTTCCGAAATGACAACTTGAGCAAAGAGCCAATCGCTCCATTTTTGAAGTAGCCTATTCTAGGTATCAATCTATTATAACATTGCAACAGCAAGGGTGCGCGTGTTGAGCCGCGTCTTGTAAGCAACTAGGGTAACAACAAGCAATAAGCACTATATCCCGGACAATCTTTTCAACCAACCAATGTAAACCACATATCAAGTGTTGAAGCAAATTCCCTCCATCCATATTAGATACCAAATGTAGTAATTTATTCAGTGTCTGGACTATTAGGCAGCTCAGTGGACTGAACGCCCCAGCTGTCCATCTTTGTTAAATTACGCTGACTGCGATCCCGGCTCCAGATGCCGGGGAAAATCATCGGATCGCTGCCCGAGATGTGCGCATCGGCAACTGAATTGGAAGTACTTCGATGAGGCAGCCCTTGTTCGGACGCAGAAGTCGGGCTCGTGATGCTTGATGCAGCTTCTGTTGCGCTTGAAGATGGTAAAATTCCGCTTGGTGCCTGCGCTGCCAAGTCACTCTTGGCGTTTCTCTGTTCAGCATTGGTGTTAAACGCAGCGTATCGGCTCAATCTATTATGTCAAACATTGTCAGCAAAACTTCTCGTCATCAAGAACTATTGAAATTGTGAAAGAAGAGCACATACACCTCCCGCTCTGTAAGCAGCGTGTGATATCTGAATTCCTCTCTCCTATCAGGGACATTGGTCTTGGCCATAGTGTTCCCTTCCTTGCCTGGCTTATCAAAGCATGGGCCTAACCAGTGGCGTTTGACAGCCGCCTCGTAGCCACTTTGCAGGACCGAGTTCTTAGCCAGCTCACACATGTCTGTTGGGCTAAGCTTATAGATCTGTGCGGCAACTGCGTATTCCTCCATCAACGGCTCCTTGGTGAATGCAAATTGCAATGGGTCGTCAGTCGAGAGAGACACGTTGAGGCCTCGTTTGAAGTATTGCGGGAACGGATTGCGATCGTACGATAAGAAGAGTGCGTTGTTGCTAAGCGGAGACATGGCAACTCCAATCTGCTCTAGGTAGAACACATACTGCAGCAATGGGACTTTGCGAAGCAAGACTCCGTGGCTGATGCTGTGGCAGCAAAGCGTCGCAGCCGCCAAGTGCTCTGGATCTCCAGCTTCGGCACAGTGCGGCCGCAGGATAAGAGTGTTGAAGCCGCGCTTCTTGCGCAGGAAGTTGAGAGACGCTATGTTGGAGAAGAGGTAGTAGATCCAATAGTTGTATGGTGGATTTTGCTTCGTTTTCCACTCCTTTGGGACAGGAAACTTTCGGTATAGTCTTCTCTCAATCTTACTCTCATCATCAACGGTATCAATACCGACAACACGTTGAAGGAAGATGTGCAGTTTTGGGTGGCTTGAGGGATCCTTGGTAACCTCAAAGAGTGGCTGGAAGACGTTGGTGACAATTTGTTCAAACAACTCCATCAGACCGTTATCTTTATACACATCGTATAGACGAGGCACCTGGATGAGCCAGCGGACGTTTTGTGAGAACAGCTTATTGTCGACAACCCAAGCTGCCAGTCTATCCCACTCATCCAGAGACTTGCCGTAAATGGAAAGACGCCACTCAGCCATTTGGTACTTGCTAGCTTCAAGATCCGAAATAACTTCTTTAGTAAGTTCAGCGAGATACCTGCCCTTGATGAGGTTATCCGTCTTTAAGAAAATCTCTCGAAGTCGAGATTCTCCAATGGGGTTGTATTTCAAGTTGAACTTGTCAAACCGGTGAAAGGAATCTGTGTGAGCCTATCTTGAGTTAGTTTATATGTGCCAGTACAACATCCAGCCTGGTAACCACGTACGTGCATATCCAGCGTATCAATGCTCAAGTCGTAAGCCGTGAGATTGATACTAGCAAAAACTTCCGCAAGCGTCAAATGCTTTCCGTCACGAAACAGAACAACTTCGTCAGGATTCTTCTTCATCCGGCTTTTAATAAAGCGCAACAGGTGCTTCTGATTCATAGACGCCGAATGGTGGACGTGGGTGTCTACCTTTCGGACATTGTAAAAGTCACGGTGAGGAACCTTTTTACTGTCCGCAGTCTCTTGATACTCGTTGAGGAGCGCGTACAGGTTAAACTTGCCTTCCAGGTATTGAAGGCGGCGGAAGGCAAAACTCTTGCTTGGCCCGTCTGAGGAGGCAGTCAGGATGCTGTCAAGATCCATGTAGAACTGTCGAATGGTGGGGGCTGAGAAAGCGAGCGTCTGAGAATCGTCGTTCTTGAATATCTCATAAACGCCACTGTCGCTAAGCTTATATGCCATGCTATCATCGTTGGGTGGCAGTGGCATGCAATGCTCCATGTCGAAAGCGTCTCCTGACTCATCCCCAAATGGATAAATCTCCCAGTCAGGACTGTTCTTCGGGTCATCTTCTGGCCGTTGCAGTGAGAGAGCCAAGTACTTTTGTCTCAGAGCTATGATATCTTCTATGCTCTTGGAAATCGAGCTTAGCTCTGCCGTCACTTGTGGCTGAGAGTCCAGAAAGTTGTTGGAGATTCCTCTGCTCGCTTCAGCAGCGATTCTCACACTGTCTACACCAGCTCTGGGACTCTTTCCGAATGAGCCTGGAAATTCAGTATCCTCCTCGTACTCGAGTCCCGAACCTGAAGCCAAAGCTGCGACCGGGTCATTGTACGAGGCTGACGGCGCTGGTTCACCAGCCACCGAGCTCCGAGAGTCGTCTAGCTGGCTGCGCTGGTAAAAGAGCTTGGCATCTGCCTGGGACATTTGCCGCTCAACGACAGAGTCGTAGAAGGTGGTGCGATGCGGAATATCTCTTGGAAGCACGTCATCTTGAGCATCCACTGGCAACTGAGGGGTATTCTCTCTTTCACTCTCTTCTCTGTGATGAGAACACATTTTGGGCAGGTAACCCGGCTGACACAGCCTTTACTATACTGTAGGGATAGTTTCTTTTCTAGAGAGGGGTTATGTTAATTAATTTGCATTTATTCAATTACAACTATGTAAAGTTATTTGAAAACGTTGGGCATTAACAAGATAGTCAAAGTGGCTTCCAAGCAACAGCTAAAAAAAAATCGTAAAAAGTGCAAGCCCACAAAAAAGCAAGACAAACGCTGAACGTACCAGAGGCAATAAACTCTTCGTGATAAGTATAGAGTAAAGAAAAAGACAGCAGTGGTAGTAGCAGCGAATTGAGACAACAAATTGTGAAACCTTTTTAAGAGTTGAAAGTCTCCAACAAAACGGCAAACTCTCCCGTCCTTATATACTTGTGCGGCTGGACGTCATCTCGGCGTGACTCAAACTCAATTCTCACCAATTTAGCCATGACACATAAGATCGATTTTCGCTATCGGGGCTCCGCTGCTATACGGCCGGCAGCCACCGAAATGGTAGCTGGGTCGCGGAGGGTGCCTATAAGCGGGGATATGCATCAATCCGAGAGCTAGCGTAACTGCTGATAGGTGACATCTGTGTGTCAATAAATCGACATTATCACGAAAGCTAGGCGATATTTGATAGTTGATAGTGAAGGTGACTTGATGTTGACCAATTTTACTTTTATTTGTGGATTCTATCCAAGAAAACTATCGTAGAGGCGCATAAATGCCTTTTACTTCGCATCAATATGCCAACCCTAGACAGCCACCCAGATAGTACTGTCTCTTCAACAGTACACATTGTCCTTTGAAACTGGTTTACTGGTCCTGCTGGATCTTCTGCAATGGAAGTTAATTTTTGAACACGAAAAATAGTTAGGACGAATTATTTACCTTGGCAGAAGGAGGAAGTGGCAGCTTGACGCCAACAGCAGGGCCGACATTTGGTCGTCCTGAGCTGTCAATGCCCCAGGTCTGAGTGATGGTGTTGCTGTTTGATACAGGCAGCTTGCCATAGACAGTGTTGGCTGTCTCACCGGTACCGTCCTGGAACGCGGTGTAGCTCGGCTCATTGGTCAGAACAGTCAGAGGTTGAGCGGCAGAGTAGACAATGGTACCAGAGCCGGAGCTGAAGACGCCATCGTTTCCGTTGTAGTCGCCGACGATGTTGAGAGTCAATGCGGAGATGGGAGATTCATAAGCAGAAGTGATTCTCTTGTTGGTATCGAAGACATCAAGGCTGGTCAGAGTAACGGAGGTGGAAACGGCTTGGCCACCGGGAGGAGTGTAGATGTAGGTGATTCCAGTGATGACGTTGCCAGTATATTTAGGGACAATGTTGATGATGGCGCCGGCGGGGATCTGGTTAGCCTTGGGCAGGGTGGTAATCGTGGACTCGTCGTTGATGATTTGGGCGTAGGTGCCGGCGGGAACGGTGCCGGACCAGTTGTCAATGATACCGTAGAGAGTCTTGTCACCGGGCTGTGAGAAGACTACATATTGCTGCCAGTTGGGAGTGGTGCTGGGGGCACCGGCAAGCTCCTCTGCGAAAGAGTTAGTATTTGCCTATACAAGAGCAAAGGCTCAGGGTCACTTACGGGCATAACCGTTGAGCTGGAAACCAAAACCGTTCTCGGTAGAGATCAGAGGCTCAGCGAAGGTGATTTCAACGTTGAGGCCCGTAATGGCGTTACCTCCATCCGCAAGGAAGTAGTTGAAGTTGCTGCCAAGGCCTTGTGAAGGGGGTGCCACAGACATTGTGAAGTAGTTTTAAGCTGGGAAACCACTTAAAGACTTTTGTGTTTTATTTGATAGGATAGAGCCGTTGAAATCCCTTTGAGATGAATGCAAGAGCTTGATGGATCGAAAAGTTTTTGAGAACATGTCTACAGTTGACCTATTTATGTCCTTGGCAGCATCTGCCTCATCCTTTGCCTCATCCTCAAAAGTCCGCATCTAGGTGCGGTGAGTTGCCTATTTCAGAAGCCTTATCAGAGTGCCGTCGGGATCTAAACATATTCCAAGTACTACGTTCCTAATGGAGATACGCCTCCCGATCCTTCGGCACATACGAACCGCTCGACTTCAGAAAAATACGATCAAAAACTTGGATAGTTGACGCCCTGGTTGATTCGACATCGAGTAGCGCCGGAGGGGCATACAGAGAGGGGGTGTATCCCGCACAGCGCTAGTAACAAAGGTCCCCTGTATGGCTAGCACAATCGGTTTGTTTATTGGGCCGCGACATATCGTATAAGCTAAAAGAATGGTGTCTTTGCAAGTTTAATGCGCTTGTGATTTTGGGATCGATGAGGAATACCGAGTCTAAGTGCACCGAGTTGCCTATTCTGGAAGTCATATTCCGGTGGCATCATATTGCAAACAGATTTGTAGTAGAACTCTCTCTCATTACGCTCCCGGAGAGGTTCCGAGCGTCAACATCTAATCGGCGATTCGACCCCGCGATTCCAGCTAGCAGCTTCCGGTTTAAGTACATGGAACTGGTGTATGCTCGACTGATCGTGCTATACGTGATTTTGGCTTTGATTGTGTGTGTTGATATCGTGGTCTGTTATCGTGGTGTGTAGTTGTGGTTATTGTCAGCTCCGGGGGGGTTACACTTGGAGTAGTGTGTAATAAGAGGAAATAAGTCTAAATTTAATTTCAGAGCCACGGCTTGCACATCTTTCTTCGAGAGCTTCCACTAGCATGCCGGCGATCCTTTGGTGTATCCAACGGTTGCAAGCGAGCGCGTAGGATTTGTTCAGAGCCTGACAAACAATAGAGAATGGAGAAGGGATCGGCACACGAAAATATCTCACATGCACCTAGCACTACCACTACCACTACCACTACCACTACCACTACCATCCGCAGTAAGACTGCTCCGCCACATAATCCTCGAGTTTCAACTTGCAACCCCATGTTTATGCTGATCGCCTGTTTGTCTTTCAACGGTCTTAATATTCCTGGTTATATGTGGTTAGTAGATCGTATCAGCGCCATGATCTGCCAAGTTGCTTGGCAGATGCGCGAGTGGCTTTGGAGCGGGAATTATTCTTATTTTTAGCATAACGCCACTCTTGCATCCGCTCTCAGTCTAGCTTGTCTATCCACTTACACGAGAGACTCCTAAAAAACCACTGAGAATGAAGCCGACTCTACACATTACCAGATAGTATGTGTATTCTCGACACGCTGTGTAGCAGATTTATGTTATATATGTTTCAATCAGTATTGCTTCTTTATCGAACGCGCTGCACGCGGTTTGCCGGTGCAAAGTAAGAACCGTTTTCAGGTATCATTCTTTTTGGAGTATTTTTGGTGGTATTAATTAAGCAGCACCCCTGCTTTTATTCAGCGGTGCCCCAATCTGGTTGAGACAACCTATGACACCATTGTCAGCACCGCTTGGTGATTTACTCTAAAAAAAACAAGGCAGCAGTGTCATGCAATTAATGCTGCCACACTGAACTTGGCCGAATTCGAAGCTACATGTAGTAATTGCAATCTCTCTTTGCACAATGGACTTGGCTCTTTTTTCTAACGTAGAAAACTGCTGTTGCTAGTGTTGAGTAAAATGGTCATAGCATTGACTACGGTGCCAATTCTTATAGGCTTGCTATCAGTAGTAATGTGACTCGCATTAACTAAGCCCAAAAAAACAAAGGTCCTACCTAGGTGCCTAACAACGGACCTTGACCGACTAGAGGACTGGAATGCCGGTGAACTCAGGCGTAATAGACGTGAACTTTGACGAGGCTGCTGCCGACAGCGGCAACCTGAGCCCGGCAGCAGGAATACGGCCAAGGTCATACTGTACTAACCGGGAGCTTCATGTTAGAATGCAGCAGTGTATGGTGTAGTCAGCTAAACGCTTTGAATGGTTATGAGCTTGCCACGAAGGCGACATTTGGCGGCAAGGCTCAGAACGAAGTGAAGGCATCAGAAAGTATTGATATACTCTCGCGTTACTAGCTTGCGAATAGCTTCACAATTGATCAAGCTACTGAGGAGTGTAAATTTCGGTGTGTGGCCGTAGCCGTGACCGCACTAGATACAGTTGTCTTATGCTACCAGCAGATAATGAGGCGGAACCGACGCTGGCATCGTGTAGGTCTTCAGCCGCAGTTGAGTATCACCTGACCATACAACGGTATGTCTTCTATTGGAACTAAATTTGTAAATTTGGGGAATATGCTACGTGGCGTCATAGCATCTTATCGAGCAACCGACTTTCTGATAAGCCCCAAGAGTTCGGTTCAAACCCGACAAAGGCCCAAAGGCTTGGCATCAGCGGGGGGACAGACATGTGGCTGCTGCCGGGGAATACTGACAGATGCAGCGGCTGAAGAAATATATTACCTCGCCTATCGGCGAGAACGAAGAAGGTGTACGCCTAATGCGCCTTTATCCCATGATGTGTTTGAGATGCATCCATTGGTCCGCATTGTACTGCTCTGGCCAACCGGGGTCTATCGGGGTCTATCGGGGTACAATCCGGGGCTTTCTTCGCGGGTACAGCCCACCGTTTTCGCCGTCTGTGCAAACGCCTTGAGACTGTATACCACTCATAGATACATCATATAGCATACTGAATGCCATCATCAGTTGTATTGAGCGCTTTCGGAGCGCAGCAAGCAGCCTCGTAGTATACATCATCAGAACAATGTGGCTATGTATGGCATGTTTAGATCTAGGTATAAATTGTCTACGCGTCCACTCTCATATCAGAGAAGAAGAAAATATCCCTTCCTGAATCTCGAGATAACTGTATACAATAAGTAGCTTACATTCGTGTACTCTTCTCCAAGATGATCAGCGTCGAGCTTAGGGGCCTTATCTCCAGCATCATCACCATTATCAACACCTCTATACAGTTGTATCAAGCCGTCGACGACGTATCAGGCTTGCCGAAGTCATTTCGCGACGTAGCCGGTCGCCTCCCTGCGATACAACACACGCTGGAGGAAGCGCTTCGGAGGCTGGCGGAAGGGGAAGAACATGCATGCTCAA